TATAATTCTATCATTCTATTAATTATATTTTAATATATTTATATTTATATCTAAATTATTTTGAAATAATTCAAGAAATATTTTTATATATTTTTCTTTAATTTTAACTTATTTTAACTTGTTTTTAATTATTTAATTTTTTTATATTTATTTGTTATATTATAAAATATAAAAATATGAAATGTTTTTTTATAATATTATTTATTTATAACTCTTATAATTGCTATTTTAATTTATTTAAATTGACCTTTTTTCGATATTTAAAAATTAAATTTTCTTTTAATTTGTTTTAATAAAGTTAATTATATATCTAATCGATTTTTAGGTTACTAATTTTAAACCATATCTTTCCCAGAATTATATCGTAATTTATATTAATAATATTGAAAGGTATTTTTTTTTATATCTCTAAATTAAAACAAAAAAAGTTACAATTTCTTTTTTAACTTTTCTTTTATTATAAATAATAAAACTTTTATTAATATTATTAATTTAATAAAGCATTTTTTTTATTTAATATAATATTTTATATTTATCAATTAATTTTAAATTAATTAGATTTATTATGTATTTTAAATTGATTAATATATTAAATTTATATTCTTTTTATATTAATTTTATAATTAATTGAAATTCCTTAATTATCTTTTTTTATTATTTAATAAAGTTCATAATATTTTTAATAATCTTTTTATTATATTTTATTATTTATTAATTATATTTATTATTTTTTATAACAAGTTTATTAATTATTTTTTTAAAAATATTATAATTTTGTTTTTTAAATATAATATTTTTTTAAAAAATGGTTAATTTTTTCTTTATATTATTGTAATATATATTTATAATATCTATTTGAAATGGTGTTTAAATATTGAATAATTTGTTTTAAATATTTTTAGATATATTTGATCAAGGTGATTATGTTTTATTTTTGGTTATAAAACAATACGTAGATAACTTTATTCATATTTTTAGAATAATATCTTATAAATTTTTGATTCTATTCCTTTTTGATTACTCTTTTATAGTCTAGATTTTTAAATGTCTTTATAATAAATAATATTAATATTTTTTTAAATAATTTTTTAATAATGGTTTTATGGGTTTGTCTTCAATTTTGTCTTTTATGTTTTTGAATTTATTACTAATTATTTTTAAATATACATTTAAGATTTTATAAATCATTAAATAATAATAATAATAATTTATTTATTTAATTAATCATATATGATATATTAATTTTAATTTAGGAATCTAATTTTATCTTCTTTTATTATTAATATCTTATTAATCTTATATTATTTATTAATATATTTATATTTTATTAAAATATATTAAAATAATATTTTTATTTTATAATAATATAATAAAAATATTTTAATTATTAATTTATATTAAGAATATTATTTTTCTTTTCATTTTATCTTTTAAATCTTAATTTATATCTTATAATAATTTTTATATTTTCAAAGAAAAATTAGATTCTTTGGAAAAGATATTTATTTCTTTTTCTTTAACATCCTTTATATTTATTATATTAAGATCCTACAACTAATTTATTTAATCTATAAAATTTTCTATCTTTATTTATTAAATGATTTTATTATAATTAAATAATAAATCTTTAAATTTCTTATTAATAATATCAAATATTACCAAAATTAATAATCCTAATAATATAATTATTATACTAACTAATTTTCCTTTTAAAATTTATAATTATTTCTCAAATTTCTTATATTAATTTTTATAATATTTTATTTTTTAATAATTATAATACTTAATTTTATTTAAATCTTTTTTTGGATTTTTTATTATTATTAATTATGTTAAGGTTTTAAATCTTAATAAGTTCTTTTTTTCTTTGATTTTTTATTTTATTAAAATTTCTTCTTTTTTTATTATATTTTTTATATAATCTATTATTATAAAAGATTATTTTAGTTATATATTTATTAATAATGATAGGTTATTTTTTCTTAAAGAATTTATTTTTTATTTAAATAATTATCTTATAACAACAAACTATTTAAATTCTATCATATAAAAGATGGATTTTTTTTTCTATTAAAAATAACAAATAACTTTTTATATTTCTTCTTTTTTAAATAATTTATTAAATATTATCTTCATTTCATTTTTAAAATGTTTATATAATTCGAAAATATATTAAAATTCCTTCAACCCTTTTTCAATAATATTAAAATGATTTTTTAAAATAGATTAGAACTATATAAAGATAGTTTTATTTAAGAATTAAATAATAATAAACATCTATTATTTTTTTTATAATAAATTCTTCTTATAAAAAAATAGATAAAGTTTTACATATATAAATTAATTCTTAACATCTAAAATTCTATTATAAATTAATTAATTCATATCTTTTAATAAATAGAAAAGGGATCATTATTTTTTTTTAATTAGGATATTTTGCCTTTTTTCTTTTTTTTATCTTTATTATTTTTATTATTATTACTATTTAATGGTCCAAAAGGTACTGAAGGTTAAGGAGATATTAATTACTAAAAGGTTCCTATTAGGAACTTTTTAAAAGTATTTTTTTGTCTAGTTTTTTTTACTATTAATTCTTTTTTAAGTCTTTTAACTTTTATAAAGGTAATTATAACCTTTATTTATTAATTAAAAGTTTTTTTTTAATTATTCTTTTTTATTTTAATTTTAATTTTTTTTTGAATATTTGATTTTGGAGTTTATAAATATATTTTAAAGGATATTATTTTATTAATAAGTTAAAGTATTTCTTTTATAAATAATAAATTTTAAATGATATAAATAGATATGGGTATTTTAGATAATGATAGATTAAATTATTATAAATCATTTAGGTCTTTATTTTGAAGCTTTTTTTATCTGATTCTTCTTTGTTTTTTAGATTAGGATTTATTAATTTATTTTATATTTAATTATGATATTCTTTAAAAGATAATTTTTAAAAAGTATAAAGATTTTTTATTTTATTTTTAAAAATTAATAAAATAAAAGAGCATTTAATTGACAATAATAATGGAATATTTTATAAATAATTTATATTATTTTTTAACTTAATATTAATATTAATTAAAAAGTTATTAAAATGTAATAAACCTTTATTTTAAAAAGATATAATTATTATTAAATTAATTAATCTAAAATATCTTAATTTAAAAATAATAATAATAATAATAATAATAATAATAATAATAATAATAATAATAATAATAATAATAATAATAATAATAATAATAATAATAGGTTAAATAATTAAATAAATTTTGTTTATTAAAAAGGTTTAAATTCCTTTCATTATATTTAAAAGAATAATCTTAAATTAATAATTATAAAAAAATAATTAAACATATAAGAAATATTTATAATTATATAATTATTCCTTTTTCTTTTTTTTAAAATCTATTATTATTATAATCTAATTAATTTAATTAATCTAGTTTTAAATCATCTAAATCATATAAACAAATAGAATTATATTTCCTTATAATTCCTCCATGATTAGTCTGGGATGTCTTCATTCTTGGTTCCTTAATTGTTGCCTAATATTGTTGGTTTATGACAATATATAAGAAGGCTTTTAAAATCTTTTTAATATTATAATATTTTTTTTAAAACTTATTATATTTAAAATCTAAATCATTAAAGAAATTTATTATTATTATATTATAATTAGACTTTTATTTATAAATATAATAATAAAATAATTTACTAAAATAGGAATAATAAAAATATAAGGAACCATAAATATTAAATTTACTAATATAATTAATTTTATAATTATAAGATTTATATTATTTTATATATTTTAAGGAAGTTAGGTCTTTTTAAATTTAATTAAATATAATTAATATAATAAATAAAATATATAATATTTAAAAAGGGAAAAGATACTTATTTATTTTTTATTTTTAAGGGATAAAGTGTCACAAACCACATAGGCCTACAGGGGTGTAAGACCCTGGAGGAAACCTTTTTCCTTGCCGAAGTAGGGCAATGACAGCAGGAGTGTATAACACGTAACATAGATGAATATGGATGAGGATATCCAATCTTATCCAATAAATATGACATAAATAAATATAGATAAGTACATCCAATCTTATCCAACAAATGTAATAAAGATAAATATAAATAAGGAAATCTAACCTCATCCATAAAAAAGGTAACAATAAAGAACATCTATATAATTACCACAATTTTCCTATATATTTAATTATTCTTTTATAATTCTTTAGTTATTAATTTAAGATTATTCTTTTGAGCATAGTGAGAGGACTCTAAGCCTTTCTGATGAATAGAATGTATTTAATTACTTGACCTATTATTGATATTGTTACTTTCAAATTAAGAAACCCTGGATTAACCAATCTAGCAATGATTATATCTTTCTGAGGCATAGGTTTGTCACATAAAGATCTTAAAAGTGGGGTATAACGTTATAAATCAATAGTATTAGGTAATAATTAAAGAACTAAGAATGGAAGTATTTTAAATTAATTATAAAGGAATTATAAGGGGATATAATTTTGTTTATTTATATGATTTAAAATGATTTAAATAATTTATATAATTTAAATAATCTAAAATTAAATTAACTAAATTAATTAAATTAATTAGATTATAATAATAATAAAAAAAATTTTAAAAAAAAGAATAATTATATAATCATAAATATTTCTTATATATTTAATTATTTTTTTATAATTATTAATCTAAGACTATTTTTTTAAATATAATAAAAAAATTTTAAGCTTTTTTAATAAATAAGAACCTATTTAATTACTTAACTTATTATTAATATTATTACTTTTAAATTAAAATACCTAGATTAATTAATTTAATAATGATTATATCTTTTTAAGGCATAAGTTTATCATATATATATATATATTAATTAAATATTAATAATTATAATTAATAAAACGGCATTCCCTTATCTTTTATTAAAAATTTCTTAAAAAGGGATTAAAAAGATATCTTGAAAATGGGTTTAAAAAATGACATAGTAACCTAAGAAATCTCAGGCATATGATTGACAATTTGGTCTTTTTTGTGTCATCATCCATTGTCAAAATGTTTACATAAACGTCATAGATTGTGGCCCGCTAATCTTGCTTTTATCACGGCCAGCAACGACAAGTTCAGAGTTTGGCATTGTTGCAATGGGAACCTTGTCCAAATGTCCCCATTCGTCCCGCATCAACGCAACCAGGCCAGCTCCGCCTGTCTCGTTCCCTACAAACATTATTTCTTGCTCAAACTCCGGGCTAAGACAAAACACCCTAGGCAGTTGTCCGCCACTCGAGACACGTCTTATGTATTGAAGATGTGGACCATGTAAAGCTCCCCAAATTCAAAATGAGCGATATGGTCTGTCGTCTCACCTGTGACCCGATTCGAGATGTAAACATCTGTCTGGTTATTAGAAACCATCAATTCAGCCACTTTAGCTGCAGACCCGTTACTTGGAGGCGAATTTCCGTACGTGCTTTGCCGCTCGATTTCGTTGAACTGCAGTGTATCGTTGGAATAGTCGGTCTCATACAAAAAGACCTCGTTTGAAACCTCTCCCACCATGATTAGAAACAGTTTCTCGTCTCTTCTAATGAATGCAACACGACGTGGACCGACGTTGGCTGGTACAGTAGTACACCCTGTGATCTCGTATCTGTCATCTTCCGAATCTATAACTACCAATGTGTCTCCCCCAAGGTTTGGTACGACAAAGAAGCGGCCAGTTGGATCGAGGACAGCTTGGTGGGGCCGGTGGTGGTTTCGAGGAGGAGTAGGCTTGCCGGGTGGTGAAAGGCTCTTCATATATTTAAGGGTGCCGTCAGCTTTTGACGTATCCCAGATGTCAATCATCCCGCTCCGGTAGCAAGCTTCGACCATACGGGTTTTGTCGTGGATGAATTCGAGGTCAACACCGCCCTCCGACGCCGTTGCGCTGGAGATCAAGTTAAGCTTGTGATCGCTAAGCTTGAATAAACTGGTATCGAACCCTATCGAATTCACAACGTATAACAGGTTGGGCTCTTTGAAGAGGAGCCAACCCGGCATCCAAATTCTCTTGCGTATGCCTCCCAACAATGGAAAAGCGGGTGCCATCGAAGTCGATTACTAATATCTGGTCTCGGTTGCCGACAAGCAGCCTTCTTAATTGACTTGGCGAGGAGGAACTTTGGTTATCCATCTTATATTATGATTTCTTTCTCGTGGGGGTATTGCTGTTTTTTTCTATGGTAATGATTAGTTAAGTCTTCCCTGTGTGTAATGAGTAGTGTTGCGTTGTATATTGGCCAGCCATTTTTTTCGTTCCGCATTGTCAATATATATATTGATGGGCAAATTTAATAGGCATAGATGAAGTGTTTGAAAACCAGTTGATTGTAGCCTAGTAATATTGATTTGTGATATCCTTTGGTCAGTCGTTAGGAGTTGTTACTGGCTACGCAGTCTTCATAAACAATAATATGTGGAGTGGAAAAAAGAAATACCATCAAGTGTACGTAATAGTCTTTATTGTGTGTTTTTAATGTCACGGAGGGGTTTGAGAAACCGGCCTGGCACTAGGCGCCCCAAGGCATGTCAACAGCGCTTACATTAGACTTGATGGCTTCTCGAGTATTCTGCTCCTCAACTACTAGGTTGCCATCACAGGTCCGTAGGTACGTCAAATCAATGGAGAATGATTCTCAAGAAACGTGACTAATTTATTAGCAATCTACTTTCTACTAGTGATGCTCTGCCTCGTATACTGTCATCCAAGGCGTAATACCCCCCGACTGCGATATTAAGATCATAGGAAGCTTGCTTTAGTGCATCATCCCTAAGCCTAAGTGGTCTGGATCAGCCTTTACAATCCGTTGTGTGTTAGTATTACCCATGCCACCTCTCCAGCCTTGGACGACAACGATGGAATCATTCTTGCTGAGTAAGCCTAATCCCAATGCCCTCTCAAGAGCCCACTTGATGCGACGGTCGACATCCTCCTGCCAATTAACCTGGTCGTAGTTGGGCTTCGCCTCGTCGAATAAGAAGGGATAGACCCCACGGTATAGATGTGCGTAACGCGACGCTGACGGGTTGCGGGTAACCATAAAAATTGGGCATACTGGGCGGTATTTTGATAATAGTCGGGCTGAATCACCAGATGTCGAGAGGACAATGATTCCCCCAGCGTTCAAATCCAACGATGCTCGCACTGCAGCCATAGCGCAAGCCTCGACGACACTCGTGGGGCGTTTCGTCAACGAGACCATTTCTTCGTAGTGGCTTACGTAGGGGATGGAGTTCTCTGCTGCAAGACAAGTATTGCTCATCTCACGGACTGCTAACTCTGGGTAGGCTCCTTTAGCGGTCTCGCCGCTAAGCATGACACAATCGGCTCCGTCAGTGACAGCATTGCCGACGTCGCTAATCTCCGCTCGAGTTGGGCGGGGGTTGGTGATCATACTCTCTAACATCTGGGTCGCGCAGATAACAGGCTTGCCGGCGATATTGCACTTGGCGATTAATTTCTTCTGGGCAGCGAATACCTCGTATGCCGGGATCTCGATTCCCAGATCACCTCGAGCTACCATAACTCCATCGGTTTCTTGAAGGATTTCATCGAAGTTGTTTAATCTGTGTTTAGCACCGGTTAGCATTCTCAAGACTCGGGGTTTAACTCTAATGGTTGCAAAGCTACGAGATTCTTGTATCGCATTGGGGGGATGGATTTAAAGGGGGGACGTGCTGCTAAGGAGAATAATCAACGTACCCTTGTCGGTTTTCAATCTACAAATAAATCTGTTAGTGATCGTACTTATATGAGAGGTATAATAGGAGGATACAGACCTTGGCAATGATCTGAATATGTTTTCCTTCTGTTCCCAGGACTTCGCGAATGGCACGAATATCATCACCTCGCCGAATGAAACTTGCAAAGACCATATCTACGTTGTTCTTGACTCCAAATCGGAGATCATTCTTGTCCTTCTCTGATAGAGCAGGGAGATCGACATCAGTGTCAGGAAGGTTCACACCCTTTCGGGAGGAGATGAACCCGTTGTTGCGGCATTTAACCTCGACTGTCTTGTCGTCCTTGATCTTGAGCACGTCGAAGGCAAGAACTCCATCGTCGACATATATGACCTTTCCAGGCTCGATCACCTTGGTGATGTTGGCATAATCAACATACCTATGAGTTGTTAGTACGAGACAGCAATTGCAATTATAACAAACTTAAAAATACCATACATGTTCTCTGAATTGCACGAGGTCTTGTATTTCTCGTCGGTGGTAATGTTTAGGACGTGTCCGGCCTTGATGGGGATATCTTCACCACGCTCAGTATCGCCAGTACGTATCTCGGGTCCTTTGGTATCGAGAGCAATGGCGACTTGACGACCACTTCGTTCCTTTTCGGCGGCACGAGTGTGGTCGATAACGGATTGGTGGTATTCGTAGCTTCCATGGCTAAAATTCTAGATTGGCGTGGTAAGCATCTCGTAAATGCCATTTTCATAGGGAAATCTCCTTACCATTCGCACAATGTTGAGACCAGATTGTCGCCTAGATGCCGCGTTAGTTTCCTGGGGAATGCTTTATTCGGAAGGGGATAAAAACTGACAAGGAGTTAATCTTTTCGATCGAGTTCGTCTTAGGGCCAATGGTGCAGATGATGGAAGTTCGTCGATGGGCATTCTTGCTAGGAGTTGCAGCCGTGTTAAGGCTCGCGAGCCACTCAACGCGGCCACCCAGGGCCAAATGATCGAGAGAGGATGCAGACATTGTCTATGTAGATAATGTCCAAGAACTGTCGAGGCAAGAAGGTTCGACGGGGAGGAGGATTACTATAGGGTATCACTTTATCAGAATCGAAGAACTATTGAGCTGGAAGGAGTGGAAGGATTGGGGAGGAATGGGAGGAGACTAACATACGGACAGAGGGCGACGTAGAAGAAAACAGTAGAATAGAACAAGATGCAATGAAGAATTGCAATGGGATGAGGTGAGGTGAGTGTGAGGTGAGGTATTTCTAACCTCTGATCACTTTTAGAAAAGTTAGAACGAGAGTTACGGATTAACCCCACCCCTCCTTCCTCCAGGGCTCTCAATGCATTTTTTGCTGAAGCAGGGTCAAGCTTTCCCTGGGTTGCCTTGGGGGGTCCAAGAATTGACCAGTAGTACTTACCCTGCGCGGGGCATTGAGGGGCTTTTCTTTCCCTTTTTTTTTATTTTTATTTATTCTCCTGGCCCTACATACATGTACATATGTAATGTACCGTGGAGTTGACCCACTGAATTGAATGTCCAAAGTAATAGGTACTTCTTACCTCATAAAACGGACACTCTAAGGTTGGTGATTTGCACATATATCGGTGTATATCTACTTCTCCATATACTTGGATAAGTCACGTCGCATTGCACTTTCTTACGCGGACGAGGGAGCTAGAGATAATGGTACCCAATTATATGACAAGGATTAGAGACCTGCCTTATCTTAAGTAACCTTAAGAACCCTCCGGGGCTCTCAGCTACTACTGTGAAACTTGACCCTTACGAGGCATATACATCAAATGCATGAATTAATTGTCTTTCATCCAGACCCGGATCCATTCTTGCCCACATGCAACGATCGAGTGGATTATAGCTTGTTCAGCCAAGTATTTAAGTACTACTATTATTGGTGCCAAATGTATCACTTATCTACGCCGCTCTTTTCAGCCTCTCCGGCGGTCAGCTTCATGACAAATGACAAAAGAGAGATTTAAGTGAATATATTATATAACCCCCCAACCCTAGTACCTACCCAAATAGGTAAGCAAACTATCCAATAGTCGCATTATATGGTATATACAGATAACTATTTAGATATAATCATAAATATGTAAATATGACATACTCTATGCTGTTTATATGCCCTATATGCAATTTCCACTTTCTGTTGGGCAATATCTTGGCCCTCTAATATCATCCCTCAACAACAATAAATAGTAGTATAACTTGGACTTTTTCTCTTTTTCTTTTTTTCTCAGGAGGGTAATATAAGGCTTGCGTACATTAGGTAGGTAGATACCCGTTGTCACACCGGAATATCATCCGTTGAGAATGCCAAGATTAAATAAATACCTTGAGTACATACATTTTGCAGCACCCATGTACATGTTATCGTCTCGATACTTGCCATCTCAAAAATATGTATGCCTCTCGTATACTCCTGCAAGGATACTGCCTACACTGCTACAAATCCGGACTTTATCAACAAAATGCAGACATGGAAGACAACAATATGTCGCTTAGAACCTATGATCAAACCTGGATTTCTATACACTAAAACCGGGATTATCTTATTGATTGCACCCGTTCATCAATCCTATAATAAGCCACCAGCGTAATTCGCGCTCACCGCTACCCATTCCCAACCAATCTTCTCAAACAGCGCATACATCACTTTGGAAGCACCACCGAGGGATTATCATACATCGTAGTCTCATAGGTCCGAGTCCGCCATGGTAATTTACAATGGTTGATATATTACTTGGCTAGAATTACCATGTCAATAGTCTGTCTTCGTAAAGGGGTTACATCATAGGAAGGCCTCAGTCTAAGGCATGGGGACAAAGGTGCTGTCGCGACAAAGAGATCATCATTCTTGATTGTATTCGGCTCTTTGTGGCTATAAATTGCAAGCTCCAAAACAATATAGTCGCTAGTCCACCCTTTATGATCGCAACAATAATCCAGACCTACACCACGAGACAGCTTAGTCGCCTATTCATCAGGACATTCTTGCAATTTATTTTTAGCTACATAATGCGCGCCTCTTTGGATATTTCTAGTCCTCGAAAGCTTACCATGGTGGTCATTTAATAATTTGTAAGGGAGAACAGGTGATGACTATCGTCAGGTATGGGTATTATCGGGGGTCAGATATGAGAAGCTCTTTGCATTTCTACTCTTTAGCTAAAACCCCGGATGGTATAGGCCCGGGAGCTTCATGCGAATAGCTTCTCCTTTGGCTAGACTACTCACTGCGTGATAGAATACTCGGGTACTTTATAGCCAAGTTTATTGTATTAATACGTTGCTATTGCCGTTAGCCCGCAAGACGTCTTGACATCTAGGCTTGAGGGGCCATCGATACCCTCCGATACCGTTATTGTGTTAATGGAAAGACTATAGCAAAGATTACTCTGCGGAGGACCATGATATGAAACTTATTTATTGGCGTGGAAAACTGTTTAACTCAACCTAGAAACAATGTTACTTCTTAAAACTAGTCTAATGTGGTCTTATGTTTCCTTTGTGGATATAATAGAACAAGGCTGCTTGAGGGTATATAGGTAACTGCTTTCATAGTCCCAGTACTCGCCATGGTGGTCACCATGAAAAGATATCGCCACTAGACTAAAGATACCCTTAATATCATACTTTGCTATAGTGCGTTATTCAACATGTTGTGTGGTATATTTATGAAGTTTTGTATTTTACGTGTACGGTGAATAGCCATGGGTTGCTCGCAGCGGCGGGTCTAATTTTTACGTATAACTCGCTCCACAGCACAGTATCGACCTGGATTCAGTTATACGATGTCCCGTTCTGGTACTGATTTGAAAGACTTCGCCGTTTCCGGTCAACTATAGCCTCGTACTATAACACATCGCTCCGGGCACCTGGTCCCCTTTGTCCACCGGTTATATTATAAAGGAGGCCGGTCGCGGTCCATGTATCTACTGTGGGCCTAATAGTCTAGACATCTAGTAAAACAGTTGTTTAGTTACATAACCCACAACGGCCATGCCACCCAAAGGTAAAGTTGACCGACGAGAAGAGAATGAGTTGCGGAGGGAAAGGAGGAGAACGCAGAAAGAGAATATAACAAGAATCAGAATCGCACTGAGTAAGGGAAAATTGGCTATTTGTGTTGGATCGGGTGTAACCCTATATTCAGTTCGTGCTGGCGAAAGAAGACGTATGGGTGTACGTATACAATGTTGCCAATTCCATTCCACATTCCATACTCTTGATGAAACGGGATAGATGGGTATGGTTGTTTAGACCATCAATCATATCACGTTTCATCGCTACTCCCCAAGGAGTCTTTACTAACTTTCGTTGTTGCACTCAGTGGGCCGGCCTTATCAAGAATGCGCTCCAATGGCTCGAGAACCAAGCAGGACCGATTGCAAATCAATACAGGGCCGACATGGACTATGCACGGGAAATACTAGCACGTCAGCAGATTGGGGATCAAGATCTTTTCGAGGCTATCAATAGGTTACAAAAAGTCATGTCAAAGCGTAATGACCTTTTCTCATCATGGCTGAGGCACCAATTCGAAACTCTGTATACTCTCATCACTCGCCCGCAAATTCTTGATAGTCTGCGGGAGCTTCACCGAAAGGGGGCTATGTTGTTCACCACGAACTATGATGATCTGCTGGAAAAGCATATTGGGATTCCATCTCTTACTCGCACCGATGAAAATGGCGTACTTGCGTACGAACGAAAATCTCTTGATGCGGTATTTCATATCCATGGCCATTGGCAAGATCCTGGAACGTAAGTAACTTTCCAAAGCTATTTGTCGCGGACGTCGACTTTATTCGTGATTGCACGGAGCAGTGGTTGCTGACTCGGAGTGCCCAAGTGTTGTACTATCTGCAGAACATTACTACACCGTTAAAACGCACGCTGGTGTCCAGGAAACATTGAGCCACCTCCTGGCTACCAAGACCGTACTTTTTGTTGGATGCGGTGGCGGTTTGGGAGATCCTAATGTTGGTCCGCTCTTACGATGGATTGGAAATAGACATGCACAGCGTGGAGCCGGCCACTACATTTTGCTCGCTAAACACCAAAGGAACCCGGTGCCTGACTTATCGTTGAACCATTGCGTCTGTGCTAATTATGATGCTATTGCTCCGTGGTTAATGGGGCTTCTGCCTGATGATGACCAACGTGAGGGTCTTGGTAAGTTAGCTAAACCAACGAATAAATATCAAACTGGGACCTAATCGAGACGTTTAGTTCATGAATTGCCAAGCAACAGCCGACGGTTGAACGTTTTTAACTGGCTTTCGCCGTACGACCAAACCGGGTTCTTGGATGCGAACTTAAATCGACAGAGCGGCGCTCCTATCCCATTCCACCACTTGGTCACGCATCGTGAGGATTTCTGGGAGGCAGATGGACGTAACTTCAGTTTTATGTGGGCTATCGCGGAAAGTATGTCTTTTTAACTACCACCACTTGTGCGTGAACATAGCTGATAACTTCCCGTGCTTAGGAGATGAGGGTAAGACGATGTTCTGTTCTTCGGTAATAGATGCCACTAGACAGGCTTGCAGATTAGCAACTACCCGACGAAGTCGAGATTCCCTTGCTTACTTCTTCTGTGCAACATACGACCTGAATAATCCAGGAGAGCGAGCTCAGTACGACTTCAGCGAATTCTGTCGTACCGTCCTGAATCAATTGTGTCCGCCAAACAGAGTCTACCCGGCCCTTCGCGAGTTATGTGCTCAATGCACGCAATACCACCCTGCAAGGCAACCGACTAATGCAGAGCTTCAGCAGGCTCTCATTGGCGTCATTAGTGAGCTTGACCGCGAATTTCGAGGGTCCCAGGGTGATGTAATTTCACCGGGAGAGACGTACCTGATACTCGATGGGATCGACGGCCTACCCGCTGATAGACAACCTGATTATCTGATATTCTTAAGAGAATTGAACAACCACCAGTTTCAGCATTTCCATATACTAATATCTAGCAACTCCCTGCCGTGGCTTAATTTATGGCTAAGCGGTGGAACACCTCAACAGCCATGGGTTCGAACCTATATAAACTGGGATCAGCACATGGTACCTATAAGGGCTGAATTCATTACCAGGTTCCTCGATAAGATGGTTATGCGCGGGTTACACGATCCTCTCCAGAGAGATTTCATTTATGACTCGCTGAGATTTACTCCGCTTAGGTGAGTTGAACACACAGCAACTTTTAATTGAGACACCTAAATTATGTATGGATCTTTCTAACTGATTATCGTTTGTAGCTTTCATGATGTATATTTGGTATTGCAAGGGTTGTGGAATTTGCCAGCTTTCACTGTGCCAGCTATTCAAGCTCAAATATTCGGACCATAATACGGATGCATCGATATATATGGTTAGGATAGTTGAGACAAGAAAAGAAAGAAGGAAAGAAAGAAGAAGAAGAGAGAGATAAAGAGATAAAGAGATAGATATCAATTGATGAGGTTATGTAATATTGAGCACAGTTCACACAGTCATAATTTTACATGAAAGATTTATGAATTATGCTCGTACATTTAAAGTGTGTATAATTACATAATCGGCGTTGCTATGTCAACCAGTAGCAGAACATGGATTGGTCCGGGGTAAGAACTACCTACTGTAGGTAAGTACACTAAGAAATCATTCCGGAATTTTGTTCCAACATTTCAATTCAATTTTGAATTCAATTCCAAATCTAACCCCATTCATAAAAAACATTCACACCGAAAGTGGCGGCGCATCACACGGCGAAAATTAAGACTTTGGCGACGTACCTATATTTGTGCGTCCTTTGTTGCCAAATTCCTCTCCATTCTTTTGGTGATAATTAATTACTACGTTCCACCCCTTTCCCTTTTTCTAAAGCCTGAATGGCTTCACCGCTATCTCCTTCTAAGATCGACGTGTTGAATTCTGCAACACCTTTGAACAACCACAATCCAAACAAGTGCGAAAACGACGGCGGCGAAAATATCAATTTATATACGACTAAAATGAGTGGCGAACGCGTCGCTCATGCTGATGACGCGACAAGTCCTCCAGCTGTGTCACAGATGGATGAGGATAAAGACAGCGCCAGTCATAGCCAAGAGAATTTCTCACCATCCAAGTCGCGTCATTCAAGAATATTATCCGGCACCGAACTTTCGCCTCTAATGATTTTAACCACAACGGATGAAAATGGCGACGCCGAACCTCGACCCCCTAGAAAACAAGCCCAACCGATTAAAAGTCCTAGAAAAATATCTCCCGAGAAGCGCTTCCCGATCAAGGTCAACAGTAGCCCCTCTCCGTCGTCATCACCCTCCCTGGAGACCCCGAGGCCTAAGGTACAAGAACAACAAATTAGTATTGAGGAAGCTCTTCGCCAAAACAGTGGTCTTGCGACCGCCATCCAAATATTTGAAGATGAAGATACGATGTTGGAACACGACGAAGACAATGAGGCTGACGTTACTTCTATGTCTGTGGGTGATCAGCCAATTGAAGAAGAACCTTCAGGTCCTGATGACACTATGATCAGCACCTTCAGTAATTTCTCCGCAGTGCCGAATATGACCATGTTTGCGAGAATTGGACACAGCCCTACTAAATTCGCTAATACGAATGCCACACCCACCAGTCTACGGATGCGCCCGGATCCTTCACCTTCTAGAACTCCCCGACCTCCTGTCATGCATGAGTCCGGGAATACGACTAACCTCCTCATGGACTTCACCGAGCAGATCGGTGGATTTTCTTCTAGACACCCCCAGCAAACGCCGAGCCGAAGCCAGGCTTCTGGTAGACCTCAGAGAGACGCAGTTGCCGCAACGCCCCAACGTCAGCAGTCCAACCTGCTAGATTTTGACATACCACCCCTCCCGACACCCCGTAGTATCCCTACTGTAACGCCCAGAGAATTAGAGTCGCTTAAGTCGGGCTTTCTCTCCGAGATCAGCAGCCTTAAAGCTTCCCTGAGCGGCAAAGAAGCCGAAGTCACGTCACTGAAGACTGCGGTTGGCGATGCTGAAAAGCGCGTGGGAGAATGCATGGAGCAACTTCGCGAGATGAGGGCCGTCAAGGAAGCATTGGCTGAAGAGAAAGAAGGATGGGAGAAACGCGGTCGGGAGATGGAGGTCGTACTCCGCAAGGTCAAGGAAGAGATTGTCATCAGCCAACGAGAACGAGAAGAGATCGAGTTTAAGTTAGAAGAAAGCGAGAAACGACGCGAGGCAGCAGAGATTATGGCGCAGGAGGCCGAAAGCAAGATGGCGGGCATGCGCGCCGGCAAGGCTACCTCGGATGCTGGGTCAGAGCCTGGTAACAATAAGTCGCCGGACAAGGCTAAGAATGCCGGTTCCCGCGAAGTTGAAATCGCGGTAGAGCGTGTTGCTCGTGAACTACATGCACTTTACAAGGGCAAACACGAGACTAAGGTTGCAGCCCTCAAGAAGAGTTATGAGAACCGCTGGGAGAAGAAGGTTCGCGAGTTGGAGACCAAATTAGAGGACTACGTGGAAGAGAACGAGAAGCTAAGGCTCGGTCGGGATGCCACAATAACAAAGGTTGATCCTAACCAGACCATCGTAGACGAAGAACGCAAGGCTCAAGCCGTGAAAGACTCGGCACAGATTAAGGAGCTAAACGCCGAGATCGAGAAGCTCGAGGCTGTCGTCAGCAGCATTAAGGTGGACAACCACGAACTCCGTCAGCTTCTCGAAAAGGAACGTGTCGAGAAAGGCGAGCTTGTGTTGCTGGCCGAAGAAATGATGTCGATGCAGAGTTTCGTCCAGGCGGAAGAGACACCAGCCCGACCGGCTCCCGTCAAACCCCAGCCGACAGGACCCGAGAGTTTCCGTAATAGTGTTGGCGGTCGCGTATCGGGTCTACGTGCTCCCAATTCCGTCAAAAAGCCAGCGGAGAGCCGGATCGGGGGTATTGCCCATGAACGAAGCAAGAATGGCGGGTCTCATGGCGGTCTACCGCGCCCTGGTAGTGGCACGGGCGCGAGGAGCGGCATTATGAGTTCCATCGAAAAGATGGGCAACTACCGAGGTCGAGTTGAGTAAAACTTAACTGGGGTTAATGACTTGGTTCATGATAAGTTATAATGGGGTGTTACGACTCTGAATGCAGATACGATGTGGGCCAGGTATTGTAATGACGGATAGGGGATACTTCTAGTTGCACGGGTGGAGTCTGGGTTGGGATCGAGAGTCTCTTCCGAATTGCGGAACTCCTACTTTTCCAAGCTACATTATCTGTTAGGCTTGGTCGCATTGGCTGCATTTAAACGAGCTACCCATACTGTATATAGTATCGACTAGTCGTTATGGGAGATTGGACTTGATTCAGTCTACCTCATGTTGTCAATGCGAAAAATAATACCCATGTATTATCTGAAAAATACTAACTACGTCTCTACATAAGCACTCGAGTAGGCTTATTACTTGTTTTCAATGACATCACCTAACCAGTGCTGTAGCATCTTCGGCACGAGACCGACATCCAAAACTTGTGGACACTCGCGGAGTGCACTACTATCACGACAGGCTTTCTCGATATTGTACCGTAAACCAGGGCCAGAGCCAACACCTAAACCGCTGTATGTATCCTCGTAGTATTCCACCAACTTGACCGCAGGTAATCTAGCTTCCGCGACCGAACCTAGGACATTCGCTCGCGAGCGCAATCTCGATAGCCATTCTCTTAGATCAACATCTTCAAACTTCAATCCTGCCTCTCGCAACGCGGGTAAAAAACCCTCATTCCATGAAAATTTGTGCGGTGGTTTGACATTATAGAAGGACGGCTCATGAGCCCCCATCGGAAGTTTTTCTGCGAGCTGCAGACACGTATGAGCTACCGTGTCGACCGGCATCCAATCGCAGATATCATGATCGCCTTCAAGACGTGGTGCCGCATGGACCTCGGTTATACTTCGAACCAGAATCGGGATGGCTTCTTTGCTATTCCAAATACCATTGACGGTATCAGCCGAGATCTGTCCGATCCGTAAGACACCGACGACGGCCCCCTTTGCCGCGGCGGAGAAGCAGATACGCTCGCTTATGAGCTTTGAGCGTGCATAGCCCGTTGGTGCCGCGTATCTGAGGGAAGTGATAGGCCCTTCGGGTACGATGGCGGGCGTTAGCATCTGAAATGCGGTAGAAATGCTGCTCGCGAATATAAGATGAGCTGGGGACTCGAAAGGGACCTTCAACGACAGATTTAGAAGGTTGCGTAGGCCCACGATATGGGGAACTAGACTCATTAACGAAACATTGAAGTTCACAGGCCAGGCCGCATGAATTATGAGCGTGGCCGATTCTTGAAGAGCTGCATAGCGTTCTAGCGAAAGACCAAGATTCGGTGCGCCCAGGTTATTTGCCGTTAAGGCTGTTACCTTCCTAAATCGTGCCTCATCAACACTCACCGTATTGAGTCCTCTAGTCACCATAGACTCATCGATGCGAGCTAACGCATTGTCCCCTCGGACTAAACAGTAGACATGCCCAACTTTAGGATCATCCAGTAGTTGGTTAAGTAAATGAGCACCCAGTGCACCAGTAGCGCCAGTGAGTATCTATACTATCTTGTTAGCTACTACGTGTTTAGAAAGGGACAAGGAAAGCTAAGAATATTTCTTTTGCTTACCACGACCCCCTTTTCCGGTGTTGGGAGCGCTCCTGGCGCCCGTGGCTGGAAATCCGTATTTTCCTCGATTATTTTCTCCATCTTCATTATTTCATCATCGTCACTTGGGTGTAAATCTTCAAGTTTCTCGCTTGTCCGCATGGCGAAAAGGAGTCGAGCGAGCTTTGCTACGGACCCAGCATCATAGACAATATTGGTGCGTAACGAATGTCCGCCAACATCCAAGTTACGTTGTAGTAGTCTACGCACCTGAGCAGCACGTAGACTATCAATTCCTGAGGCGAATAGGTCTGCTTCTACATCTGGAACCTCAATAGCTGCTTGTTGGCGGATGAGCTTTAGTATAAACTGTTCTAATTGCTCGACGTTAAGCGTGAGGTTCCCGCTGCCGTTCCCTTCAGCAACGTCTTTGTCTTTGCTGTATAAGTTCTCGATTACATCTTCGAAATGCGCGTATGCGGCCGCACGAATGATATTATTCTTGTCAGTAGCCGGGTATTCAACATCAGCAGCGATCGGAGCTATCATGTCAGGGGTCAGACGTGCGAATTCGTCCGCGATCTCGTTTGCTCTGTTTATATAAGGCTGGATGGCCTCGACGAACTCGTCGTCAGATAAATTAGCCGCTGCTGTAGACCGGAAAGCTAAAAGGCCAGGCACAAGGCGATCATTGCCGACCATCAATACGTCGCGCACGAGGGGACTCTCCCGAATAGTACCCTCCATATTTAGAGGAAGTATTTTTTCTCCGCTTAGCAGCGTCACCCTGTCGTCGGCGCGGGCAACATATTTCCAAGCCCAGTCGATTGATGGATGTGGAACAAAGAGATCCCCCGAATGAAAAGATCCAGGGGGGTCATTCGAATTGCTGATCATGAGCGCAGGATGAGACTTTAGATACACGGACTCATGTACATTGCCATCAATCTTCTTGAAGGTTATATGTTGGCGTAAGTTGGCATATGGTCGAATATAGTCCCAGGAATCATCTCCTGCTTCACGGTGGATGGAGTCACCCACATGGCCGACTTCTGTCCTAAATATATGTTAGCTACCTATCTTATACGGGTTAAGGGCCGAGTAAGGCGAACAAGCCAAAAATCAGGCCAAGCCTTACGCCAGCCTTGACGACTCGGTTACCGAGCTCATCCGGAGTTCTCGCTCCCGCTGACGTGACAACTTTGCAATTTTTCAAAACATCAATACCATCTTGTCTTTCCGCCATGAGTTTCAGAGCATACGGAACTGTATGACAAATCTCAGGCTGAATCGACTTGAGCGCTGAGATCAAGTTGTCCGCCGTTAGGGGTAAGTGCGCATTAAATAGGTGTGCCGGCCTCCGCATCCACATCGCTTGTATTGAAGTAATCAAACCATGAAGATGATACCATGGTAATGCATTAAACGCTTTCAGGCCAGTACCCGACACCATAGAATTGAGAAGGCCTTTGTGCGATAGAAACAATGGCTTAGGGAGCCCCGTAGATCCGGATGAATGCATCATGAGCGTAATCTGTGTGTGCTCCGTCTCCTTGTCGGGAATATGTCGCTGGAAAGGCCGGGAAATGTCTTCAGGTTTATCAAAATCTGCTCTAGTTGGAATCTGGATGAACTTAAACTCCGGGTGTGCCCGTTCAATCTCAGATACTGTCGACTTAACACGAATGGTGGTTCCGTAGAGTATGGTATCACAGCTTGCGCGCCCGAGTAGATGGAGACACGCCGTCTTGTTTAGGCGAATAGACACAGTCAACACCTTACATCCAAGCCGGAACAGGGCGAAAAAAGTGACAACGAATGATAAGTCTGAAGCAGCAAAAAGAGCTACTGTTTTGCGCGAGTTCACTTCAATTCCAGCCCGCACGAGCGCCCGACAGGCCTCGTCCACCATACGATCGAGATCTTTCCCGGTGAAGTACTCATATTCAGCAGCATCATGATCATAACGGGGGTATCCAAGAATAGGAGCCTGCTCTTCGTCTCTCCCTCGCTCACGGATAAGGTCATCGATCATCCATAGCTTGCCAAACCGATCAGTCCGTTCTTTAACAACGTCGGCAGATATGTTAGACATGATGCGTTAGAGCCGTAAGGGATTGTCAAAACTAGGGGTTTATACTCGTTCGTCTAACTAGAGAGAAGTCAGTAAATTGTCTCTACGAGTAATGGGTGTTTTGGTTGGGAAGTTGAACCCATGCGTCGAGTATTAATACCCGCGACAAATGAGTGAAAACGGCGTAAAAGCGGGCTTTATGTTGGACCCGGCACCTGCCCCCACAAGGAGTTGGAAATCTAACTCCTATTGAGGCTGACCATTAGGTGTAATATTGGGCCTATGGGCGAACAGCTGAGGTGCTATGCAACTAGACATCCATCTAGGTAGCTTTAGGTGGTCTTTTTGGCCTATATCCGAAGAGTCATTTCCGGATTATACGTACTCCATTGTAACGGACCAGGAATAAATGAGACATGATCGACAGGTATTCATTCTCTCCACTCTCGAACCCCGTGTCGTCAATAGGGCGTAGGGGATAACCTCAGCATTAAAAACCGAACGGTCGGATTCATCTGTCCAATAAATCTGTCGGCCTGCTCTACGGTAAGTGACTGCGCCATGTGTGGGCTTCGATCGGAATAACACCGTAGATGGTAATCTGCTTACCTAGATGCGTACTGAGTTGGTGACCTCGCCGAACAACGGGTTCGTAAGCAGGCAGTTAGATCATCTTCCTTCTCCCTCTTTTTCTTTTTCTTTATTCCACTCCTATATCTTACGTTGTGTTCTTCTATCTCCGTTCTCTATTAGTGCTACTTATTCCTACCAATTCCGACTTATCCCCAATAGTTCAAGCCATTAGTGTAACATTGTGATACACTTACCGCACGTTAATACACCTTGTAAGGACAGCCGGGTTGCATTGTAGCAATTGCTACCCTACATCCTAGCACCTTGTGGAGCCAGCACGAATAATCCGTATGACAGTCAAGCTTTACTGGCATCCAGTTAAGACGGGAGAATTGTGCGGTATAATTTTAGGTAAAGGAGGTGAAAATCCATATTGGCCCGCGTCTAGGTATACTGGCGACTATTTCAGGTTTTGGCTTATTTGTAGGTTACCTAAAAGCAAACATGCAGAACGAACCGAGCGTACTTTCGGGGCACCGTAGGGGGGTTTAATTTACGCAGTACCTACCTACCTAGGTATGGATCATGCATGTGTTTGCAGCCTCACATCCGTGAGTGTTCTCAAAACTATATACGTACTCGACTTAAAAACCGTCCTGAAAAGGCTTCTATATATGTGATGATTGGATTAAATAATAGATGCCTAAGTATCTTATATGTAGATCTATGTGATAGAAGAAACAGGAGTTGCATATGTATTATACGAATCGTACATAGAACATGACAAACACCCAGGATGTCGATTACCCTTATGCACATGAATCCTTCCCGTATCCCCTTACCCAGCACTTACTATGTCGAAAATACCATGTACATAGATACCTGGGTACATGACAAGTACTCCGTGTCCAACGCGGAAACCTGCAGGAAATACATGCTCATTGGCCTTTGTTTTATTACTGTGGCTGGCGGAATCTTATGGTTAAATGGCATTCACCAAAACATAGACATTTAGGGCTTATCTGCTCCCAGAGTGTAGCATATCAAATGTATATAATTATATGAGATGTTTATTTCATTATTTCAAGCTCCCCGTAGACAGAAGACATATATTTAATAACCTCCCCCGCCACTCGTTAGGTTGGCCGTCCTGGAACGTGGCGCTGTTATCCGAACATAATGATTTGGCTCCATATCGTCAGGCAGCGGTTGGTTGGCATCTATTGAGACACCTATGTCCGTCTTCACGACGATATCAGTTAGCCCAAAGGCCTGACCTTCCTGTACTTCACCATTTGGTTCTCTTGAATCCGGTAGATTCATGGCCTCTTCCTTTCCTTGCCTCGTGAGCGCTTCTGTGTCTGAGTCCAGCTGTCCCGACTCATTATTTCTACTTCGTAGAATTATATGGCCAGACCGGGCCGCCCCTTTGCTAGAAACGCCGTATTGTCTAGGGCCAGCACTACCAGATGCGTACGTGGCTGCCGAGCTACCAACCCCAAACCACTTAAACACAATGGGCCGAACTGCCGGAAGATTCGCGCATATAAAACCTATTTCGACTTCAACAGTACTCCATAAACCACCAGAAACGTTACTAAATGTGAAATCGGTCGGATCAATCTCATAGACACCAATAATACGGAATATGCTAGCAACACAGACACTAGGCCAGCATAATCAGCAAAGGAAGCGACAGTTGTGGGCAGGAAGCAAGAAAAAAACTCACAATGCACCAAGAAGGAATAAAAAACTGAGAGACCATTTCTTGCTCCTAGATGTATTCAATTTCCAAACAACAGGAAGAGGCAGGACCAGAACGGCGACGTCGCCAATGACGTTGATAATGGCGGATGCCGAGTAAAACGTATTTTGGTCGATACAATCCTCAATCTTCCCTTCCCAGAAACTTGCTACTGGGGTACACTGAAGGGCGAAAGAAAAGAAGTTACTGATAAAGATCATGAGCGAGAAGCATCCAACGCCAATGGCCGATATGCGGAAAGATTTCGTATGGAAAACACGCCAATAGAACAATAGAATGCCGACTTTAACACTGAAGACGCCGATGGACCAGAAGATTTCATATATATAGAGATTCTGATTTGTCGGAGCCATTAGCGGAACCCAGTTATAGATGCGCCCAAGGGATATTAGAATAAGAGACTTACCTTCATGAATTTGATGACGGTTTCCTCGTCTAAATCAGCTTGGTGCTGGCCGGACCCATATACAAGCCCGACGAAGTCGTTCGTACTCATAGCAATGCATATGAGCATAGGCAAGCACATCCAATAATCATCCCACCATAACTTTGCCGCCGAGGCACTTCTCGCGTAGATTCGAAGGCCAAACGATAATATGGAGAACGCAAGACAGGTTATAACTATGCCGACAGTGAGCCTCTGGGAATGAGTATCGAGAATACCTGCCGCCATGTTCTTTCAACGCCCATGCTCCGGGCCGCTACAGTGGCTTAGCTTCCTATTTCCTTGGCTTGGTGGAATATGTTTTTATATAAGGTGATATTGTCATGAGAGATTCGGTTTGAACTTTGATAGAATAAAAATATCGGTTGGGCTAGACCATCTTAAGAGTAGTAGTTGAAATACTGGGTGGAAGGCCTGTAAAAATGAAACAGGTCGATCACCACCATACCCACCGTTATAATCGAAATTTTCGACAAGTATCAGCCAGGGAGAGCCCATGCATATCGGATCAGCCAACCGATGACGATCCGCAGGAACCCCTGTTTCCAGGCTTTCGCGGTAGAACGGGGCAACTATATCTAAGCTGTTTTCCATGTATAGTCCTATCGTACATAAGTACATTATTGGACATTATTTTCGAAGCGTTGCACTGACTCGTTGGACCGCTGTAACGAAGCAAACACAGATCGACACTGTCTAGACGCGGGTCGTATTGGTTTCGTTAAGTACCCCCTACCTAGGTACATTTTTATGTAGATCAGAGGGCGTTTTGTATGCGTGATTTTCTCCGCCACTGCAGAAATGGTTGTCCAGCTCCGGAGGCGCCCCGAGCTAGCCATGAAGAAACTTTGACATATCAGGGACGTGATATTACTATGATTACTTTTGGACTTGAATACGATAAGCAAAGGATTATCTGTAAGTGTGGGCCTTGTTGCAATTATTTTCCAAGCTTAAAAGGAGAAATATAATGTATATAAAAGCACATGCTTGTATTACGGTCAAAACGGAATAGCATTGACATGACGTACACTATGTAAGAGCTATAACTGCTTATGGGTACTTAGGGAGACACCAGTATAATGATAAGCATAAGAATTAAGCATTATAATAGTGGGAACTCGCAAGCCTGGTTGCAAAGAAGGACTGAACACTGCTGATCGTTTCCGTGTTTCCAGGGGGGCCGCCCGCATATGACAGGGGGGTTCTCAACCGCTTCTGCATACACTAGTGAACACTATAGACGGCTCGTCCCTTGTGAGATCCCATAATGGACCTATTCTTCGATTTGGTGCAGGTGCATATACTTATTCACCCGTGCTGTCGTGTTACACTTTAGGTATGAAGATTATCAACTTACTTTTTACTTTCGGTAACAATTTCTTTCTAAAAGAATATCTTACATGAATCTACGTAACTTTGCCTTCCTAATTACATTATATTCAGTTTCTACTAGGCAAGTTCAATATCATATATAATTATGTACAACTACAAATAAAGAATGAAGAGAAGGAAACGAGATTTGTGTGGGGGTCAGGGGAGGATGGGCTCCGAAGAGGCCCTTGTACCATGTAACATCTCGGAAACGAACGAACGGACGCTGGAGACGGGTGCGTGACATGCCAAGAATTTTATAACAAGGGAACATGGGCTATAACCTTAAATGAAGAACAAATTGCCCTCCTAAATGGTAATCTTGCCATAAGTTTGTATTCCTTTGTAGTAGCTTGATCCTACCTAGGTATTAAGGATGGGGAAGAATATCTGCACGTAAGTAGACGAACATGGAGTTAAAGTCTAAGATAGTATCCGATTGGCTAAATCAGAGTGGGGGTTTCCACAAAGAGTATATCCCACATGGTATAAGTCAAAGTTGAAGTAGACCATAGTCTACGCGTATCTACCTAAGTATTTAAGTATATATGCAGCTTGTAGGTAGCACCTCCCTTGCCCTTTAGGGGGTATCTGGCTGGAATTACCTAGGTAGGGGCCCTAAGGGACGATATATACGAATATTAAGTAATTTAACTCCCTTGGAGGTACAGCTATATCAATACGGGGTATGCTCTCGTACGGTCAGGCGAGGATAAGAGGACAACGTTTTGACTATTCGCTTATGACGAAGAACCTTTAACAAAATACATACTTAGGTGTCAGCATCCTATGGCCACATACTTGGGAATTCGATGATACCGACCGTCTAAATCCACTTAGGTATTCACCGTCATCGCGTCAACACTGACTCTTGGTTATTGTTGAGTGAGGCGTTACTAAAGGCCCCTTTTCTCAATACGCACTCCCGATACTTCTTCGATAGCTATTGTAGGGTAAGACGCCGACAGCAAGGTTCCAGATCCAGAGAAGTAACCGACTGCTCTTTCGAATCAATACACTCTTGTCGAGCTTAATGTCTTTTATTTGTGTGTCCTATCCCATTTCTATATACCGCTGATTTGTTTCGTGGCTAGATCGGCTTGCTTTGTGTACATCGAATTCGAAACCTTACTAATAGGCCGCCACTACGACCATTTTCATTATTGCTTTTTTCGAGTTCCAACCCTGTGGCGTCAAAGTAACATGGCCGTACCATTGGCGATACATATTCTTTGGCGGGGTGGTGCTACCGCCTTTAGCCCACCTACACCTATTGGATCTCCGAGATCGTTGAAGTCATAATTTCTGAAGTAGAATTGATTGAATCGAAATTGCGCGACGATGAATTTGATATTTTTAAAGTGTGAATTGAATACTAGGTTTTGGAATTTAGGAATTTGTGAAATAAGAAAGTACATAGGTAAGTAATGGCTGTTGGTAGTTTACCTATGTAAAGAGAGAATTGATGCTCCTAAGAAGTTAATAAAGAAGTTAATCAATCAATCGTCGTAGAAGTAGCATGTGGGGTCTAAGTTTATGCCTAGTATGACTTACATAATACATCTGCCTAAGTATTTAGATAATCCCACCATGCATTGGTTTTATTGATACTCTCAACACTTTGAACTATCAACCATCAAGAAAAGAGTTCGAAATTTAATAAAGTTATTATTCATCAGAAGAAAATAAATCATTGCAAGAACATATTCCATCGGAATCAACATGAAGACTGATCATTATTTGAACTTATGCTTGGAACAAGCCGAGCAATCCCCTCTTCATTATCGTCACGGTTGTGTCGTTGTGAAGGGAGGTAAGGTTATTGGTAAAGGATTCAATGATTACCGGCCTGGCTACGATGGTGGCGCTTTGAAGACTGGCCAGCTGCCTACCAAGCCTACCACACTAGAGAAGTTGGGAGAAGACAAACCTAAGAAGAAGAACGGGTTCAAGCCCTTCGAGAACACCGTCGGGTTACAGGCCGGCGGCCACCGTCTTGCTAATAACTGTCTTACTATGCATTCAGAAATGATGGCTATAAACTCGGCTCTCCAGTCATCAAACACCTCAGCCGCTACAAATCTGTCGTATCTTAAACCCTCGACCGCTCTATCGTATGGCTCAAAACGAAAACGGCAGTTCCGCTGGGATATCCTCAACGCATTCGTCCAGAGTGTCTGCTATGAGACTTCCCGGCCGCATACCCAACAGGGCACCGCCCCAATTGAAATTGCCGGGTGGCGTTTTGAATCCTACACATACACATACGACACAACAACATCATGCCTCACGCGTAGGTCATCATCATCACCACCATCACCACTCGAAGGGGAACCATGGGAACGCGTACAATTCGGCAGGGCAATTGAAGCAGCATCGTAATCATCGAGAGAACCGTAATACACTCAACAATAGTAACGAGGTAAATCAAAGACTCAGGTCTGCGCAAATTCAACACTTATCTATAGAAGAGGAGGACGAACCGTCTAGCTGTGGCGACTCATCATTAAAGAGCAAGCATAGAAAAGACCACAATATGTTTTCTGGAAGCCGAAGGGTATATTCGCTTTCGATTCTGTCTTCAATTGAGGAGCTAATTGTACAAGCAGTTCGACCACGGCGACAAGTTAACACTGCCTAATAGCGACTTCCGGGACGCGATACCGTCCTCACACGACGTGAAAGACCGCATGAAGCATCCAAAGCTGCGAGGCGCCGATGTATACGTTGCTCGTCTCGGTAGTGTATCAAGCTCGCGTGGGCGCGGGGTCGGTAATACCAAGAAGAGTGAACCAGATGCTGAGCAAGATGCAAACTCAACAGACTGCCGCTTATCTTCTGCACCGACGCTAGTAAACGAGGAGTTTCGCACGGGCTCTCTATATGATGAGCTGATGTGCAAGGAACTGAAAACATCATTGCCAGCGCGATCTGAGGATGCGGCTTTAAAAAGCACCGTCGACTGTGGGAATGCTTTGGATTCTCGACCATGTTATCGATGTGTCCTCTACATGCACTCTGCGGGCATTAGGCGAGTATATTGGACGAACAATCAGGGCCAATGGGAGAATGCTAAAGTTCGAGATCTGTTTGATCAAGTGTCAGGAAATAATGTGTATAATGGGTCCGATGCCAATAGTGGTGGTCGTGGTGGAGTGTTTGTTACGAAGCATGAAATCCTCATGTTGAGGAGGCTCTCTGACCAGAAAACCAACCAAATAGCAGCAAAAAAGTAGGAAGATTTCGCTTGACTTATTGTAGGTATGCTTACCTATTAAGCAAACAATTGATCAATAATATAATATATAAAAGCACGTTTTCTTAAGGTATTGTCATTAATTGATCAATTATAATTATGTCATTACTACATATGTATGTACTGGCTTGTGATAATGTCCCGCTTTCACTTTTGGACAGGTGATCCGCTATAGATGTACATAAGGGGATAGTTTACATGGGTAAGGAGACAGTGGATTAAATATATACGAAGCTATCCCTAAATAGTCGCTATCGATAACGAACGGGGTCTCCTTGTGCACCAAGAACTAGCTTTATTGGTTCCTGAACTAGCTCCAGCTTCAGCGGATCCCCCCATATCATCTTACTTTTTAGTTTAGGTGGATGATGTTGAAATAGGGACTACGACGAATGATTTAACTTTCCATTTAAACTATCAATCTACTTCGCAACCTCTTTCCTACCAATTCACAACTCTTTTTCCTTCCTTATCCTTTCTTTCTTGGTCCCAGCGATCATACGCCTCACGTACCAAATCTACCCTGGTGTTTCCATACTACTTCTGACTGCTATTATATATGCCCTCGTCTGTAAGAGTTGGAATACTATGCGAGTAAGGATACAGTCGGATCATAGGGACGTCTGCATCTTCCGTCGAGTTGGCCGACTTGGGTGGGCTTGAGCTGCACCGGCCAACTCAGACATTCTAAAGCCCTCCCAATCCTACGATTAGTTTCTGTATTGCTGACCCGGAAAGTACCATGTCCACTCCCGACCGCGACGACTCGGTTTCGCCTACCACTAGGATTTCTCGTACTTCATCTCCCGCGCAAACACGTCACAACTTCCCATCCTCTATACCTCATTCTCCTAGCGACCCCCTGCCGATCTCTGTTCCGACCCGTGACGTGTCACTTTCCGATACTGTGTCGGTCTCTTCTGCCAAACTAAATACAGAGCCCCCGACGGACTATCTGAACGGGGGCCGGCCCCACGAAAGTACCTCCCCTGTCAATGGCGTCGCGTCGTCTTTCCTGAATCAGCCACCAGTTATACGATCTCCCTCTCCGTTGAGAAATACCGCGATCCATATACCTGAGGGTGATGCTACTGCGCAGGGAGAACCGGCATCACCTGGCCGACGTAGTGTGCAGTTTGCTCGTGCTGATATCCTGCTTGATCCTCCACAGGAACATGTCAGACATGGGTCATGGGATGAAGGAGATCTAAAGAATCGATCTCGCAGCGAGAGATGGATTTTGAGGTTGAGGTCGACATTGGGCAGCTCTGGGGGTATCCAGCCACCTAAGTCCCCTGGAACATCTGAATACACGCCCCAATCTACGACTGCTTCGCCTGTCGTGGGTAGATCTAACCGTGTTCCGGATACACTGGACGAAGAGGAAGGCAGCGATGCGGATGTGGAGGCGAGCGCTGACGAAAGTCATGAAAGGGACCCGCCTAAAAGTAAAAGGAAGAGGATGCGACGTCGTTTAAAGCACTTAGACGTGTTTACGGCCCCCAACTCCCCCCGACCCGTTGATGACCTCGATTCTCCGGGGCCGAGCCGCCTGAATGCGATGGTTAGACGTTCCACAATGCCTGAATCCGCTGAGCACCGCGGTGGATTGTCCGAGGGAGAAGGGCGCGACCATCTGACTGGCCGAAGGCCTGGCTGGACGCGTGGAAGCTCTTGGATTGGTTCTCAACGAACTGCAACCTCCGACGTCAGAGACGCCGAGAGCCCACAACCTCGTACACCCGGCCACCGCCGCCGTATCTCTGAGATGTTTAGTGCGGGTGGTGCATCGGATGGCGATTGGCTAACCACACCAAAACGCCCATTTTTGGGTGCGGACCGCGCTGCTACCTTCGGGGCACAAAGATGGAGGCAAGTCAAGCATACCCTGAGGATGCTGGGTAAAAGACGAACAGATCAATTCGATTTCTATAAGTCCGCCGAACTTATGGCCGAATTGCGAGCTGTAACACCTGCTGTTGTTATTCTGGCTAGCATGCTGCAAAGAGATGAACATGGGAACAAGCGTATCCCCGTTCTTCTGGAGCAGCTCAACCTACGCGTCATTGATAGTCGTCCTGAAGATAGCGCGAGTGAAAGGCATACCATTTTTACCATTGCCTTGGAGTACGGTAGTGGGCTTAGTCGAATGAGATGGACCGTCACTCGTAGCGTTAGAGAGATCTGGAATATTCATTGGAAATACAGACTGTCTCTGAAGAACGACATTACTCTCCAAGCTACTACGAATCAACGAAATCGTCCGAAGCAACCTCGATTCCCAAGGAAAGCGTTCCCATATTTGCGGACTTACCAAAATCTGGAGGAATCTGAGGAAGAGGAAAAACCTCCGGGCACTAGAGCCGATGACACAGTGGCGGAAGGGACCGCGGGTGAGGGGACTGCTGCCGAGGGCACAGCTAGCGACAATGATAGGCGGCCGAATGCCCATAGGAAGCGGTCCCGTATCAATACATTCTTACCACGTCGGCAGTCATCGGGGGTCGGAGAAAATGGAGAGGCATCGCTCGCGAACGCCCAAAATTCTGCTGCTCTAAAAAAGAAGTACATTGAGAGGCAGCGGAAAACTCTTGAGAAGTATCTTCAAGAAATGGTTCACTGGCTTATGTTCCGTGCCGACAGCAATCGCCTCTGCAAATTTTTGGAGCTCTCTGCCCTTGGCGTCCGGCTTGCTGCCGAAGGTAGCTTTCACGGTAAGGAATGCTACTTGCATATTCAGTCCACCAAGGGCATCGACTTCAGGCGAGTGCTCAACCCTCAAAAGGTCATAGCTCAACATTCTCGCAAATGGTTCCTGGTCCGGCAGAATTATATCGCCGTCGTGGAATCGCCGGCAACCATGAACATATATGATGTCTACCTTGTGGATCCATACTTTCAAGTCGTGTCTAAGAAGAACAAGCTTAAACGATTTGGCGCGAAGTTGAAGGTTGAGATAGAAAGGGGAGGAGACAACGATGAAAACCATCTCTCCGACGAAGAAACCCGTGGAAAGCACCATACGCTAAAGTTGTATTCGGCCGATCGGAAAATTAAGCTGTTCTCTCGTAACCAGACAGTCCTGCGTCAATTTGAAGAATCGGTCCTTGATATGCTGAAACAGACTCGATGGCATGAAGAACACAGATTCGAAAGCTTCGCACCCGTGCGGAAAGCAGCGTTTGCTCAATGGCTCGTTGATGCGAGAGATTACATGTGGAATGTCTCGCGCGCCATAAGCATGGCGCAAGATGTCATCTATATTCATGATTGGTGGTTAAGCCCGGAGTTATACATGCGACGGCCCGCATGCATCAGCCAGAAGTGGCGCCTAGACCGTCTACTTCAAAGGAAGGCTAGAGAAGGCGTCAAGGTATTTATTATTATCTACAGAAACGTGGAGCAAGCCATACCGATAGATTCAGAATACACTAAATTCTCTCTCCTCAACCTACACGACAACATCCTCGTTTTGAGGTCACCGAATCAGCTGAAAAAGAACCAATTTTTCTACGCCCATCACGAAAAAGTCTGCATTGTGGACCACGATGTAGCATTCCTTGGTGGAATCGATCTCTGTTTCGGCCGGTGGGATAATCCACAGCACCCGATTACAGACGACAGACCGACGGGTATGGAACCAGACGGGGATAGTCCACGAGACGCCGAACACTGTCAACTCTTTCCGGGAAAGGATTACTCTAACCCTCGTGTGCTGGATTTCTTCAAGCTGAACGAGCCTTATGAGGAGATGTATGACAGGAGCAAAGTTCCAAGAATGCCTTGGCACGACATCGCGATGCAAGTTGTCGGACAGCCGGCGCGTGATCTCACTCGTCACTTTGTGCAACGATGGAATTATCTACGGCGTGAACGCAAACCAACTCGACCTACCCCCTTTTTGCTCCCTCCACCTGATGCCAATCCGGTAGATCTCGAGGCACTAGGGTTGTCCGGAACGTGTGAGGTCCAGATTTTACGTTCAGCAGGCGATTGGTCGTTGGGCTATCCGAAGGATTTGCGGGAACATAGTATTCAATCTGCATACATCAAGTTGATTGAAGAGTCCGAACATTTCGTTTACATGGAAAATCAATTCTTCATCACAAGTACCGAAACAATGAATACGAGGGTAGTCAACCGTATTGGTGATGCCCTCGTTGAGCGGATTATTAGGGCTCATGAGAGAGGTGAGGAGTGGCGATGCTGTATCCTGATTCCTCTGATGCCTGGTTTTCAGAATACAGTGGATCAGGCCGAGGGAAGCAGTGTACGATTGATCATGCAATTCCAATACCGAAGTATCTGCAGGGGTCCCAACTCAATCTTCGGACGATTACAAGCAGTGGGTGTAGAGCCCGAAGATTATATACAGTTCTTCAGTTTGAGGCAGTGGGGCAAAATCGGGACTCATAATCAGCTTGTCACAGAGCAACTATATATACACGCCAAAACCATCATTGTGGATGATCGCGTCGCTCTGATAGGATCGGCCAATATTAACGAACGCTCTATGTTGGGCAATCGAGACTCAGAAGTTGCTGCTATTGTTCGGGATACTGATATGATGTGGTCAACAATGGCGGGCGAAGCCTACAGGGTTGGTCGATTTGCTCACACTCTTCGTATGCGATTGATGAGAGAACATCTCGGTCTGGACGTTGACGAGATAACGGAACAGGAAAGACAAGCGGAGTTCAGCGCCGAAGCCAATTTCGAAGCTGAGATGGGAAAAATTTATGGAGATGATGATGATATAAGTCCTGCCGCGGAGAGTTCGGTGCGCCCAGGACCAAGCACATCTCATCGCGCACCGAGTTTCAATCACGACGTTGCTACCGAAGAACGTGGCTATGCTTCTTCCTCGTCCTCGCGCCCGTCTTCTGCCTCGTCAAGTTCGAAAGGAAAGTCCCCAGAGCGTGATACACGAACACATGGGAATGCGAAACATAATATGGATGTTGAAGGTTACGGTCCAGACCACTGGAAAGCGGCACAAGCCAAAGGAACCGATCTTGGCAACGATTCTGTCGTGATAGACGGACACGAGGTTCTCGTTCATAGAACCAAAGAAACGAAGTCCGGCGAGAAACACGCAGATAATTCTTCTAGGAGCTTATCATGCCATGAATCTAGTAAAGGGCATAATGGGCTACCCCCAGTTCAGTCGGATTCAGCGTCACATAACGCAGCCGGGGATAGTCCCCCAACGCATCCGGACGATTCTAAGAAGATTATAAACGATCCCTCGAATCCTCTGGTTGCTGATATTGTGCCTGCTGAAGTTGACAAGGAATGTATGCGTGATCCCGTTAACCCCGCCTTCTGGGATGATATTTGGATGAGAGTAGCATCAAACAATACTAAGCTGTATCGGCGAGTTTTTCGATGCATGCCCGACAGCGATGTATCCACATGGAAAGAATATGCCGAATTTGAGGACTATGCGCGCCGGTTCAAAGAGAGCATGGCAGGCTCGAGAAACAGTGAGGCTGACACCGGTCCTCAAATGGGCAATATCAGTGGAATAGCAGCAGGTATCGCGGCTCCTGCCGCAGCTCAAGGCGCTCCTGGCATATCCGAAAAGCTTCACGCCGATCAACTTGCCGAGGGTAATCCCAAGGTTGTAGTATCCAATGAAGCTGCAGATGTCTTAGATGAGAAGACACCGGTACCTCAAGGCGACAACGCTCTAGAAAAAGAGAAGCCCGATCTTGGGATCGACACGGAGAAAATTCAAACTAAGAATTCTACTGAAACCCCTTCACCAGTACAGCCATTCCCATCATTTGATGCACAAGTCGACACAGTGCATTTGGATCCTCAGGGCGAGAAGCGAGATCGAAGGGCGACGTTTTCGTCGGCTGAGAAATCAGCGCCGGAATCCGGCAGTACTAGTAACCCTTATAATCATAACTCGACGAGACGTCGTCGACGAGCCACTACTAAGGGCAGTCGGCGCGGTCCCGTCTTTCCATACGAGCTTCTTAGCCGCGAAGAAGCTGAAGAACTATGCGGTTTAATCCAGGGAACATTAGTACAATTTCCCTACGATTGGCTTGAGGCTGAGGAGAAAGATAACCATTGGTTATACCAGGCTGACTTATTGGCGCCTAAGGAAATCTAGTACGTCCCTAGCCTTCAAAATTTGCAAATTGTATGACTAACGATATCATAGTGATTAAATCTCCTTCTCCCTTCTTCTATCCACCGCATGTTACTTAAACCCCCAAGGGTGAAAAATGATTAATGGAATGTGTAGAGGTTTTACCATTTTTCACGGGCTACTCATGTGTTACCCAACTATTCTGCATCATACTGAGTAGACCTCGTTTCACGACCATACAATAAGGGTATATATTACGCATAATCATGGGCCTCCATAGCCGCATACCCTTCAAGTCATGATTGGGGTATTTATATTTCTGGGTACTGGTACGCGTACATTACACTCCGTTCTGCTTCGCCTATTACGGCAAAACGTCACAAGGGATCTCAATCAACCTGATTCGTTTTCTAGATAGGTTGATCAAGTTTGAATGTAAAGATTTAATGATCTTTAAGCTGTCTAATGGGGCGTTACTAGCATTTAGAACAATGGCGGTATTGATATGATTAATTGAAATAGACTGATTGTTGGGCGAAGGTGTTCAGAGTGTAGTCGAAGGAAATAGAGGGAATGTTTACTTCTACCCACGCGGGTAGGTGTCCAATCAAGTATACATTCATACAGCAAATCATATAATAAGTTGGTACATTATAGTAATTATTATTAGATTTTAAGTTTTTATCATATTTTAAATATGCACATCCGGAGCTATTGATACATAACATAATCAGGCATATCCTACTAACCAAGACAAAAACCAGAGATAAATAGGTAGGTAGGTAAAATTTGAGAAGCCATGTACAATTCCGAGGACAGAAAATGAAGACATACTGCTTTCTCAATCCTTTTCCTCTTCTGTGTGATGTGTTCTGTCTGACACCATCCTGGTTCTATCTGGACACTCAACCGCTAGTCTTGTGACTCCCAACTAGAATAATGTACGAACCAAGGCCTAGCAATAATTGGTGACCAAACCTACATCCCAATACCCAATGGCAATAATGAACAAAGGAGAATAAAAAGAATCAAGATAAACAACTAGCAAGTAGACTAGCCATTCTTGGGGGTATCATATCCATATTATCCCAACCTATGCTTGTCGTCGCCAATCCTTGCCATTTAATATGCTTGTTGGACGACTTCCCCATGAATCGTGCGGAAATTGGCAAAAGCTTCTGGCGGCATCATGTTGCCAAATTGGAATAGCATCACATCGCATCGGAAGAGATACCTCCACAGACGCATGTTTTCGAGCTAGAAAATAGATTTCTATTCACGATGCTATTCTCCAGTATGCTGTTATAACCGCTTCCACAACGCGTACACGAATATGCCGTCTTGTTGAACTTCTCGGATCCAAAATTCAGAACCAAGTTATGCGAGTTGCCGATGTACTGTACAGATAGAAAAAAAACGAATTGACGAAGTCGATGGCAACTTAATATCAATATTGTCATTCGCCGAGGCCATCCTTCAAGGCATCGCGGTCCACGTTATCAGGTCGGATTTTGGCAGGTGGTACTCTATGTTGCGCCGCAGCTATATATTCTGTGAACCCCGGTATCACACCAGGTTGATTGATGCCCGGTGGTCGATTGGATTGCTTCTGGCTATCTTTCTCTTTGACCGTTCTGGTGGAAGTGCTACTAGCGTTAGAACTACTCGCGCCGCCACCACCACCATTACCCCATGGCCGCCAGCCAACCCATCTACTAAGCGACGATGGTCCGAGGCCTCGGACGGATGAGTCCGAAATGGATTGCAAGCTGCCTACTGGCGATGAGGCATAACTTTCACGTAGTAAAACACTACTTCTTTTTGCATTGTCGCGTGATAACATGGGCCGTGCTGTAACAGTGCTACTGCCCGTCACAGAATTGGCGGAACCTATTTGGCGAATAGTGAGTTGGCTAGGCCTCGTCTTCAAAGTGTGGATATCGAGGCCACCAGAAAGCGAAATGACGGATTCATGAGACAACGCCCTACGTAAACGAACCAACGGCATCCGATGATCACTTTCATCATCGGCTACCGAAACTTCGTCATTGACGGCATCCGGGTATTCAGAAGAGATTGCATCCGTAGATTCATCAGTTATCGAAGTTAGATCCGGAGGCTCATCATCATCAGACTCTTCAATAATCGGATGGGTTTGTGTTAAAGTAGTTTGCACAAAAGCTGAAGTTGATGACATTTGAAACCCCCGCGAAGACATATTCGAGAGTTGCTTATGATGAGTGGCATGCCACGTTGGTGACGTTGGATCGATACTAGTTGTGGGGGAGCCAGGAAACGACTCCAGTGTATGATCAAATAGTGAATTTCGATGATTTGATAAGGGCGAGCTCGGGACTGATGAAGGTGCAAAGTCGGAAGGTTGCTCCGAATACGAAGACCAACAATTAGAAAGAAGGGAATCCCTATGAGCATGCGACCCTAGCCGCGGCCGCGCAAACCCGTCTGGGGGTGTACTAGGCAATGAACTACCAGGCGGCGTAAATATTCCGGTGTTAAGCCCTTGTCTTTTCTTTCGTGGCTTCTTTGCTTCTTGCTTGGATTTCGGTAAATGGTAATGATGATGGATATGGAGTTCCTTGGGGGTTTTAGGAGATTTCTGCTCCGGCGAATCCTTTTCGGACTCAAGTTCAGCACTTAACGTTGACACTGCATTATCGACTTGGCCTTCTCCCAATGGTTGGTGATACATGAGTTGGTTTTGCAAGGCCTGTATTTCATCGTTGGAGTTCATCAGCATCTCCCTCAGTTCGGCAATACCATACTGAAGGTTTGCATTGTCCTGAAGCAGGTCGCGCACAAAGTGCGACACGGCATTACTCCCTCCTGGTGAACGATCTAGCGATTTAGCGGCGGCTGCTCCTTTCAATCGACCGGCGGCGGTATTCAATTCTTTCTCCATTTCACGCTGCCTTTCTATGCGACCCATCATCTCGACATGGTATTCCCTCTCTTCTTTTGCTTCCTTCTCCATCCGTTCGAGTTGCTCCTGCAGGTCGTTGATGCCTCGCTCGGCACGTTTCCATCTTGATACGGCAGATCGGGCCTCTTCGCGAGATAGGGATAGGTGGCTCTGCAGCTCGGCTTGTTCCTGTTCTAAAGCTAATAGTTGACGTTCTAGGGCGGCGGCCCGCGCAGTCTCGCCCTCTAACCGACGAACCGTCTGTTGTGAAGAAAGTAGAGTGGCTTCCAGCGATCTGATGCGGCCATCCGAGTCGACAACGGTGGTGTTGAGAGATTCGAGCTGATCTAGCAGGTTCCTATTCTCCTCGATCGTTCTCGCATTTTTCGCCTCCAACTCCTTGTTATCGACTTCTAGCTGGTCGATCCGGGACGTGAGCTCGCTGCGATCCCGCTCAGCATCAGCCATATAAGCTTCGTGGCGAGCGAGCAGCGCCTGCAAAGCAAAGGTTAGAGAATTGGTAACTCCCATGGTTGTAAATGGAGTTATTATCAGGGAGGAATTCTGGAATGTAGGATGCAATCGGACGAGAAGAGAAGCGAAACAACACAGCAATGCCGCGATCTACTTCCAGTATAGCATTCCGGAGCAATTCACTGAAGGCCTGCTATTATACAGTGGGGAGCAAACAATTTAGGAATGCGACGAGTTATAAAAGAGCTAAGGGAGCTTCGGATGAGCGTAACTAGCTCAACCTAGTGTGAGAGGGATATCGTGGGACTTTCTTGTGGCTTGAGTCTAGACACAAGTCATGAACACGTACCTGACCCATTCGTGCAGCTGTGTGGACATCCTTCTCGACGCTAGCAAGGACAGAACAGTTGTGTCTCAGAAAGATACACTCCACAGAACCACAGCAGCATTTCATGGCACCTGGTTCATGGGGTTCATAGGGCGTAGTAGAGAGATGATCTTCTCCGGTGTCGCGGTCGCCGGCAGCAGCCGCCGCGGAGCGAAGAGGATCAGCCATGATGATGGCTAACAGTCCCTTCGTTGCGCGTATTCAGCTGGGAGATCAGCATGCTGGAATATGGAGACTGCCTAGAAATCCTCTTTTTTCTCTGCTTTGAATATTTTTTTCTCGTCTCCCTCCTTCGTTCGTCCCGGTGATGAGAGAGAAGTGGTAGAGTGGGTGGAGCGAAATTAGCGAAATGGCGCCGTCTGGCGCGTCCGTCTGGGTAGAAGAAAAAAAAAAGGAATGATTTAAGACTGTCTGATGCAAGCGTTTCCGAGATAATGCATCTAATGTATAGTAGTACAGTTGAGTTCCAGTAGAATTCGGGTATTAAAAATAATCAAAAAGGAAAATAATGAAGACAAAGACAATAAAAAGAAGAAAAAACCCAAACGGGTCGCAAAGTTGAATCTAGAGAAAGTTAGTTGAAAGATGGTTTAATTCGATTTCGCGTCGCTATTAGTCGGGTGGGGAGGATGAATTGCCCAGACAGGTAGGCAGGCGCCAGTCAGGTAGGTCAAGTGGGGGTTTTTAGCTGTCGTACCTTTTTTATACTTCATTCACACATGAAGCAAGTACACATGTACATATGTACTATCTAGTACAGTAAGTATAGTAGATATAGGTACTTAGTACCTTTACTACCTAATGTACGTTTCGCTATCATGTGAATAATAAAATACTCTTAATGCACACAGCTTGGGTATTATCCCTCCTCCATGTTGGTCTTAGACATCATGTTACAAGATGAAGAGGTACTATGGGATATCGAAGATATATGTACGTACTGGATAGAGTACCGGTGGGATGGAGAATGGTTGGAGGAGTTAAAGAAGGGGTTGGCAGTCAATCACATGAACAAGTCACCATGCTACCATATTTCCTCGCCATCTTCGCCTTGGCTGTCTTCTGATAGGCGGGGGGATTTCACGAAAATCGACAAGGATGTTGCGCAGATGGGGATGGGTAAGGTAGTGTCAGTATTATGACGCACCACTGCCTAATCCATGCTGCCTCCATACATGTATGCATCCATTTCTACCTATTCCGAGCCAGAGATGCCTACATCAGTCCCAACAAGATTAATCCATCCATGGATAAAGACAAAAAGGAGAAATAATCGTTGAATTTCCATTTGCGATTTGCGCTTGCTACCTAACATAAAATTTATACGGATTAGAGTGGCCAACCTTAGATGGTTCCTAGATCGAGACAGCCCAGCTGCAGGTGTCTTGTACCGAAGCAACCAGCCTATGTACACCAATCCTGTGTCTCATCCTATATACCTCGGTACCTACCTAAAATAGGTACCTATCAAAGGTATTGGGTGATGCTAAAATCTGTCATACCCCTATGCCGGCAGTGGAACAGTCAAAATATCCAAACCACCCTTCAGGTCTGACTTGGACGGCATGGCGCCTAATTTTATCAGCTCGGCCGACTTAACCATCGCCGGATCGACGCCCATACTAGCCATCGCTACCACCGTCTCGCCCTTGCAGTAATATACCACAAATTTACCTTGGCCCGGATCACCTTGCAACACAAGCTCGTCCCACCCGTGCATAGAGTTACCGCAATATCGGAGTTGACCCGTCAGCGCGCTCCAGAATATAGGGGTGAAGAATTCCGACTTCAGCGAAGGGTTGACAATATGGTGCGCCACCACTCGCCCCTGATTCTGCGCCACGTTCCAGTGTTCGATTCGAGTGTAATTACCCTGACCACCAGGACCATGGTAAGGGTATGAGGCAATGTCTCCGATTGCGTATACGTCTTTCAGCCCCACCACCAAGAAGTTCTCATCCGTCTTTAATGAACCGTCATCTTCCAGTCGGATCACCTTGTTCTCCTTGAGATAACCTGTCGACGGCGCCACACCGACGCCCAGAACGACGAGATCAGCTTCGAGTTTGGTTCCATCTTTGAGGTGAACCGAGCCCACCTTGGATGGATTCGACCCGGACGGTTCAGCTTTGTCCACACCCGCTGACATGTGGAACTTGACGCCTTTACCTTCCAACCCTTTTTGTAGCCCAGCACCAACCTCTTTACCCAGCACCCTCTCCAGTGGGACGGTTTCTTGACCGACTACGGTGACATCGTTGTCGGCAGCTGTCGCATTGGCTACTTCCATGCCAATGAAACTGCTACCAATGATGACAATCTTTTTACCCTTATCACCAATAGCATCGACAATCTTCTTCGTATCATGAACTGTCCTGAGTAGGAAAATGTTCTCAAGCACCTTGAAACCTTGCAAGGGTAAATTCCGCGGTGAACCTCCCGTAGCCAGAATCAGTTTAGAATATATATACCGCTCCCTATTTTTGGTGATAACCGCCTTGCTGACCAGATCAACGTCGACCACTTCGTCATGTACTACCTCGACCGACCCCGATTTGAACCAATCATCGTCCCTCCATTGGATCTTCGCGGGGTCGGTAATTAAGGCTTTAGACAGCTTGGTACGGTCGATGGGTAAGTAACCTTCGTTGGAGATCATGGTAATAGGTCCTGTGAAGCCTTTCTCCCTCAACCCTTCAATCGCGCCAATGGCTCCGCTACCGCCGCCAACTACCACGACCTTGTTGGCTAAGGCTCCGCCGCTTACACCGCACTTGAAATTCGGCTTACGTCTCCCCGCTTTGATTACCGCCTCCTCACCTTCGACATAGATGACGCCATCCTTCTCGACGACTTTGAAGGTAGGTAAGGCGTCTAGGGCGGGCGCATTCTCGATATCACCGGTTTGGCCGTTGAAACAGGCTACACGAATGAAGCGGAAACGTCAGTTATAATTACTTGGAAATAACAAGGAAAATGATGTCTAAGTGGTGGTAGACCAACCTCCGTGCCATGGGCAAGTCAAGCGTCCACCCTTAGTCAAGACACCTTTCGCGAGAGGGGCTCCATAATGGGTACACTTGGGACCTATGGCCTGGATCTTGCCGCCAGCATTAAGGAGGAGTACCTTAGCACCCTCAATGCCTTCGACTTCTACCTCTTGCTTCTCGCCAAGCGGCAAGGACAGCGACGATACATCTTTCAATTTGAACTGAGGCATGGCTCTAACAGCGGTTGCAGTAATCGAACGGGAAGCGATAAAACTAGTTTGAGAGTTGGGGTTAAGCTTGGGCCTAGGCTTAGGAAAAGCTGGGATAATGGAAGAAGGTCGCAAGAAGAGAAAGGATCTTGCGGAATTCATGAAACAAATTAGGATGGTAGAAAAGGTAATGCAGGCAAAGCCTTAGATCCAAAAGAAGTAGGAGACTAGGGGTTGGAGAACACTGCAGTGACAGGAGAGGAGAATATCGTATTACCAATTATCTGTCAGGCCGGGAATGACGAGGGAACGACGTACGCAGCCAAATTAAGCATGCGATGTTATATGAATATGTAAGGTGAGATGTATGGAGATGTATGGGAATAGGAATGAGGGGGAGGGGTCGGAGAGACTGGATTGGACTTGTCCTTTACGAGATTTGATGCACATGTATGTATGTGGTCAATGGCTTGAACTTTGTGCACCATGCTGTAAACGTGCGCGTAGTGATTCTATACTTTTTTTAACTGAGCACCTGCATACTTTTTTATCAGTAACCTACAGAACTATGAGGTACCCAGGCAGTCGCCAGTATAGAAGAAGGGAAGGAAGTACTCTGAAGTATCTAGTGTCGTAATCCATCCTTGTCATTATTACCTAGAAGGTGTAGCCGTGGTTAGACTGCTTGTAATCCGAGACTTGTTACTGGTTAAAGCTATTCCTTGTATGCTTTTATACAACGTTTCATGACATCACCAGTCTAGCTTGGCTTTACTGCCCCACGTCTATCGAGATAGCTCGAACCAATCAATACTCTCCGAATTACCATCCCTCTGTCTCCCATTACCCAAATACAAACAAGTACGTACATGATATATGATATGTACCCCTGTACTATATAGATGGCTTATAAATACGTGTCGTATGTGATCTATCTCGTCATTTCCCAATTTCCTAATTGGTCAGTCAGCAAAACGAAACTCTTCTAGATCTTCAAGTTGTACCGACTATTATTTTGGCAGCCATGCGATGAACTCAAAAATCAACATTTCCCAATTCCAGCTTTGTTTTACGGGATATCGCGCATAAACATCGGCACCGACATCTCATCATTAAAGTCAAATCCGCCGAGATCCATGCCGGAGGTCCCGAAGGGTGATGCCTGTGGCCAAGTAGATCCAGATGCGTAATTTGTATCGAGTTGGGGAACCTGGATATCAAGATTAGCCGCGATCCATATTCTCATCGTGCAGTGCGAATGTTACGAACAAAGCTCTCGCTGAAATGGTCAGAAAAGACACTATGTTGTGATAGAGAATGTAGAGCGTCGTGGTCTAGTGCGAGGTTCGCCTCGGATTCAGGCTCGGGCTCAGGTTCGTAATCATCAACAATCTTTTTCGCCCGCTTGACTGCATAAGTTGCCGCCTGTTCTAACCCTACGACAATGACATGGAGTTTCTTAAAGGCTTCGGACCCGGTAAGCTCCAATAACTTCTCCATATCTTAGCTGGTTTCAGACATGGTGATCATTCACATAGGGTTCAATACCTTCGTCATATGGTCCATAGTGTTGGCGGTGAGCTTCTGGTCAAATTCCACAAACTCATGCAAAGGAAAATAAACTATGTTAGCTAACAAGACAACGAACGAAGAGAAATAAGCGCAGCCGCTTAACCTGTAACGAACCATCATTTTAGCAACGGAGTCTTCATCTTCCTAGAGTTAAACGGCGGTTTACTTACCACATGTTACATCCATCATGAGCACTGTCCAGTAACTTCAGGCACGCACGGCTAGCAGTCACACAAGCTGCCCAGTAATGCGGCACTAGCGGTTGCTGATGTCTCGTGCAAATATGCGCCTGAGTATCGATGTTGAAGAGAACGGCACTACTATAACCGTTGATCGACTTTATCCAAGGCGACTCAAGGGAATAGAGACCGTTGATCGTAGTAGAGCATAACAAATAAGCCTGATACAGAATTATCATGTGGGTCAACGGTGCCTTTTCTAAGGTCCTCGTTATGTTCTCAAATTGCAAAGGTGCTGGTATCGCTTGCAGCCACTGATCGAGAAGTGTAGAAAGATGCGATACCCTCTCTTGGCGAGTCCTCGGAGATATTTTGGTGGACCTATTGCTAAGTAGGTAGTCGTATACTTTCCCTTCGAGATAGGCAAGTTGGACTCTGGCACGGAAGTAATTGAGTTGCGAGTGCCCGTCGATACTCTGAAGGAAATGGCCATCGTCACCGAAATCCGCTCCTGGTAGAGGTAGGTCTATATCGTCGTCATTCTGTATTGAAGGAATCTTGGCGCGGAAGCTGACATCCTTATCCAGGCAATAACATAGCCAGAATACATTACTTCTGTGTCGCGCTTCATCTATCGGAAGGTTGGATAAAGAGGATTTCACATGAAGTTGCAATCGATGAGCCAGTCGGACCGCCGTACCAATTATGACGGACGCCGGTTTTTGGTCTGTGCTCGTTTCGAAGAGCACTGTACCCGATATCAGTAACCACCGTTTGAAAAGAAAGGTAGTGGTGAATGTCAAGCCGCCAAATTTGGCTTGGGAGTATCGTTCAAGGCTAAGTGAAGTCTAGAACGCTCTAGGCAGATTGATTTTAAGATATACTTACGAACTAAACCTAAGAGGACTTGGATACCAAGTGTGTCTTCCTCGCGGGTGACAAGCTCATCCAACTCTCTTTGAGCGTTGTCGATGCACTTCTTTATTTTCATCTCGTTAAACCTAGCTAGAATGTCATCACCCTCTACGCGACGAACGCGATAACCAATAGCAAGGACTACATTTATAGCAGCCCATACAGCTCTCGATTTCTTGGTCTGTTCTTGGCCGGGATAGAAGTCATACAGCATCTGCATAAATTGATGTTGGTTGAATAGTGGCATTGCGGCGTTGAAACCACGGAAATAATCTTCCACAACTGGCAATATCTCAGTTACCGGCGGTAGGCCCTGATCGTCGTTGCGTTCTAGGGCTTGCTCGTCTGATTGTTCTAGAGGCGATACATTTGATAAAGGCCATGCGTCTTGATTAGCAAAACCGCATAGATGCTGTTCTGTTGTTGTTGCGGAGGGGCTTGAATCACCAAGTCTATCTAACTTGGCTTCGATTCGAGCAAGACGAGCTTCTAGGTTATCTCCGCTGTTGGCGGGGCTCGTCGACTTTGCTATTTCTTTTTGAGGTGCAGGAGCTGTCCTCCTTCGGATAACAGTTGTACTACATGGTACTTTGTATAGTAGACAGTTTGAGCATGCTGGCTTTAGCATATCGCACTTAATTTTCCTCTTGAAGCATGTATCACCTGGTAATAGTCAATAATTAGCGACGTTACGAGATATAAAATGGACTAATAACTTACACGCTTTACGGCGGGAACTTGTCTCCATTGTTTTCTATGTGTAGACTCAAGAATAGACTAAACCCTCGTATAATCTCTTATAAAAATTAGATAAGACAAATTGTTGACATAATACAGTTAAAGATACCGATAGATAAAAACTGGAAAAAGACTTAAATCTAGTTAAGCTTTGCTGAAAACCCCAGGGGTTGATATACGTTGCTGACAAATCCTCATATGGAGACGCCGTTGGAACTTGTACATGTTTGGTAATCCTAGCGACTCGTTATTCGTTCTAATTAAAATAATGCGTGATCCTGATCGGATAGATTGAAAACTGATCCTACCTAATTAACACCACCAATTCATTAGTAAAATCGTAAAAGTTTCCGAACGGATGGTATGATGGGAAGTCGATTTGTACGTCATGGAGGAATAAAGTCAAATGAATGCCGAACATGATTGTCCCTCTAAATGCTACGTTAACATTCTATATTATGTCTCCGAAATCTAACAACATCAACATATAGCTGACAATAATAGTAACATCAAAACTTTCCTGACTTACTAAAATGACAATTATCGCCAACCTCGAAAGTACATTTAATAGATAGTTCCATATGGATGCGAGCTCGTCTCCGGAGCTGTTAGCTCAACGAAGCCTCGAACTTCTAGCTTGTCGCCATCTGCGATAAGCTTGCTATTATGCTTCCTGAGCTCTGCCATAAAACTCTCGACAGCCTTCGGGTCGCTTGTGTCAAAGGGCTCCCGGTTCTGAGCTACCTGTCGCAGTTGGGTCCCCGCCACTGTTACACCCAGCCAGACATCACTCACCAACTCGTCTTTCGGCTTAATAGCGCCGGTGATCTTGCCAGCGAGGATGTCAGCTGCTAGGCGCGGTTCTTGTGCAGCCGGGCGACCAAGACCAATACCATCAAGAGTGTCGAGGGCCTTGACCATAGCAGCCGTACTGCGGAAGCCACCGGTCAGGTATTTCTTGGTCTTAGACAGATGTGGAACAATATCACCAATGAATTCAAGGAAGTAAGCCTCTCGTTTCTGTGTAGATTCCTTCTTGTTTCCCCAGCCAATTTCTTCATGGTTGCCGCCTGACAGCTCCACGAAGTCAAAGCCCAGCTCTTGCATTTTTTCGCACATGACTTTTGCCTCGGCCGGTTTGATGCCCTTTGCTTGAAATTCGACCGAGTTGAGTTTAATACCGAGAATGAACCCTGGCTTGATACGCCTCTTGATCTCTTCAGCGATCTCGACTATCAGGCGCATGCGGTTTTCGAGACTACCGCCGTATTCGTCGGTACGCTGGTTCGAGTTTTCAGATAGAAATTGGGCAATGAGGTAACCGTGCGCTCCACTACAATGACGGGAATTAGTGACTATTTATACAAGAAGAATGAAGCGTTGGGTGTATTACTTACTGTAGTTCGATGCCATCGAAACCTGCCTTTTGCAGGTATTCAGCAGCATGGGCGAATCCGTCAACAACCCGAGCGATATCATCTTTTGTTGCTGCCCTTGGTTTGGCGTAAGGGACTCCTTTCTTCGAAGCTACAATACCAAGTGTCTATTAGTACTTGGATCTATGCATCGCATTCGATTGAACTATGCGTGTATTGACGTACGATGTTGAACTGCGGAAGACGAGATTGTGTCTTTCCTAATTCTTGCGGAGAGTTGTCGCCCCGGGTGTGTGAGTTGTGCAAGAATCAGGCTTCCATTCGCTTTCGCCGCAACAGCTAGTTCTTTGAAGGCCTCAAAACGCGGACCGGAAGGGGGGCATTCGGGTGTGATGATACAGTCGCCAACAGCGTCTAGCATATCGAATTCAATATCGGTGTTTCCACTAACTATAACTCCCCATTCATTCTCTCCCCATCTAACCCTATGCATTAGTTGATTTTGCTATCTATTCGACTCGCTTGCTTGGATCTTGCCTTCGGTATAGTTCAATAAGCTCTGGTGTTGGGATGCCACGCTCCTCAAGATTCTTGGGACTCCAAGTAGCTAGGTCTTCAGCCATCGGGGCTTTGAGGAAACGGTTCTTCGCAACTCTCCCAGAGAACTCGAATTTGAGCGGTTCGCCGAGTGGCGTGACGTCGACGGTGGTCGACTCATGTCGTTGGGCAGGCATCGTGTCTTGAAATGAGGTAGAGAAACTGCTGAATATACTTGGAGATGTTTAATGAGAATATCGGAAGGCTGTCAACGGTAATTTATGATATAACCTAAAGAGTTTCGAGAGCGACTACTCTTTATAGGTTTCCTACGTGTCTTCCCATGGTATAGAATACCTCGGGACGAACGGATACTTGTACATGGACTGGGTTATCTGTGTGGACTCCACGGCGAATGGTAAACATCCTTGAAGCTTCTCGCCATCGATTGTAAATCATTGTCAATCAATTATAGCCTGCTTGGGGGCTAGGATGTAGAACACGCGGGCGAGTGAGAGCCTCGATGCAAGGTATCCAGTGTTATAGGGAAGGGAATCAATGCTGATTATCGTTTCAAATCTTCTTTCCTGCCTTGAGAAGGAATAGCGCTGAAAATTCGTGTGGTTCTTAATTACCGAATTCTACTAGAATGATGGTAAGTTTCACGGTCGAGATTCGAACACCGTGGAACTCCGGACTCCGCGGTATTCCATGGTTATCGTAACGCCACCTACGACATCTGTGGTACTACCATTCAAATCAGATTTGACATGGTTATAGATGGGTAAGTAGGTCTAGTCCGTTTCATTATTGACCTCTTTATATATATATATTCGCTGGGTTGATTACCGAATTACTCACCGGATTATTTACTGAATTGTTTAGTTGGGTTATGTACCGGTAGGTGGATTACATGTATGTAGTTGGGAAGCTCGGAGTTTGGTTCGTATTTATTCACGCATTTGTAAATGCGGCTTTTATCAATTTGGTCATTTATAATGTCAGTTATTTATCTATTGTGAGTAATTGGTTCAAGATGCGGCGTCATCTATGGCGTTGTGTGGTCCTGAGTATTTCTATAGTACAAAGACGCCTTTATGAACAAACCGTACTTCGCATCTCGAACTGCCGCATAACAATGCTTCGTCCCTTAATCCTTGATGAAAAACGTAGGCTCACAAACCAGTGCCTAGTTTAACCATGCGAAAAATCCATGAAAGTTACGTTGCATGCTTCTTCTAGTCTATATCAACCTCTATATCAAGGTCCAGGGCTGCAATGATATCGTCATCCACGATTGGCTTGTGAATTTGTGGGATGCCCTTCTTATCCTTTCCAGACTGGTGGTTCTGTATCTGCAGCTTTTGTAGATGGGGTAATAACGGTGCTTTGGTGGTAGCGTTCTGCTTTGGTGTTCCATTTGCCGGGGTGGATGCGCCGCTACCATTAGTAGGCGTTGATTTGCGATCTGAGGACTCATTGATATCTTGCATGAACTTTGGCTTGGTTCTTAGACGCCGCGAGGTATCCTCCTCAACGTCTTCTCCTCGTGCGATTCGAGCCTCAATCTTGCGAGCTTTTGCCTTCTCCATCATTTGCGCCTTGCGCACTGACTCTGCATTGCGGCGACGATTCTCGGCATTCAGAGCTGCTAAACGCTCTTGTTGAGAAGGTGTAGAACTTGCCGACTTGTTGGATTGAGCTAGGCTGGTCTTAAAGGCCAAGCGCGGTGTCTCGAGAGAATCCAATTTATCCTGAAGTTCCGCAACTTGCTTGTCATCGCCGCGACGCTTAGCTTCCTCTATCAAGTTAACCAATCGGTTTCGCTCCGTGGGAGCGAACTTCTGAAGTAGGCTTCGCTCTCGCTCAATCTTAGCGTTGACTTCGGAATCAGTCCAGGGACGGTTCACAAGAGCATTGATATCATCGATTTTGGCATCCACTGTCGGTCTCTTGGGAAAGATGACGCCCTCATCTTGGCAAACCTTCTTATAGCGGTTGAATTCGGCCTGTAACTTGTCAGTATTAAGAAGAGATCGAAACATATTTAGGACATACCTCGGTGAAGGCCGAGTCGGAACAACTGATGAAGGGCCACTCTCTCTCCGATTTACCGTGCGCTGCTCTGACATATTGATCGGTCACAAAGTTCTGGCCGTTGGATTTCTCCATAGCATACGGCTTCCCTTGTGTAAAACCTGATGTATTCTTATTAGTAAAAAGTCGCCACGATCGTGTTTCTTATATGTATGTACCTTTGATGAGAGCCATTCGGTAGACATTAGCGCCATCGGAGCCTGGGCCAAGTGCGATACGAACATAACATCCAGTAATAGCCTGATCGAAACCAGGGTAGAAACAAACTTGAGCGAAGCGGCTGCGACCAAGTCGTACGCGTTCCATATCACGTATATCGGCGAATGGGATTTCCTTGACCTCGGGGGTTCGTGACTTGGAGCGTCTGTCCTTAGATGTGCCTGCCCAGCCACCATCACTATCGCCATCAATATCGCCATCAGGACTACCCCGTAGGGCTGAGTGCGATTTCTTGTTGCGTTCTCGGTCCTCCTCTCTGCGACGTACTCGATCATTCTTTTCGGCGCGGGCGCGGCGAAGTGATTCTATTCCTGCGCTTGTTTCGCCCACTTTACCGACCCTCGTTCGCTGTCGGGAGGTCTTACGCTGGGTATCGTCTAGGTCTGCGCTACTAGCTTTGCGCTTCTTAGCTAACTGGCTATCATCTTCTCGAGTCTTTAGTAGTCGACGTAATAGAGTATTTTGTCGTTGACGATCGACTTCTTCTTGACGTTTGGCAAGCAACTGCTCTCGCTCGAGTTCGGGCATAGCTAGGATATCCGCCTTCTCACGTTCATTTTCGTAAATTCCATCTACGGGGTACTTGTTATCGCCATCGTCCACCTTGCCGTTGGCGTTGGCCTGGAAGGTCTCCGAATCCGAGTCGGACTCGTCCATCGGGGCGGAATTCTGCGATGCGGGAGACGCCATCGAGGAACTGTTAGGCGGGCGACGGAATAGTACGTTAGCTTAGGAAGGTAAACGGTGGGAATTTGTGTTGGTGAATAAATAATAAATGTGGTGGAATATGTTGCGAGTAAATAAGGTAAGGTAGGTAGGTGCTACAGTCCTAAAGAAGAGGACACGCATTTGAGGTGTCGATGTTTAGACCCCCGCCAAAACATTGGACGCGGATGCTGAGGCGACAGAGCTTGGGGCACGACAACAATAACGGTTACGCAGAAACATGGAGGGGTTGAGCGCGTAGAACCGTGGAGTCGGGTGCGATGAACTGGTGAACCGCGCAAGTGGAATAGGTAACGAGGCAAGAGAACTCACGCTTCTCCTTCCTCCTCATCTGAGTCATCAGCTTTCCTCCTACTAGATTTTTGCCTCAATTTTTTGGATGTTTGGTTCTTAGCATCGGGGTCAGGCGAACCAGACGCGGAGCGACTGATAGGCTGCTCTGCTTCCTCGTCGGACGATTCATCACCGCCGACGAGTGCTAAGAGTTCATCATCCACGTCAGCCATACTGACAGAGGCTTATGATCCACCAAGGTAATCCCAATTGATTTCTATAGTCTATTCAATACCAACGATTCTGCGATTACATAAGTGTCGCGCGAACGTGATGCGAAAAAAAGGCGAGCACTTGGAAGGTGAAGGACTCGGCGATGGATGGAGCAAAACGGATATGAATCGTGTCCTTGGATGAATTACGGCGAACCAAATTAAATATTCAGAAAATAATGGTGCGAAATGAAGAGAAGAAATAAAGTGGTAGATGATTAATTTTGTCTTCTTCCCCTATTCGCAGTAGGGTTAGAATGTATGGAAGATGAATTGAAGAAGTTGAGCTTTACAGCCTCATCGGTCGATGCGCCGAAATACTTTAGTTTAGGTACTATTGTACTGTACTGTACTGTACTAGTATAGTGCCTTGCAATGGCTGTTTGTTCTTTCCGCCGTTTCTATTGGTCCGTCTCCATTTTTACTGTACTTTACGTAACCAAACATTCCAGATCTGACTAGGTAGCCACTGTGCGCCTCAACCTTACATCCCAGATTTTAAGGTTGAACGCTGAGTGGCTTCATCGGAGTTAAAAATTGGATGTTGCCGACTTGAGATAATAGCATTCGTTCGTCAATTGCAACATTGAAGCTTGTAATAATAAATCTTAATTCGATCTAAACTCTGCTTCACCTTTTCCCCTTCTTTCCTTACAACAAACACATTATTACTGTCAAACCATGTCCTTACCAAGGCTACAAACATGCGCAGTACGCCGAAATATACAATCATCCCTTCGTGATTTCATTACCTTGACTTCCTACCGACCAATCCGAAGACAATTCTTAAGCACAACTCGAAATAATAATGCAGCAGTCACTACCAACACATCCTCCCCGACCGATTCTTCGGCGCCTAAACCCAAACGCAAGCCCTTGACACAGGAACAACGCGATTTTCTCTCGTCAGCTGTAAGGCTATCCTTCATGAAGCGTTGTCCTTAATCACCGAGTTCTGTGACCTATGCTAAGACGTTGTTCCTTAAGCTCCGTGTCAATCAAGCAGGCGAATTAGCTGCCACATTAATTTACACGGCTCAGACCCCGCCTATTGTAAATGCGCACCCACACCTCCGACCCTTGATGGCCCATATGTATGCGCAGGAAGAAGGTCACTTTAATACATTCAACTCCCTCATCGCTAAACACCGCGTACGTCCGACCGCTCTATATCCGCTTTGGTCCGTCCTTGCAACTGGATTGGGTTGGTCAACAGCGGTTATGGGAAGGGAGGCCGCAATGGCTTGTACAGAAGCAGTTGAGACAGAAATAGGAGGCCATTACAACAATCAAATACGAACTCTGCTCGAAATGTTTGAACAATGGGAAGCGGATGGTTACGAAGTGGGTGAGGAGCTACAAGACCTCATACAGACATTGAGAAGAATACGAGATGAAGAATTGGAACACCTGGATCATGCTGTCGACAACGATGCGAAGAAGGCCGAACCGCATTGGTTATTAACAGGCGTCATACGTCTAGGATGCAGAGGAGCAATTTGGGTCAGCGAAAGGGTATAAACCTGCCCTCGAGAACCTATCTGTATACTGCTGATAGCTCCGATGCCACTTAATATCATGCTAGAAATAACGCAATCCCGATATCAGGTGAGTCGGCAGCAGTCCTGACAAGCGAATAGTATCTTATTGAGAGATCGTCGGTATACATTATCGTTCGTCCTGGTCGAGGCTAACGAGAGTCGTAATTACAAACGAACCCTTTATACCCTATCGGTTATACGATTAGCTCCTATAAAATATGCCAATTCTCTTGAGGGCAACCCTATACTTCTCGAGAAAGACTCGGTAGCAACAACTCAAATACCTCTATGTTGTACGAAAGTTGGCCGATTCAATTTATATATGTAGTTCAAAGAACAATAACTTTGTTGACATAAGACGAGATCTTAAAGAAAATGAAATCTAAGCACATGCAGGTACACGTTTATTCTTGACGTTTACACCTACAATTGCCGTTATCTCCTCAACTTTAAACTCACCAATAAGTATCAGTATTTAAATTCTCGGACTACTCTTACATCATCATATATATATAACTCCTGTGTATGAGATTACTATTTCTTCTACGGATTTATTTCCATTTTCTCGCCGGTAAGAGTCATCGGCGTGTCGAACCACAACCATGTAACTATTACATACCGCCTAACCAACCAGCGAGCTCTCAGAGTGGATCCGGGGAACTTCCTCTTTGAGATACGGTTTATACACTACTAGTCATGGATCCATGGTATAGTCTAGGCTATTTATTCCAAAGTCTCAGTTCTAGGCTTCAGTCGCAACCATTATAAAGACGAGGGTCAACTAACCCCTATTTCTTCCAAGTACTCAAGTACCTATCTACCAACAACAACCAGGGGAAACTAGAAAAAGAATATCAACAAGAAAAGGGGCAATAGAAGCAATGACGTTACCATTCGCAATCCCACCATCGCTCTCCCCATCCTTCACCATATCCCGCTGTACAGCAGCAGATGTAGACGAATTGGGCGAGATATACTACGACTCATTTAAAACGGACAAGCGTAACACATTCTGGTGGCCAGTCGAAAAGGAGCCAATGGTCGCATGGATGCACCGTCGTAACAGTCGCAAAATAGGCGACAGCAGCATGCGACACTTCAAAGTGACAGACGTGCAAAGCGGTGAAATAGCGGCTTTCGCTCGGTGGGACATTCCCGAAGGCTATGAGGCTGCGTTTGGGGAGTGGCCTGGGGAGAATGTATCTGCTGTGGATGTCTCGGTGCTTGTTCAGGCGGATGAGAGTGCGGGAGATGCGCAGCAGAAACCTGGAGAGGATGTCCCTGTGACTACTGCGCCGGTTGATACTATTACACCTCCGGCAGTAGCTGATTATCCAGAGGGCGCTGATCCGGAGCCGTGCAGGGTCTTCTTTGATGCATTGAAGAAAGTATCGGAGAAACATAACGCGGATGCGATGCTAGGTAAGCAACAGTGATGAAATTTAAGGATTTCATCTGGGAATGAAGCTTACACACATGTATAGGACTGTCGCTTCTGTGCACATCACCAAAATACCAAAAGAAAGGTGCTGCAAAGGCGTTGATGTTGCCTATGCTGGCTATTGCCGATGCTCATGGCCTCAAGACATATCTAGAGGCAACACCGAATGGCAAGCCGGTGTATGAGAGGATAGGGTTCCGAGAGGTGGATCAATTAACATTCGATATTGAGAAGTTGACGGGCAAGCCAGAGGGGATTTACTATCTCTCGATTATGGTACGAGAGCCGAAATCTCAATAATGCCTGTGCAGAGGCTAGGATTGAGGGACTTCGGGTTTGCATAGCGGTCGGTTTATAGCTGTTGAATTATTCAGTATAAACTCAAGGGTCACATTACTCATAGAATCAAATACTGTCTTTTGTTCTATCTCATTTTCGCTTTTATCTTGCGAGGTTAGGTATTGTCTACTAAATCTAGGAGAAACTTGTCTGGGGTCGTGACGTAATAAACTGTTGGTAGACACTGATGTGTATTCAGCCCTACATACATCCTATGACGACTGCGCGGGTAATGGATAAAACTCGATTGCTTTGATAACCTGGGAAAGTATACTACTACTTCTTGCGAACGAGCATCTTTGATTTTCTGAGAGATTTGGAGCGTATTCAAGAAAATCGGCATGTCTTCATCAGGATATACACCAGGGCAAACTGACAGCGACGAATCCGCTAAGGCAGTCGATCGAGGTGCAACATCCGCAATGCCCAATACCGAGTTAAGTAGCGGTATCTACGAGGCTGCGAACCAGAAGGTATGTGAGCATTCAAGTATACCAGCTCGCTAGCCCCCACCTGACCTTGGTTTCTAGGCTCCGGCAGGTGAAAAGACTACGGAAGCCGCATCTTCGTCTTTCGATTCTTCTGGGGCCATTGGCAAACAATTCACGGTGCGTAACGAAATAGTTCCCTCGCGGAGTTTACCACAAGTCTAGATTAAAGTCGCTAACTCGGTCATACTTCTAGACCGAAGGCGTCGTTGGTGGTACAGCTCAAAAAGTCGGCGGCCCCCTATCAAAAGACGGTGTAGTAGGAAAACAATTCACAGACACGGGATCAATTGGTGGAACGATCCAAAACAAGTTGGGGGACGAGAAGAAGAGCTAAGCTAAAGCGGATGTAGCCTTTCGCAATTCCTGTAATTATACGAGCGAATAGAAGTCTTCCAAGAGCGTAACCTTCTAACTGAACAAACTAAACACTATGCAGTTTCCCGTGAGAAATTTGCTCATTGAGACGCTATCCGTACTATGATCGCAAGTTAACGACACTTCCGGACAAATTTTCATACCGACGGCTCGTAAAAAAACTAAATGATGCCTCGTATCGAGGATACCGCATACTGCGGGCGCTAACCATACAATATCATTGGGTATCGGTTACCGTAACTGAAAATTTTGCTATCGTGGCTTGCGTAGGGGCGGAACCGGTGAAGTTGGCGAAGCCCCGAGCTATTAGAGCCATGTGAGATGTCGGCATTTGTAAACTTGGCAAGATGTGCCGTTTTGAAGGATTCCCGGATGGGTTCCTGAACTAGTATGTAGGGCGTCAGACTAATCGCGGTACGGCTTCAACACTAAGGATTAAGTCGTGTGATAGATGTCAACTACCTATTCGAGATGTTCATCCCCGCGAATGGGGGCTATGTGGAAAGCCATCACGCTCGCTAGTCAGGGGGTATGAGGGAAGCTGACATCAGAGCTGGCCTCATTGAATATTTACAGGTGAAGAACTTCGGGACGAATCATCTACGGTAGTATCCGAACTTCCCAGAACATTTCATAGGAGTGCGGATGAGTGCTGCAAGGAAAGCTACAAGGCTGACTATGAATAGAAAAGTTGATTGCTGAGAAACAAACAAATCTCGGGTTATAAACGTTCCATACCAATGCGAAATATCAAATTCAGCACCTACCCGTGTGTATGCCAGATACAGCCGTTGTCCTGTCGATCGCTATGACGTGACTTCAACATGGCTTGTAATTGTAGGATCCGATTGGTTAGATCGGCGCATTGTAAAAGATCCTCTGCATGAAGTACTAGATAACAGATAAATTCTTAGAACCTGTCGGCTGGGGATTAGGGCTAGGGTGAGACAATATGTTTTGCTGCGAACCTGTAATCTGGCATCCTCGTGAATACCCTACTGATGTTAGTTGGACATCCATCCTGGTCCTGAAGAACGAAGTTCGCCGCATCTTTCCAACGTGGGGGGGCAGGGATGTTGACCCAAAGGTGTAAATATCCCTGCTAGATTTGTTCATCCCGAAAGATTCGCCTTTATTAATAGAAGCAGAGTAGTAACACTTTGTAGATCTGATATGTGTCTACAACATTTCTACAGAACATCCAACATGGATTCAAAGGATCAAAAACCCAGCTCTCATCTGCTATTACGACATGGGGAAATGAAGTCCGATGTCTTCGGGTGGTCAATCTACCCGCGCCCTGGACGCAGGATCTTAACAAAAATCATATTATTAACGAAAGGGCATCTATAACAAGGGCTAGAAATAGAAATTAACACCGTATAAGGCTAATATGCGCAGATAGTCTCTTATCAAAATAATAGTGCCCGTTAAATCTAGATGAGCGCCAATGTATGGCTCGCCCTGGCATGGGATCTGCATTAAATAGAATGCCGTACCTGAGACAGCCAAATGAGCTTGGACACCTGAGTCTTCGTTAAGCTCAACTCTATTCATAAATTAGGATGGTCAACGGTCGACTTTGCCTCAGAACTTCCATATGGTTACTTCTCTCAGTAAGATCCAACCCTTGACAATTACTGAAATAAGGGATTGGTTGGTTCGGCTTTGTAAAGGAGGGGATCTAACATTGAAAATCATGATGGGTAGCTCCACTACTTCCTAGGGCGAGACATCGAATATAGTTGTCAAGACGTCAGATAGGAATGTATACTTTTGAGGAATGATAAATAACCTCGCGTGGTGCCAACTGGGGCCACGCGACTAGAAACTTTCTACGGTAGCACAGATAGGAAGCAGGCACGGGATTGTATTTAACCACAGTTGATAAAGGGATCCAAGGTACGAAAGTAATACCTCGAGCCATCACATCGAGTCAAGCCTACTGTCCCATTTCCATCTCACCCTGGATACATCATGTTGTCCACCAAGCATCTACTATGGTATGCCTTGGCATGTGTATCACAAATAACAAGTGGTAAGTCTTCTCAACTTATTATATCATGTCTACATCCTAACGAGGCATAGGTCTTGCCTATCCAAAGCCCGCCCTCCCTGCTAGCGGTGACCTCCTATCTGAGCTCACTGAGGGACTACAGGGATCAACAGAATTCCAGAAGTCAAAGGGCTTCTCAAATGGCGTACCCCTAAGAATAATGCCCTTAGGTGCATCTATTACCTTCGGTCATGGATCAAAGGACGGAAATGGGTACCGAAAAGACCTTCGCGACATGATAGTACAGAACGGGAACAAAGTCAACATGGTCGGGAACAACCCCAACGGAACTATGAAAGACAACGAAAGCGAGGGTTGGGATGGTTACAGAATCGAACAAGTCCACACCAAAGCAAAGGATTCCGTACCCAAATACAAGCCCAACCTGATCCTCATCAACGCGGGCACCAACGACTGCATACAAGACTACAAAATGTCAAGCGCGGGAAACAGGATGACGGACATGATCAACGACCTATTTGATGAATCACCCAAAGCGACCGTCATTCTATCGACCCTCATAGTGAACGCGCGCGAAGACATACCAGAGCGCATCGATGAATACAACGCCCAATTGAGGCAAGTCGCAAGCAATTTCCAAGAAGCCGGTAGATCTCTCGTCTTGGTCGACATGCAGGGCAAAAACGGCCCCACCCTGGACGACTTAATCTCCGATGGCATTCATCCGAATGACGAAGGGTATGAGAAAATGGCCCAAGTTTGGTTCAACGGCATCAAAGAAGCGGACACCATGGGATACCTGCAGCGAGCAGACGCAGTCAAAGGGCTTGGAGATGATGGCTTGACATCATCGGATCCCTATCTTCGTTAACTGAGGCTATTGTACAACGTGAGATTCTATAATATGCATATGGACGGCGCTTAGGTGTTTGGCACATAAGTTTTTCAGCATTGGATGGAACCAAGAGTTTAACATCGCACCCTTGGCGAGTATTACTTTCGTGTTCATTTTTATTGCCACATATCTGGTGAGAATATTTTAGCTTTAGGTATAAAAATAGCGAAGGATTTATTGGTAATCTTAATCAATAGGGGACGCCTGTCAATGGAAAGGATGCTGAAAATTTATATACTGATAGCCAGAGCGATGCTTTCATACTTGTCGTTAGAGCCGAGTCTCATTTGAATAATATTGTGTGTTGAGAAGTATTTGCTGCAAGTAACTTCGAAGCATAGATAACCTGCTAAATCTACCTCTCTGTTTAGGTTTACTTGAAATGTCACGATGGTTGATCTGTGCATGAATAAACAATGCCTCTAAGTAAATAAAGCCATGACGTGATGGGCCGTGCTAAATCGTGAACCACCGTGAGATCATCTGCAAGTAGTAAGTTTGGCTATTGGCTACCTGGATTCATTAGCGTCAACTCTGAATACCACTTAGTGCCAACGATGCAAAGACCCCTATTTGCGCAAGTCATGGCAATACTTAGCGGAAAGGGGTATATCTCCACCTCGCCACGGTTTATTTACTTCCAGGAACTAAGTGGGGATGTCAGATCAACTCTTTTAGAGATGGGTTATCCGCTTGTGGAACATCAGACTGGAAGATTCCTCGTAAATAACAAGATAAAAAATTATAATTATTATAACTTTCTATGGGCTGTTAGAATAATATGAATGATCCTAGGAAATCTGGACTTGTGCTGAAGGCCGTTCGTGTGCATCATCGCCCATGAACCCCTTTGGTTGTGTTTCCTTATCAGAAACGAGAGCAAACAATGACAACGATGCATCGGCGTAACCATCCAATCTTGGTGGTTGAACGAAGTTATAGACCTCTACTCCTGTTTTTCTTTCGGAATCGAAGACGATAGTGCCGTTTACTGCCGTAACATTCCTGAAGTATAGCTCGTTGAAATCATCTTCTAAATCGAGTGTAGCGCCCTTCCTAGAACCACCAAAGCTGAATATCTGGTTAGTGGTACCGTAGCCAGAACTATTCCTCCCATCTCCAGTCTGAAAGAAAAATGCGGTACCATCGCGATGCGTTTTTAATTGTGAAGCGATGTACGAATTCTTCGACGCCGCGATGCTTTCCTCAAATGCTTCGAGGCCTGTCGGGAAAATCGATTGCCCTTCAATTTGAAGTTCAAGCCCTTCTATCAGGTGCGCATTGATTGATATGTTGCCCTGTGCCGATCTTGAGTATGTTTGATTGCAATATAATGGGTAGGAATAAATCGTCTTGTATGAGGTGCCTGGGTTGGTGGCAAGATCCTCTCCGATAATGGTGAGATTGTTGATTTGACTGCTACCAAAATTTGATAGTAACGCGTGATTTGAATATGAGAGGTTCTGGGTCCATATACTTTCCCCGGTCTGACCTCCTGAGTTGATAGTTGATTTTATCGTCACAGTCCTCTCAATGATAGTGTCAAAGACCAGAGTTTCATTCGAGCCTGTTCCGTTCTGAGTAACTTGACGTGAGAGTGAAATAGTCGGCCCAACAATATTGACTTCTGGACCAGTGCCCGTAGTCACCAAATCTCCCTCGCCCAGCCATAAGAATATCTTGCCAGTGACGTACCAGCTATCGTTCACAGTCTCTGTTAATGTGACATTGGTATCTGCCCCCGAGTCATTCAACCCAGCGACCTTGATGGCAAATGTGTGTTCAGCACCATCGCACAACAAAGGTAACCACGGTGTAATATCAATCTGGTGCTCTCTCAAGTCGAAAGCCTGTAGGCCCACTATAGGTCGATGCAAGCTAGGTACCACTCCGCCGGTAAAAATTACTGGAAACGGCCACTGAACCCCGGCGAGCTTGCCATCAATTAACAATTGTACCTCCCGGAAGGGAGATAAGCCAAGCAATTGCCCAGCTGTCTTGTTAAATGTGAGAACGTCACTTTCTAGGACATTCCCCCACCAGAATTCCTCCGAGGCCTGTCCATTAGCAGATATGGAGAAAACGGCCCTATTCACATTTCGGGGAAAACCGATCGTGTTTGTTGCCATCTCTGCCGGTAGAGTGAATTGGCTTGCCCCATCTGTTGCCCCTTTTCTTGTAGATATGGGGATAATGATGTCCGCTGGAGGGGCCGCATCAGTCTCTACTTCTGCTACGAAGAAGGTAGCTGTTAGAGTAGCATTGAATGACCCGGTGTATTTATCGTCCATCAAGTTGCCTAAATCGAATATTAATTTCTGAGGCGATTTCCAAAAGTACATGTACTCCGTCATATCCTTCAAAAATGTCCAGCGAATCCCAGGGGGTTGTGTTGGCTCCGCAGTTGACGTTCGCCACACTTCAGTATCACCAAAGTACATCAATGCTAGCCGATCAAATTGGCGGCCCTCCGACACGACAGTAAAGTTCATGACAACTCGATTGAATTGGCAACTTGGCGGGGTATAATTTCCTATGTGTACATACGTATTTAGCTATGATCCAAAGAATACATAGTGCGGATTTATGACCTACCAACGAAAGGCATGCCGTAGCTAAATGCGAAAACATGTTCCATCAATATAACTGAGCAAGGCTCATCGGCAGCACGATTGTTGGTGGTGTCGTACCCGCCGCCAGTTGCTGGAGGGGGAAATGGCCCGTCAGGACCCAGCACGGGTGACGCAACCTGAAAACATTCTAGGACGGGTCGAGTTTGCAGTGGAGCGAAAATTGTAGCAGAAGTTGTAGTAGAGGAGCTTTGGGGCTGTTCAAGATCTGATCGAATAATTTGCCTCAAGCTCGGAGCCGCCACGAGCCATTGCCCAAAGTCCAACCTTGTAAACCAAGTGAATGAAATTAAGCCAAGTAGAGTCAATATCAGTTTGAATTTCATTCGGCTTTCATTGGTGATGGGTGGTAGTTCCTCGCGCCAACTTAACCCATTATGATCATAATTATGATGACGGACAGCGGTGTTAGATACCCCTTTCTCTAAGTATCGAGAAGCCATCTTGAGCCGTATAGATATTTCATATACACCAATATAAATGCGTGAAGCGAGTGATGGAATTCTTTACTGCAATGTCAAAGCGGGTTGACTCAATCCAAGAAATGATACGTAATCCCACCAGCATCAGCCCAAGGTCGATGGTTAGGCACTGGTGCCCACCTACATAAGTAGGCGCTCAATCGGATTGCATATCCCTTGATGAAGGGGGAGAGTGAGTTGTCTAAAACATCGATGAAAGCGAATAATGAAGGTTGAGATGATTGTCGAGTAAGTAGATCGGAAACTTAGATTGGGAGACCGATGTAGAGGGGTAGTATGTGGCTGTCTGCTTACATAAGCAAAGCAGGTAACTTTCCCTTCCCAAGTTTCTTTCCTTTTAACTTTCTTATGATTACTATAAACTTTCCCTTTTCCCTTTTCTCATTGCATGTGCTCCGAGATCAAGGCACTCTCCTATTACTCATTCGTTGGCTGGGATTGCGACGGTATCCTTGAGACTCCGACACAACAACTAATGTAGAAGATCAAGGTATTCACTCCAAATCAAATTCACAACACTGAAGATATTTATTCACGTAATTATTTACGCGCTTCGTCGCATTCTTAGGTATGCATTAAATTGTCGTCGTTTTATCCTTCTACGTACGAACAATCGATGTCGCGAGCTATTCTTTCTCACCAAAGAATGCTCTAGGCCTCATCGACTAGAATCGTTGACCAAAGGTCCCTTCACGTTAGACCAATATCTCGCCCGAGCCTTTCTAGCTATCCTAGCATCTTCGCCGACCATGCGTCTTTCTCGATTCTGAAAATAATTGAAGATTGCAAACTCTTCCCTCGTCATGACGTACTCGCCCTTATGATCGGAGACCAATTTCTTCCATATTCCATCCACTGCGCTCTGTAATAGCGCTTGGTTATTATCTTGCTCAGTGTCTTCGGGGCTTTCCCTTGCTATCTCCAACGCCTGTAGGACATCATCCAGGTCTCCCCCTTTCTGGCTCGCGACAGACATTTGGTAAATACAGTCGTCAGGCGAGCGCACGTAATTCGACCGAGACGTATTTGTGCTAGAGATACCGGGTTTAAATAGTATCCGGTCCTCGTCGTAGGTATTTCTGTATCTTATCGGGCTGGGAGGATAGGTGGATATAAGATCGAATAAGAGACGGGGGTCCATTGGATGTCTGGACGGCCACCAATGGCCAAGGAAGAGGGAAGATGACAACAGATGAGACGTAGTTGTCTTGCTGTGTATATACAGCAACAATAGGCACCTAATTCAATAAAGATATTTAAATCCTGGCCGGTGAACAGTATAGGATTTATTTGAAGTGATATTTTTTGAGACGTATATACATATAAGAGTACTTTTGATCAAGGGGCCCTCGTGGAGTCTATATACCTCAGGCACGTTAGACGGATTAGATGGGCCACGGCTAGCAAGCGGAGAACCTATGTAACCGGAAGTATGAAAGCTCAGGTGATGACATATTTAGTGTGCAGCTAATACGAGTCGCTTCTATTCAGGTACGGGTCTTCTAAGTGTTAATTTAATTTGTGCAATACGCCAATTCTAAGGTAGATAGTAGTAGAGCTGAATGCTGCTTACCACTTGGAAGAGCTTAATCCTATAATGTAATTTTATCTGCACTTTGAAATGAATCAATGCGAGGCCACATTCGAGATCGATCATACTGTATACCTAAAGACAGGCCGCAACAAAATTGCCCTTTAGTAAAGGAATAGGGGAATTGTGTATTATGCCAAATAATCTTAAACTAGACTTTCAAAAGGACTGCTTCCCGAGTCCTTACCCGTCCAGGGCTGAGTTTTTACTTGTCGTAACCTGTTCCATTTCCTTGGGATCTAGTTAAGACCCTGACCCTCGTCAGTATCGTCCATCCCGTCGGCATAATCCCTTCCAGAACGTGTCAGTTCTAGACACCATCGCTGTACCCTGACTCGTGATATTGCATGCTCTGGGATAAGCGACTCGGCTCTTGTGGTTTTGTAAGGATGTTAGGAGTAATGAAAGGGTCTTTTGGTTAGCTGAAGAACTAGGGTCCCATAGTCCAGGAGACCTGAGCCTATTATATGTCCACCCAGCCAAGTCTTGATTCGTTCTAGACCTAACTCGGATACGTAACTGGCTGGCTTGTAATGGCCTCAAGAGCCTCATTTATGTCTCCGGAGGTTATGACTAAATTGCCTGTTAGGCGTGTTTGTCTGTAGTCAGTTTCAGTTACTATAACTCATGTATAACCCCGTAGGTAATATGTGACTCGGGAAAATATAACGTATCTTTACAGACTTAGTCATGCCTTCTAAGTATATGGGTACTCGTATGGAAGGGGGACGGAGAACTCTCGGATTGCGATGAATGTAAATGCCCTGATTTCGTTCCTGCCGCCTGGATCAGACGATCTCGATGGATGATCGGTGTGGAATATTGCGAGACTCGTACCACCTCGGCGGAGTCCCGGAGAATATCGCGGAGAAGAGATGCAAAAATGAGCGAAAGGGAGACGATCAGTATGAATTCGTCCAGTGCCAAGCGAAGCCCGTTTAAACTCTATTTTGAACCTTAGGGGGTACTTACGCACGCGTACATTACAATCAATGCGCCAGTGGTCTTTTTTTAGAAGGTACGTACATATGTATCTAGGATATTGATAAAGTTTCCGCCGTTTGTATCGGCTGTGTGGTGTAATATTTGGGGGTTCCACCAACTTACCTAGGTACGTATTTGCATTCCTCGAATGGACCACCACGAAATAAGTCAAAACTTTAATCAATATGTTTGACAAAGTCCCTCTCACTCATTACATACCGCCGTCCCCTAAGGAATACCAGCTGATCAGAGCTCGAATCGTAGTAGTCGTCAGCTTCCCCGTAAATTGAAACAAGTAGCCATCGCGAGTTGTGATCGTCACTGTCGCCCATTGCGTATCTTGAGTAATAGTAATCTAGCGTATCGGTAAAGTTGAGATCCGACGACGATATTCGCCACAACATCTCATTACCCCTCCCCGTTCGTGAAAAATGGGATGAAGTACATCCTTAACCTAATTTGGTCGTTGGGAATTATATTCTATGTGGAGTGCGTCTAATTTTGTCTTTCCCCTCTTCCCCCCCATTGAAGATCGTACATCCTCTTACACTAATTGTACAAGCCCCTCCATCTAGGCGCCAACGTGTGTGAGGACGCTTTCGCAGACTAAAGATATCAATTATAATTTGGAGCACTGCCGCCGATTTCGCGTCTGATGTCTCGTTTTTCTTACCGCTTACTCTGTCTCTTCCCAATTTTCCAGCCCCACGATCTGAGGACTTTGACCACTTTGGGCGTTATCGCGGCAGTCAGTGGAACACGGATAAAGATAAAACTTTTATGAATAGCATAAGCGAGTGCCAACTGAGTCCCAAGACCTAAGTCTTGTATTAGTATCATTTCGGACCTAGCATTCTGTGAGAACTTACTGGCTTCAGCCTTATGTCTTTTATCAGCCTCTTCCACGCCCCAGCCGGCCATCTCTACATGTTCGCTAATCTCCTCGTTGCCGATATTTTCTTTCTCTGCATCTTTTAGAGCTTGGCGATATTCGTGCCACCAACTCCGGACGGATTGTGGTATGGCTTTCGAGACATTTGAAACCACGAAATGTTCGATTTCACCTGGAACCTGTCAATGACTTCGCTTCATCTAATGTTTCCATCTTGTTCAAACTGACCTATCCTTTCCGTCCCTACCGACCTGACCAGTAGGAAACAAAATGGGAAGTCCAGGACCGTTAACCCTAGATATACACCCAAGGCTGCCCAACCATATTCTCTAGATAACTTCTTCAATCTTGCTGTTAACCCTTGCGGTTCTTGAGCCGGGGCATCTTTTGGAGGGGTCTTCGTGTCTCGTAATCGGGAAGTTTTGTGAAAAGGTCGATGAGTCGAACGTAAAGGTAGATTATAGGATTTAGAGAAATTTCCAGTCGTCCTCGGTCGCGATATCGTACGTGAAATGTTTTTCCAAGCTCGCAATAACCCAGATTGTTGTGATCTCGAAATAAATGTCCGCCTCCATGCTACTCCCCCCACGTTCGGCGCTACTTGACGTAGCATCTGCGCCCTTGTTAAGCCACTGAAGGGATAGAATATGCGCGAGTAAATTTGAGACATATTATGTATTCTTCGAAATATATGATGTCAAGTTCGAGTTAATTGAACGTGGTGGGCGATTTCGAAGCTATTAAAAGATCTGCTGACAGCGCAGGAGGATTTCGGTCGAGAAGCTTCGGAGCGTCAGGAAGACTTATGTCCGGTCGTGCCGTTAGGGATCCGTACTGCAGCGCGTTGGTAATAAACCCCGATTAGGCTTCAGAAAAGAAGCGGTCTTTTACTTCAGCAGGTACCAATCCCCAATTGTGGACAGAATATCAGTAGCGAGGTTATGCTGACGTCCTGAAGAAACTGGTGGTGATGGCACGACGGTGAGCGCAAAGATTAAAAAAAAATTCGGAGCTTGTGTACAAAAGTACATGGATGCAAGATGCACAGTGATGCAACGGTCTAGGGTAGGTACGTATTTAGGTTTGTCGCGGGTCCGGGATTGTTCGTCAACCAATGATTGAGCCTGATTCTCTTCCGATTCGGACTGTCAATTGTCTCGGTAAACCCGTCACATTTTCCATTCCTTAATATTGGCCGAGGTGAAGTAAAGAAATAGGAATTACTACGAACTTTACTTCTATGTATATTTCTATGTATGATTCATTAAATTAACCACACATGCCTGTCTACGTTTCGTTTAAATTTACTTATAATTCTTTAAGCTCCATTAATATTAATTTTATAAGATTTTATGTTGTGTTTTTCGCGTTTGGGCGACGAGCTACCGCTTCATAATGTTAGACGTTGGCATAAAAGTGTTGAGGAGACATGTCATGCTCAGGATTGATAATATATTAATATCTTAGATCTTAGGGTACAGGCAGCCGCAATCATCCATTTTAAATTGCTTTGCGAGCGGCCAAAAGATAAAAGCTACCTATTACTACCTGTCTAAAACTCAATAGGTCATAGTATAAATAAGAATTCAGTCAGTAAACTAAACGTCGTGCGGTGTGTCACAGCTTAAACTACTTGTCATTGTTATTACTGCCTAGGTACTTTATTCTCTGTAAAAAAGGTTAAGGTACATATGTATTTGATATGACAAAAGTCTATTATACCTAGATAGTCTCTTTCCATATCTGCCTATACTCATAGTCACAATGGTTATAATAGATGGCATTGCTGAAGACATAAGATACCTATGTAGGTAATTAAGTGATTAAGCTTTCTTTCGCAAAGATTGTCTATAAGCTTAAATGATGTATCGAGACCTCAGTGCTTAAGAGAGTAATGCTGCGCCTTATAAGAATGTAATCCTGTCCGGTGATTTAATTTTGTTGGAGTCAAATTCACCAAAAAGGGGACCAGTCAACTTGACTGGTAATTATATGTTCGGGATGAAAAAGATGCAGGGTCTTCGGGCGGCTCGCGGTTGCTGGGTCAATGCGATACCATGTAAAACATTGCGCAAATCATACGAACCAATCGTTATAATCCCCCAGATCTTATCGCTGACGAAATTATTAGGGCGCAGGGTGGTGCGGACATTTGCGTTGCGTGATTGGTCAAGGTAGGACTGCCTGGCCAACCACGACGATTGAATATGCGACGATTGCCGAGGCCTGCGAGGGTTAGAAGGTACGTAGCATTAATTCCTGTATGCAGGTGTAAGAGGTAGCCTAGGTACCTAGATTCGGAATTCAAAGGATGACATGAGGATGCCGCATTCGAAAGATTAGAAAAGATGAGAATAAGTTGAGGTCATTCCCGATGATCACAGGTTTACTTTTAAACTTTGTACTATCCTTTTAGAAGAGAAAAAGAGACCAAGAACTTACGCCGGCGCTGTTATGTACGTCATTACTTCTAGAACACTAAGGAAGATCCAATGAGGTCATAGTCATATTTTGCGAATACAACTCCGTGGGAAGGTACTCTCCTGTTCCGCAACTGCCGATCACCAGGCCATCGACTATTGCTTTATTCAAGAAGTACATACACAATACATCAATGCTACACTACTGCTAGTGCATACATCTATACTTGCTAAAATATATCCACAAACTTACAGACTCACCATCTACAATCCTCACTTATTATACCCACCCTCAACACTAGGATCTTTGGTTAAAACGAAACAACATCGATGCACATCATTTGATCGCCATTGATACCCCATACAACTAGCTCGATTAAAATCTCTGAACCAATTATACACCCTCGACAATAGATTAAAGTACGACTTTTTTCTCTCAAGCTGCACCATTCTTCTCTCGAGTCCAATCCCATTGTCTACCATTCGCAGGATTGCTCGAGGGCAACAAAAGCCCAACCTAACCCAGTCCATACTATATTCCAATCCAAGATCTTCGTCGCTTACTCTCCACAAGCAATCCGAATAACTACATACGATAAAAGAAGCTAGCTATTTCCAGACTCACCATATCGTCACATACCCGTCGAACTCGATCCTTGTGAACCTACTCTGCTGTCGATCCGACCCCTCGTCGTTCAACATATCAAAGAGCCCATCCGCGATTCTACTTACGATTACACTTAATCAAACACCGTCAACATGGAGACTATGATCAAGTCAATTCTGCGCATACTGCAGTTCCTTCTTGTCTTGCTTACTACGGCGCTCATCGGAAATGTCATCGCAAGTAACATCAGCGGCGCCGAGTCCGCCGTCAACTTCATCATGTTCGTATGCGCTTTGTCATGGCTCGCCGTCATCTACGGAGTAGTTTCGCACTTTGTCGCCGCGGCCGCAATTCCCGTTGTCGCACTCGCCCTCGATAGCGCTGCTACTTTGTTTACATTCATCGGCGCCGTTGTTCTCGCTGCAAAATTGCAGGCTGTAAACTGCAGTAACTTTGTATGTGTTTATTCCCCAAACCCGGCTTTCTATAATTCAGAAAAATCTTTATTAACTTGTAAATTTAAATAGGGACGTAAAACTAGCGATTATATCGCGTTCGGCTCCAACGACGACGAGAAGCGATGCCGCGAGATCCAAGCTAGTACCGTGTTCCTGTGGTTCCTATTCGCATCATTCGCCGCAAGCCTCTTCTTTGTTCTCAAGGAGTTCCGACGCAGCGGTGGTTCCGTTCGCGGTCCTAACATGTCCCAGATCGGCGTTTAGGCCGCTGATCGGATCTATGACGACCATGATTTCCATTTTTTTCCCTCGGTACGACACGAAGATGTCCTACGACCTTACGAAACAAAGTAATGTGTGCTGCATTTTAGGGGCTACTGGTTACCGAATGTATGATCACGGGTGTTGAGGGGGATGCGCTTCGATAAATCGGGGAAGTGGGTTTGGCGTTGAGGTTGGGTACTATCCCGATGGACGAATCTTCTTGGACTACAGCAATAACCGTCCTTGCGCCGGCGCCGGAGAGCTCTCTTCCTGGATGGAGTTAGAAGAAGCTACTAAGATGAATTGTTATGGTTTGCAGTTTTTTGCTTGGAACATGATACTGTAGTACTGTATAGGGGTTTGGTTATGAGTGGAAAATCCACCTTATTTTCTGTCTGGAGTAATCAAGTATTTAGATAATTGAGATACCATTAGGGTATCGGTAATTTAAACCTTTTGAAATTATAAATCAACAATTGATATATTAAATGATTCATGGTATGAACGACTGATCAGTTGTCTTGAAGTTAACCCCTATTGGGTCCAACTTATACCTCACTCCGAGCACTTATTTCCCCCGTACCTGGCGCATCATCATCAATATCACCAGTATCTAGTCTTTCCAGCGCTTTATGAACCTCATTATCCCAGTTACTCAACCCTACAATAACCCATTCGAGGATCCCTACTAGATATAAAGCAACGCATTGCCCAATCCACAAGCCCTGCAAACCCCATCCATGAAAAGCGAGATAAATCCCCGCTGGCAGTGCTCCTCCATAGTAACTAACCAAATTGACAAGCGCGCCAACCCACTGCCGTCCCATCCCCCTTAACACACCACCACAACTCCCATTCAACCCATCCGCGATTTGAAACAGCGCGACAAAGGGCATAACCTCGGCCACCAAGCTAACAACACGATCATCATCATTAAAGATCCTCCCAAAGACATTCTTAGTACTCATCAAAATAGTAAGTATAACAGCCCCAAGAATCGTCGATAAAATGGCAGCGCAATGCGCAGCACGCTCTGCTTCACGTGGCTTCTGCGCGCCGAGAAGATTACCCAGTCGGGCCGAGGCAGCAACACCTAGGCCGAAGGGAATCGTGTTTATGATTTGGTCGGCTGTCATGATGACGGACTGTGCTGCAAGGGTTATTGTGCCTAGTCTTCCGGCGGCTAAGGCGACGATTTCGAAGGCCCACCATTCTGTTCCTACGTGTATTACTCCGAGGAGGGCTAGGCGTGCGAATGGCCAGAGATTTGATAATGCGCGCCGAGGGGCGATACCGCCCCAGCACTCGTAACCGCGTATGAAGGTTGTGTATGCGACTAGGAGGAGGAAGGAAATCCAATATGATATTCCCGTCGCAAAAGGGGCGCCGTAAAGGCCAAGGTCAAATTGGTAGGTGAAAAGGTAGTTGAGAAGGGCATTAAGGGGCGATGTGATGAGGAGGACGTAAGTACCCGGTCGATAAATCTCTTGCGCTTGTAGGTATTTCTTCATCGATTCGAACCACACATATCCCAATCCACCCGGGATTAAGGTTTGAAGGAATCTGCTACCTTCCACACAGATGAATTCTTCCTGTCCGAGCGCGCGGAATAGGGGCTCTGAGAACCCCCATATCACAGCTACAACGGCATAAAAGGTGGATAATACTATAATTCCTCGTTGAAGTAGTATTCCCAGGTCGTGTTTATCTTGTGAGCCAGTGAAGCTGGTAGATGCGAGTGTATCGAGTGCAGTTGTACCGCCCATCGCGATTAACCAACCTGTAGACATCGCGAACACTTCAAAAGCAACGTTTGTCAGTCATCGGCACTTAACAGCTGTTTATACTTCATTATAATGAATACTATCTCAAAATCCATAGTTACCTCATCAATTCCGAAACCTTCTATGTACTACTAAGAGAGCGAGAAATAGCAATATGATCTACTCACTATAGCTAAATGCGGCGGTAGCTAATGCTTCTGGTGAAAGGCGGCCCACGATCAAGACCGAAACAGTCTGGAGGCTGTTCTGGAGGGTATAAGCAAGTATCACAGGGATGGAAGCCTTGGTCAAGAGCCATATTTCGGATAACCATTCTCGATAATGTAGTGGCTGACTTCGTACGCCATTAGGGGCTAACTTTGGCAGAAGCGCAGTCGATTCATCATTCATTGGAGTGGAGGACACCGGAGTTAAATCCGTTGGCGAATATTCCTCCACCATTATTCGACCACTTTCAAGTTATAATTATAAAGTGATTCAAGATGCGACGGGTGAATTGGACTCGAAAAACAGAATGGGGAGAAAGCAACAACATATTCCCAAGCAGCAAGCCAGTCCCAAGAAATGTCTCGTTTTTTCTTTTTTCTAGATAAGTCCTATTCTACAAATACCAATTAGAACTTCGGATCGTTCATTGGGGGTTTAGTCTGCAATATCATGTTAGGTGCCCTGATATATGCGCCCCACGGTTACCTATCCGCTAAGTTAATTACCAACGATATGTATTACGCTTATCTCTGTCTCCATTATAGTATAGGAGTATTTCTGCTCTGCAACTCATCATGTAAGTCAGATTTGCTGCTAGATGCAGCCAGCGACGGACCGCAACCCTGCCGCGGGGGAGAACCGGCGGCAACGCGATGAAGCCTCTCAATTTGCCAATCTGGTCCGCCAAGGAGTGATGAAGACTAACGTTTCCCTTGCGTAGACATGAGTTGATGCAGAGTTCCGTCGATGGCGTTTTATTATAGGTGGCTTAGAAGTGGGCATTATCTGAAGCCAATTACTATCGAGTAATGAGTTGGCATTGCATTTGGTATACGGAGTCGTTATTACAGCATTCAATTGCTAATGCGAATGATAAAAGGTCCAATAAATTTAGCTTGTAACGAGGAAGATGAAGAAGTTAAAGAGGTGGTTGCTGTCGACTTTTCCACGGAAGGCGGAAGTATTAATTGTTAAACAGTGACGTCACTCGATACTTAATCTCCCGTAGTGTATCTCCGGATAAGCTTTGTAAGCGGTTGAGGTAGCACAAGAGATAGGGAATACGTATCTTCTTCGCAATCAAAAATAGTACCGCATCTTATCCATTTCATGATTCCAGAGCTCAAAATACGGTCATTTTTTGGTCACATATAGCCCACGTGCTATCGTTCGATATAGCAGTGCGTTATGGATGCGATACTTCAACTACAGTATAATGCTAAGAAGCTTGTGTTTCCTTAAGCGCTGGCCCCCAACGTGGACCCGACCTCCAATCGCAGAACCATTATGCCATGAAAGTAACTAAATATGGAATTTCCAATAGGAATGAAGCCTTATAGGTAGGCTGGCAGGAGAAAATTGATTAGAGAAGCATGTGTAACTTGGATTGTTTGATATTAACCGCCGCGGCGTTGAACACCCTAAAGCTGAACTAAGCAGGCCACGACCTCAATCCTTCAACACCATCGGGCGCATAGAATGGATATGCACATTCTCAATCGACCTACCAGATGAGAAGAAGGCCGCGATTATTTCCCAGCTTCGTTGGTAATGCAAGGCAGGTCGAAAGGCCTTCCCTTAAGTCAAATGCCGGAGACAGCAGATGATAACATCAAAGACGAACCCTACGCTTAACCATGACCTCTCCTCCGACTACTTAGGTCATATACATGGCTATTGTTATAGGTATTTCGTTTACGGCGATGTCCCTAATTCTATCATATACATTCTCTCCCTTTAATACATGTTGCGCATTTATTACCGACTAGGCAATGCGGAAGTATCTCATTCAGCTCGAAAGCCGCAGCCTATTCCATATTAATTCATAGAAAAATTTCTAGTTCCGAATTTACTTCTCCTGCGGCTTAAGTACTCGTATAGGTATTCCAGTTAAAATGGTCCAACTCGGCAAGAGAAAAGAGATGTTTAAGACCATCGATACGACATCCACTATCAGATCAAAAATCGAAAGTAGACCAAGAAGTCATGAATGGCGATTTCGAGAGTCGATTGGAAACTATGGCACCTTCGTCATAGCTGGCGGTTCAATACTCTCGGTTGTTATGCTCGGTTTACTCACTATCCTATGGACGGGACAAGGTCCTGGGAGCGGCGAGAATGCTTCACTGCCATGGCGAAGCATAGTACTGAGAGGATGGGCCACCGAAGCTGCTACCTTATGTTCCCTAGTCATTCAGGTGTGCACCAGCGCCCAAGCATTGATATGTACTAGCCTGGCGGCGGCGACATTTCTAGAGACGACTGGTGTACCTCTTTCCCGTGTTGCTGAGTTTTCGACGATGCGAGGTGCAAATGATGGCCCATGGAGGCTGGTTTACCTCTTATCTCGTATTTCAATCCGAAATTTTCTGAATCTTCAACCCCTCTTGGCACTGGTACTCTTTCTCGGTACCATAGCTACGCAATTCGGCTCCACGATACTTGTGACTGATCTAGACGTCGCTTCGATAACCGGCAATCCAAATCAGACACAACTGAACTTATCCCTATCCGACAGCATACAGCTCTTTTCTCCTACAGAGTCCCAATGGGAGATGAAGCCTACGGATTACTCTTCTTTCGGCGAAATACCTTCCGGAATAGACGTGCAACCGACTGCCCGTGGCTTTAGTGATACTGGCAACATCAAGAGGATGTTTCTACCTTTAGAACGTGACAATAGGACCAAACTTCACCATTATAACGGTAACGCATATGGTATCAACTCCAGAGTATCATGTGTGGCACCGGTCATGAGTGGGGAGTTTCAAGCAATAGATCCCGGCTCGACACCAATCCCGTTTCTCTTAACGATGATTGGAAATATTTCATACAAGAGTACATTTAACAACGCTGGCCTTGATGTGCCGTCCCTGTGTACTGATGGGAAATGCCTTCCTGCACAATTCAATTGCACTATGCCTACAGCAGGCTTACCAGGAAGATTAGGAACGTACATGTGTATACCTGATTTGACGAATGTTATTGACGCCGAGAATTTCACTTTCTTTAGTGATGGCCGTACCGCGCCCATCACTCCTCACTCAATGGTGTTTCTGGTTACTCGGAACAATGGATCCTTCGATGACTGGTCATTTGTAAAGAACGTAAGTACGATCCCTGACGATCCCAGCCGGAACGACGAATGGACTAGGTGGAAAATTGGTAACGGCATCAATCTAGAAGCATCGCTGTGCTTCTCTGAGTTCTTATGGGAGATGTCTCACGTGGATATGTCAGCTCCTCATGATACAATCGAGCCTACCGTCCCCTTTGACCCAAAGCTTCGGACCGTAGATACGACCGCTGTTCGCACGTTGCTTGGCGTGAATTCCCAGTTGCCCACTCCATCAGACCGACAACTACTTACAGTTAACTCAATCGCTAATACAACAATGGACTCAAGGCTCCTCTACTATTTGGACGGTGCGATCAACTCGGGAATATTTGGTATCCCAGACCCTCCCTCAGGCACGACGATCAACGGGGATGGTGCCAGTTTCGGATTGTCGAGCATCAATCCTTTTCTAGATTATGCTCTTGTATTCCAGGACACTTTAAACGATACTAATCGCCCTGCACAGGCTATCCAAGCAATGTTCACAATAATGGCGATGTCGATGCACTATGCTCAGCTAGCTATGCTTGACGTCCCAGAAGATGTTAGCATAACCACGGCCATCCCAGTAACCGTACCTGTGAGATGGACGGGCCTCGGATTAGTTGCGGGTATCGTATGCGCCAATACCATAAGCATTATTGCGATTACATCTTTATTTCTATTACGAACCAGGTTTTCAAAGCAGGGCCAGTTCTGGCATACAATCTCTCAGCTTATCTCGAAGGAAACAATAGACATCTTACAAGCTAGCCCCGAGTCCAGAGATGATGATGTCGTGAGGAAAGTACCGAGAAGTGATCCGATAGTTATCATCGCGCGATCTAAGAAAACCGGAAGGGTTCAAGTTCTTCAGAAAGATGGTGTCGAGAAAGGAAGAGTTTAGTGACACTTTGGTTTGAATAGCCAAGAACACTACCCCAAAGTACGACTCACCATTCCCCACCATCATGAACACTCTTCACCAAGATGGCTTGACGAATCCTGCCATTATTCAGTAGCTCCTACGCTTATACTAGCTGCGAGGAGCCTCATTCGAACCGATCGAATCATTCAAACGATTTAAATTACAAGGTATGATCAAAGTCTCCAAGCCCATGGCACCGGAACAGGGGATTCGAATACGAAAAATCCCAATACCCCGAGATACCCCAGATCTCGAATATAGGCTAAATGCATTAGACACCTCCACACTGCTGGATGTAACGGATAATTCTAGATCTATTCGGGTGAATCGGATCGACATTACCGAATGTTAATATTATTGACAATGCTTTGTTGACATAATATTAAGCTTACGTCCCCCTTCGTCATGGGTTGCGATAGCTCAGCTAAATGAGCCATTCGTGTCAGCTGGGAAGTGTAGAAAGTGGTTCACCATGAAGTTCCCCTTGCTGGTGAATGCTAATCTGGCATTCCTCACGTCTGTGGCGTCGGCTGCGGTAGTACGATCTGTCAATCCAACGTACTATAACCCCGTGCTGCCAGGATGGCACTCGGATCCATCCTGCACGCAAGTTGATGGAACCTTCTTGTGCGCGACTTCGACTTTCATTTCTTTCCCGGGTATCCCAATTTACGCGTCGAAGGACCTTATAAACTGGAAGTTGGTCAGCCATGCGTGGAACCGCGAGAGTCAACTTCCCGGCGTCAGCTGGAATACAACTGGTCAACAACAAGGCATGTACGCAGCTACGCTACGCTATCACGAGGAACAGTTCTATCTCATTTGCGAGTACCTTGGTCTACCAGAAGGCAATATCGGTGTGGTCTTCACGTCGTCAGATCCCTTTAGCGACGAGGCTTGGAGCGATCCCGTCATCTTCCACCCAGACAAGATTGACCCCGACTTATTTTGGGACGACGGCAAGCTTTATGTAGCCATACAGGGAATCATCCTTCAAGAATTGAATCTAGAGACCGGCGAGCTCAGCCAACCACCAATTAGCCTGTGGAACGGTACGGGAGGAGTCTGGCCCGAGGGCCCTCACCTATACAAGAAGGATGGATGGTATTACTTGATGATCGCGGAGGGCGGCACTGAGACGGATCATTCCATCACGATTGCACGATCGCGCGAGTTGATCGGCCCCTACGAGGCATACGAAAATAATCCCATTCTAACAAATCGAGGCACGGATGAATACTTCCAGACCGTTGGTCATGGCGACCTATTCCAAGATGCCGATGGTAACTGGTGGGGCCTTTGCCTAGCTACCCGCTCTGGTCCCGACTTCGAAATTTACCCAATGGGTCGCGAAGCAGTCCTCTTCCCAGTAACATGGGACGAGGGCGAATGGCCCGTACTTCAGCCAGTTCGCGGAAAGATGAGTGGGTGGACGTTGCCCCCGCCCAACCGAGATGTACCTGGAGATGGTCCCTTCAATTCGGACCCAGACGTTTACGATTTCGAGGAGGGCACGGCCATTCCACGAAACTTAGTCTATTGGCGCGTACCACGCGAAGGTGCTTTCTCCGTGACGTCTAACGGCCTGCAAATTGTACCAAGCCGGAATAACCTCACAGGAACACCCTTTTCCGAAACTACGCCCGAACTAAGCGGACAACAAGGCCTATCCTTCATCGGCCGACGCCAAACTGACACCCTCTTCACCTTCAGCGTGGACCTAACCTTCCAACCGCAAGAAGTAGGTCAAGAGGCAGGCGTAACAATCTTTCTCACGCAAGTAAACCACATCGACCTAGGCATCGTACTCCTAGCAGGCTCTTCAAACTCCTCTTGCCCATCGCACAGAAAGCGAGAAGAAGCAGCCAACGCACAACTCGCATTCCGATTCCGCGCTGAAGGAACCGGTGTTCCTCCTGAGCCAAAAGTGGTTACCGTACCGAAAGACTGGCTAGATGGTCCTATAAGACTCCAAATCGAAACGGCTAATACGACGCATTACAACCTCGCTGCCGCATCAGCTGCAGATCCAAGCGGTAGCATCCTCGTCGGCACAGCATCCGCGGGGCTAGTTAGCGGTGGTAACGGGTCTTTCGTTGGGAGTTTGGTTGGTGCTTATGCGACTTGTAACGGAGCTGGTACCGGAGTTGAGTGTCCCCAGGGCGGAAATGCGTATTTCAACCGCTGGAGATATACTGGTGAGGGGCAGTATGTCTCGGAGACTGAAGTTGTGTAACATAGTTTAATAATCTTAATAAAGGCCAGAAGCGATGCCGGCTGGCACACCCGGGTATCTTATAAATTCCCTTTTTTAAATCGCGATTATTCAAGGAAGATTCTCTCGATCTATGTTCATTGACTTGCTGATGTCTAATTCACGAGGAGTTCGTCAAACCACGATGTGTCTGGCATTTTAGAACTACGCCAACTCTCGGGGGTGTGATTTGTGACGCCACGAAATCAGCAGATTACTTTTCCATAAATTTTCTTTTTGGCTTGCCAAGCTTCGGCCGTCCGAGGGGTATTTTCAAGAGCCATTTCAATAGGCTCTCTCCGCTTTGGCGGGATACCTTAGGATACGCCCGATGGGAAGCACAAGGATGCGTAACAAGAACCCGATGATTTTCTATCAGAATTGATTGTGTTATCTCTTGGCAAGGTGTTGGAATACGGATCGCGGTTGATTCCGTAACGCTCACACAGCTCGGCGGTATTTGGTGCTATTGATGTGATGAAACCACTGGTACTACATGATATATCATCAAGCCACTTCTGAATCCGGATATCGCTAAGGAGGCTTCGCTCTATCGTTTCTACCTTGAGCAATATCTATGCTGCGCCTTAGCATAAGGCCTCCAAGAGTAATCCACGCCGTAGAAATAGATAAGGGGCCGGTTTTCATTTTCTTCTATTGCGTAGGACTTCAACTAGAGCGAATGTCAGCGAGAGTTTATCTGCCAACCTTCCCATCACTTCTTGTACCGGAATGACCTTCCATTGCATTCCCTGCGGGGTCACGCCGCTGCAGCCACAATGCAAGTAAAATTATCAAAGGAGTCCGTGATTGTTGTACTCGATCAGGTATGCCTTACAATCTGCGACCGTCGTACTTGCGCTGTATTTTGACTTGAAACCAACATTGGGCCGATGAATGTGACAAGTAACAGAAGAGAAAAATGCGCGGTAGGTTCAAGTGTTAGCGAAGCCCTCCAAGTACGGCTATATGGTACTGCGATAACGTCTCTCATTGCGGTTTTTATGAAATTTCGATCTAGTTCCTAAAGACTACACATAAAAGATTATTCAACTCGTTCTATCGCCTATTGTGCTACCTATTTGACAAAACTCATCTCTATATTCTTGCGTGGGAAGTTTATATGACATTACTTTACTCAAACTTTCCACCAAATGAAGCCTCATCCTCTTACACAATGCCAACAGTAGCAGAGGTAGCAAGACACAAAATCGTAAGGCGGGCTATAGGCTTAAAACCCCTGATGGTTGGGTTACCTGTAGTGCCAGGTGCCGAATTCCCACAATGGTTCGCGTGGGGGTATAAGGTAGGTAGATATATGCCTGAACCAAGACCCAAGCCAATAGCCCGATTCCCATAGGTTTCATCATCTGGCCGCTCTGCTCCCGGAACACCACCTGCTTCACCTATCTTCACCCATCTCCACCATGGTGGCCGCTAAACTAATGTCAGTAAGGCCCAACGGTATTCAGGTAAAAGCACACTTACTGGGTAATCTAGTCACGGCGTCCCAAGAAACCGGAAGTCCCATAGATGATCAGGGTAACTGAAGCTCGCCCTAGGAATTGTGTGTAGCATTGCGTGGACAGCGCTCCGTGTCTTCCTAGCTTTGGTACAAGTAGAAGTAGTAAGAAAGAGGATAAGCTGGACAAGAAATCGGCTCGGCGCTCCGAAACTCGACGTTTGTCGATGGAGTAGTAATCGGTATAAGCCGCTTCCTAAGGGACAGGTGGTCTACAACCCCCCATCAGCTGTTGGATGGGGTTCTCCGCCTTCGATAAGCGTTTCGGTTGGGCTGGTGGAAAAGATTCTCTCGTTTGGAAATGGAGAAGATGGAGGATAAGGTGGTCGAGTCATCTTTAATTAAAGCCTTGGTCCATCTAGGACATATGAGGCATCTGAGGTGGTAGGGTAAATTGAAAATAAGTTGAAGAGATGTAGTTGGTGAGTCTTGATGTCTTGATGTCTTGATCTTGAGTTGCGATGTAGAGACTTGAATGAAAAGTTGGGAATTTAGAGGGAATGAGGACGACTATTTATACCCGTACAAGGTCGATTCATCTGAGAAGGCGATACCTACAACTACTGATCGCTGCATTAAATCAAGACAAGAAACGTACGAGAATTGACTTTTATTGAACTCTACTACGTTCAAGGGACGGTAATCACTTACCACTAATAGTGTACACGGAAGCTACCGACCATCTTAAGAAGCTTATATCCAACTTAAAGCAAAGGATATGCGAGTATAGCCCCATGTCAAACCGTGTTTCTCTATATCGTGGGAAGTGCCGTCAGTCATAGCTGGCTTGCTCTTGAGTTCTAGACGAACTTTATAGAGGAAACGTACAATTATTTCTACGAAGAAGGTAGTAGCTAGATACTATTATCACTTGATAACGAATAAATTGGCCTCTATAGAGAAGGCGCACTTGGTAGATATTAGCTGCTAACATGACGACATTGAGTAAATGCGTCAACTGCGGATGGGAGGATATTCCTCCTTGATGGATTTACCGCTCGTACTTACCACTATGATAATATTGCCCAGGTACGCTACCTGTGTACATGTAGTACTAGGTTGACGGCACGTATTCGGTAGCTACGGGCACACTATGTTAGCCATTATAGAATATTGCCAATATGCACAAAATTAGACACATAATCGAGACAACGAACCGAGTAAACCGATGAAAATGCAAGCTACAAAGAAAAGATAAGTCATCTTGAGCAAAAGCTACGTATGCGAAGCTATCTTGCTTGTGCTGGCTATGTATAGCCTCGGTATCATGTTCCAGTTACCAGTTTGTATTCGGGAAATTCCTCCCTAGAAAAAAATGCCACTCCCCTGATTCACGTCAACTTTTCCGTTTGCCCATGCCTCACGGCGATTATATAAACGCAAACACGCAACACGTAAATGCAATATGGTACAGGAAATGAATCTTAAAAAGACCAACTCCACCCACTCCAATGAATTACTTTCCTAGGGGAGTTCCCACAGTTTCGATGCCAATGTTATCTAGTGTGTACCGTTTTGTCCATTCGTGTCCTCAAACGCCTTAGATCGTTTCCTAGCCAACCCGGCTCTAGGCGGGCTGAGTGCCGCTCCCGCTGCCGTCGTCTCATCAAATTGTTGGGTGACAGCCTCTTCCGCGTACTTTCGAGTCTCCTTTGCCCATTGTTCTAATCGATGCTTCTCGATATGCTTGAGCAGGTTAGAATCCTCCCACCTCATTGCCTCCAGTACTTTTTCGCGGTAAGCTTTTTCCATCTTCTCGAACCGTCGGTCCAAGGTTTCCGTATACACGCCTGCAGCCTCCGATGGCGACAATCGCTTATACTTGTTCGGGTCGGCGCCACTTTGCTCTATCACCATGTTAGTTTCTCAAACATAATTCAAAACGCCAGATACTTATGTGTACTTACGATTTGCGTATAGCGTGCAGTAAAATTGAAATAAATCGGTTTGACCAAGGACCTCCACAATATCGTTGTCATTTTTCAGGGTCGTATTATTGAGCTGTGCCCAATCTTCCCTTAGGAAACACCTTCGCCAGATGAGTCGTTCGACTTGTACCCGTTCGGCTCCGCTTAGACCGTTATAAGCCACGCGAGTAGCGGAGAAGAATTGGTCGGGCATATGTTCTCTGGTTTCTGACGGTAGAGTTATTAATGTGAGGAGGTCGATGAGAGTCAGTGGGTCCAGAGCTTCGTGGTTTAAGAGTCGTCGAAGAGCATCGTCGAACACCTGCGAAAGTATCTTATACTTCTTAGGAATCTTGAGCGCAAACGTCTCTTGAACGAGGCTCAACTCCTCCCCTTCTAGCGCCACGCTGACCACCGGACGAATTTGGGTATTGTAAAGATCATCCTGGATTCCGATAATCGCAAGTTCCTTGTCAATAACTTCAACTTGCGGATCTTCAACGATTCCGCTGGCGCTCGCGCTCTGCACACTTGTAGACGCTTTGCTAGAAGGCCGGGATGATTCAGCCATCCTGGCCAGCTTTCCAAGGCTCAATTCAATCTTCTTGTTCCAAACCTGCTGCTCACGTGCAAGGCCGAGATCAAGCAGGGTATCAGCAGCATGATCGATGTCTTCTTCGCCGATAATGTCGTTGATCCATGAAACCTTAGCTAGTTCCGGCTTCGTTCGAAGATACATAGTCTTGAATTTCTTATCACCTTCGTATTCGAGAAGAGCATCAACTCCAAACGTGGTGAACAAGTATTCATAGAAAGGAAAGGCGAAATCCTTGCCGTACGTCCCGAAATACTCCCGAACCTGCTCCTCTTTCGCGGTCATCTTTGCGTCCAATTCCCCGGCCTTCTCCGGAGAAAGACCAGATGTATCAAGCTGGTTCCGTATTCCGTCAATTTCGCGAGTTAAGATCTCTGCAAGGGCTGGGAGCGACTCGTGGCTCTCAGCAATGTTGATTCCGGCTTCCCAATTTTCCGTTTGCGCAAGAAGGATAACCTTGTCATGGCGATCTTGCTCGTAGATACTCTCATACTTCTGGCCATCCGCAGCCCTTTTGGGATCGTCACTGGCAAGGTATGATCGAGATAACTCCTGTACTATAGTGAGGTAAATCTCGGTCATTTGTGGCAATAGCTCACGTGTTCTTTGAATTAACACGTTTTGCCCATCGGACTCTGCTGACCAATGTTGTTTAACCCATTCAGTGGATAACTCGACTTGCCTCTTCACGTTGTTAGCAATAAAAGGGTGGCAAGTCCAGGGTGTCGGCAACCCAGTATAATCGTTGGCTAAGATTCCGTGTTCCAGCTTTTCATCAGCCAAACCATAGAGCTCGAGATTTCTAGTGCGAAACGTGAAAGCATCTCGTATCGCGCTGTTGTAAATTTCTGCGGCCTCGTATATCAAGCATGTTAGAGATGATTGATCTAAGTTGGCCCTGGAATTGTGTTTTATAACTTCGTAGGCCCAGGCGATAAATATTTCCATGCGATCAACATCGCGAATGAACCAGTGGCGCAACTCGTCGACTTCACCCTTCGCAGCGTTTGGTTCGGACTTTTCCTCGGATCGAATGTACTCAACAATCTCAGCAACAATGCTCTTTTTGGAAGCGGTAGGCCGAAGGTTCGTGAATTCCTCGTGCTTATGCCAGATGACATTAGCAACGTGTAGCTTCTCCGCATTCCAGAGTAGCTGCCACTTTATGACACGGTCGAGGTTCACTCCTAAGCTCGCCAATTGTGTCATGATCTTTTCCAAATATTGCACACGCTCCTTGATGTTAGTATCGACCCGTGCGGCTAGAGATGAGAAGTGCTTGCCAGTGGAGGTGAGAATCTCTTTACTCAACTCCAAGGCGGCGATACCATATTCCGCATCAGTGAAACGGAGGCCATGTTGAACATCAAAGACGAGCGGATTGTCTTCCTTGACTCCAAAGAATACAGCCTGATCAAGTTTTGCTTTAGCCGTAACCTCTGGAGGCTTCTCACTTGCGAATCGTTCCACGTCTGTTGTAGCAATGCGCAAGGTTCCGGCGCCTCGAACCAGTAGTATAGCAGCAGGATTCTTGGGTCGAATGCGAGGTGCTTTGCCCTCGCTAGCTCCGAAAACCTGCGTCACGGGTTCTTCGATCCCAGAACCAACTATTTCAAGTGTAGGGTCTGCACGCAGGTCGACGACATCCTCGAATGAAGCAGGCAGAAGGTGGTTGTCCTCGAGGATCTGGGAATCCGGGGAATCGGGTGGTTGCGCAATAGATGCCACAACAGCTGCGTGATCGAAGACGAGAAAAGCGATTATGTTCGGTCGTGGTAGGTACAATCGAGGTTTAACCAGGGCGTGTGGATCAGGTTGCGTGGAATACGCAGATATAGGTCGAACCATGCCAATTTCAAGAGGGTCCTCTGATGAACCCGCGTTAGATAACTTGACCTCAACAAGCGAATAGCGCCAAGATTGTTTGTTGGATAAGGAGGCAAGAAGCAGGAGGTGTTGTTGATCTTCGGATTTTGGCGACTGGAGGAGTTGGTTCATATCGCTGTACTTTCGATCCACAACCCTAGGGACAAAACAGAAGTCAAGTATCTTTAGCGACTCGGAGGGTAACCTAGAGTTAGTTTTATCTACCTGCTGGAGGGCTCCGATGATTGCGCTGCGAGCATCCACCTCGGCTAGGAGATCGTGATGACCCCCACGATGTACCCTCCACGAATGAAGCCGACCCTTAGATGTAACGGCTACAACAGTACACTCGCCTTGTTTGGATCGTTCTGATCGAACGGCAGCAATATCGCCCTGCACCGCATTATGTGACAACGCGTGTCGAATACTACCAAAGAACCCACTACTAGCGGGGCCGAGATTGGTGCGTAAGAACTGCGTCGATACCTTAGGGCGGCCATGGGCATCTCGTACACTCAAATACGCCATTCGTCCACTGCTAAAGGCAAGAACGAAGCCAGCTGCAGATTCGGCATGGATTATTTGGATGATAACTTCCCCAGAGAACATTCCCATAACAGTGCCTTCAATACCACTTTTCTGTTGTCGCATAAAGTCCCACGTCGTCGCGCTCGATATCGATTCCCAATAAGTAACCTTCCCGCTTGTAGGCATCACTACTACTAAACCTGGCTCGGTAGAGGACGCGGATGGGGGCACAAGAGCACCTTGAGGTAAGGGATCGGTGGAATGTTTCGAGGGAGACGGCAAGGTGAAGGTAAAAGATTCAGGAGACTGTGTGGGTGTCGCGTACAACCATACAATAGCGTGTGTGTGGGAGAGACTCAAAGCATATCCTGTAAAGCTGTCGGAGGAGCCATGCTGGCGAACTATGTAATTATGTTAGCAGTACGAAGAATGTATGGTTGATGAAGAGGCAACATACGGGTGGCATCTTGTTTCAGTCGGTCAGGTAAAGCGGGAAGTTTCCTAACGTCGAACGCGATATTGGTCGACTTGAAATAGAGAATGTCGTGTCAGCAGCTACATAAAGATTCAATGTCGCCGGAGGCATTCAATCCGCGAGACTTACCAGAAGCGTGCTGCCATCCCCTTTGCTAAAGCGATCAGCAGGTCTCGCCTTCTTAGACCGAAAGCTAAGTTCTTGTTTAGATGCAGGTGATTCTTCAATTCCATCCTGCTTCGACTCGATCATCGAAGGTCTTGTTGACTTGACCTCGTAGGTATCTGGAGTGTTATTCGGGTTTACGAAGGTCTGTTCGTTCAATGGTACCCTCTGCCGTTTCGCTTTCGGTTGTTGCACTGAATTATCCGAGCTCACCGGCCGTTGACGCCTTCTACCGCGCGTAGTCATAGGAGTCGGAGCCGCGTTTTCGGCGCCGTTGTTGAGGGTAGCCGAAAACATGATGCAAGGATTTTCAATATGAGGCCTTAGATTTTTAGGGGATAGTTGAGGTCAAAACAACAATGCAATCGAAAATATTTATGGACGAGACGGAATCGTTATTATCGATGCGTCGATTGATGCGAAAAATATCTGCTCATTGTGAGGAGATGGAAAAAGTCGAGGAGGTGGACGTGGACGTGGGAGGCGGATAAAATGGTGAAGTAAAGGTGAGAGGTGAGAAGGTGAAAAAGGAACAAAATTTAGATGGTGAAGGCATTCACTCGCGAAAGAATGACGAGGCCGTTGATGTTTGGTAATGATTGATTGGGTCCAAGTTGACCTTGACTGGGTACCTGAGAAGGGAATGGAAAAAAAAACACAAGCAGCAACTACCTAGGTACCCCCAGCTTAGGCCTCTTCTTTCGCTGGAATTGGGTTAGTTAAGATTGGAGCTACGTAGCCAGGGCTGGCATTTACCAGCATTTTACCAGTATGCACGTTCGGATGGAACTGCCCAACTATATCAGATAAGTACAAAAATACATCTGAGATACATCTGAGTTGTACACTTGTACCCTCCAAAAACAACCAACCCAAATGCCCCAAATGCCATTCAAAACACAAGCGCGGCTTAGACTAGACCATTTTAGAAACAGCAAGACCCCTTCCGCGTGAAAGATCTGCAAGTACAAGTAGATGTGTATGTGTGTGGTGCGTGCTTGCCGCTCTGCCGCTTGTAAACTAATAAAAAGGTCAAGTGCTTTGCAGCTGTCATATGCTCCGTGCGTTGTCCCGTTCTTGGCAGTTCTTTATTTTATTTTATTTTTGTGCACGGTCCATTATTTGATCTTTCCGTCCAACCAGTTTGCATGGCGAATCCGGGGCAACCTCTTAACCTCTTAACATGAGCTTAAACCTTGACGATGACCTCAACATGGGATTAACTAGTGAATCACATCAACACATTCTAATGAATTGCTTCCCATCGTGTCACTAATTTTTATATTGGTTCTCTTCTAACTTACCTGACAATCATTCCTATATATACGAAACATTTCTCCAATTATTCATCTTACCAATAGATACCTACTACTTTAAAACTTGTTACATAAAATACCTTGGTACTACCTATATATAGGTTGGCATATCATATGTTTCATTGGCTTGAAATGTCTATCAATCAACACACCGAAAGACACCGAACGTCACCGAAGAATCCAACAACATAATTGACATCACAATTTCACATCATTCGTCTACACTACAATTACTAATTCCTATGAACAGCCACTTAGGGATTCAGTAAGCTCCAATGTTGTACATATAGTCCGGCCGGAGTTTCAATACGGAGAAATAATCAAAATGAGACGAGGGATCCATTCGGTCACAATCACAGATCCCTTGGTTAAGTATCAATCATTACTCGCGACCGGCATTTGTAGTCCTGATGTTGCTCAGCACAGGCTAGCAATACATCTCCAAAAAGTTTACCATCGCCTCAAGGACTATGTACCATCTTCAGAGTATCGTACCCGACTCAAAGCTCTAACCAGCGCCCTAGACCGAACTAAGAAGAGCGATGAAAATGCGTCTCCTACTCTCGCAGTCGAGAGCCATCCTATCTGGCGCAATCCTCTTTTTGCTCGGTTCATCGCACGCAGTGAAAACAAGGATACACTAGCTCTAATGAGGATCCTAACAAGTCACGAAGAGGCAATTCAAATAGACTCGCCCCAGGGCTTATTTCTATCGGGTGAAGTAGGTACAGGCAAGTCAATGCTTCTCGACCTTCTTGCCGACGGTTTGCCCACAAGCCGAAAAAGAAGGTGGCATTTTAATACATTCATGCTATATACACTATCGCAGCTAGAGAGTTTCCGGAAATCACATCAGCAATTAGATCGCGCTGACCAGGAATATTCACTATTATGGATGGCCAAGGATATGGTCGAAAAATCGCCGATCCTTTTCCTAGACGAATTTCAATTGCCAGACAGGGCAGCGAGCAAGATCCTCAGCAATTTATTCATTGCTTTCTTCCAGTTAGGGGGTGTCCTTATTGCTTCCTCAAATCGCATGCCGGAAGAGTTAGAAAAAGCCACCGGGATTGATTACGTTCCACCCACAGCTAGTGGCATTATAAGTCAAGTTTTGGGACTCAGGAAAACTCGAACGAAGGGTGAACTATTCGGTTCTACGAGCGATTTTGCGTCATTCCTTGAAGTTCTAAAGGCGAGATGCGAATTTTGGCATATAGATGGAGGAAGAGATTGGAGGCGTCGTGAGGCTAGCAAATCGCCAAACCAGCGTGTTGGTGCCCCTACGGATAGTCACATATCCGATGGCTTGACTCCTGATTTTATAGGCGAGCAAGAGGTTAGTGAATCGGATGTTGCCATTGCAGCGCCAAGAAATTACTTCCTGTTGGACAAAACCGATGAAAATTCATGGACAAGAACATTAAACGAATTAATCTCATCTTCCAATGAAAGAGATGTACCTTGGGAATCATTAACATTGACCGTCTATGGTCGGGCTATCACGATTCCCCAACAATATGGTGGAACGGTTTGGTGGGATTTTAAGGACCTCGTGTCCTCATTCGGACCAGCCGATTATATCACAATGGCTTCAACCTTTCATACATTCATCATCGACGGAATACCAACTTTAACGGTTCTTAAGAAGAACGAAGCTAGAAGATTCATTACGCTATTAGACGCTTTATACGAAGCTCGTTGTAAGCTTATCGTCCGGGCTGAAGCCGGTCCAGACAACTTATTCTTTCCGGAGACAAAAGTCGCCCCCTTACCGGTAAAACAGGATTCTCAAGGAAACCAGAGTGTTGACGATGATGCCATACACTCCGAAACCATTTCCGAGGCTTATCAAGACACAATGTCTCCTTTCAGACCTAATATCTCATCATATACAGATTCGAGCAATACGGATTATGACCCAGATCAGGATTCAGATTTTGGCGTAGGGCGGAAGTCCAAAGTGGATTTCAGTAACACCAGTGCGTTCACTGGAGAAGACGAGCGGTTCGCGTATAAGCGAGCGACGAGCCGCCTTTGGGAGCTTTGCAGTGCCCAGTGGCACGCTCGCACGGGTAACTGGTGGCAGCCATTGCCGCAAGACGCGCGCCATTGGGAAGCCTCACCGGCTTCAAAGCCCCGACCATGGCAAGGTACACCAAATATTCGAGGCGATGACGCTAGGATGGGCCCAATCGTAGAATTAGACGAGCCAACAGGCTTACAGCGGTTGCGAATCGATGAGCTGAGAAAAGCCTCTTCTGGAGAAAAACGGGAGGACCATAGGAAAGAAGATCATAGATAAGATTAACATGTGATGTTGTATTTAGACCATCATACAGGAACGCGCAAGCAATCATATAAACGAATAATACATTCAGACTTGACGGAAACAAACGCCTAGACTCCATGCTCTATGCCAGCTTCATAACGCCGCCCATAAATGCGTACGCACCTAGGTATTTCAACACTCCCGTCTCTTTAATACCACCCATCTATCATCTCCATCAGAGAAACACAGCACCATCTACACATTCGCCACGCCCGGCGCCCAATTCTCCCCAATCCTCCTCATCTCTTCTACGAACTTACGACTCGTAATCCTCTTCCCACTTCCACCAGCTCCCGCCCCTCCATTTCCCACCGGCGGTGTTAACGGCGCGTGTTCATCCGGGTCGTAAAATGGATTCTGGAGTAACCGCACGTACGCAGTCTGCATCGCGCGAAACACAACTCGTAATTCCGTCTCCCGTAGTCCGACTCCCCCTCTTACACCCGCACCCGCACCTAATAAACCACCCCCCGAACCCCCGAGGCCGGGTGTTGGGGGCGCGACACCAGCTGCGGTGGAAACGGAACCTGGGGGTAAGCGGCCGCGCATATCCACCACGGCGACGAATTTCACGCCTGTATTCGTTTCGAAGCCATACGCGGCCAGTCGTTCATCTACAGCGTGTAACAGTCCGAAATCACCTGTGACTATAGGCGTTGTAGCGGTGGCACCGCCCGCGGATCCAGGACCGGGAGTACTGGTGTTTCCGCGGCGGGAGCGGGTTTCGAAGACGTCGAGGGTGCTGCTTAGGAGGAGGGAGAATTGGAGGGGTGTGCGGAGGGGGGCGCGGGTGTTGGTTGCGGCGTCGTAGGAGGGGAAGACTGTTATGTGGAGGGGGTTATTCTGTGATTTGGGATGTTAGTCTTATGTGAATGATAGATGTAGGATGGGAGAATAGGGGTGAAGGGAACGTACGTTTCGCCCTATGACGCCTAAGCAGGCTATGGATGGTATTGCGGCTGCCATTACTACATGTATATGTATCCTACTTCAGGTAATATGCGCGTTGGTTTGAACGAGAGTGTTTAAGTGAAGGGAGCTTTGCGCAAGGCTAGATATAGTGGGTGATGTAACATTACAGAGGTTCAGTGCTGAATTGAAGCTCTATCGATATCGATAATAAGCTCCGAATTACCCCACTATTGCCGCCTAAGCTCCAGGGGAATCAGGGGTCCAGCTACCTATACCCTCAGCTATACAGGGCGCATTTTGGCCTCTTAGGGTTGAAAAGATGCGGAAAGGACAAGGGAAGAGATCATGAAGTAGTATTCTGTCAGAGTCTAGATATTTCTTCTACACCATCCCATACACGCCCGTATCTATAGAGATAATAAATGGGAAGAACTCGTTGAAAGCTCAGAGGTTTATATACAACATCGTACAGGCGCTATTCTTCATCCTCCTGTAAGAACTCGGTTTTTTCCAATCCTTTTAAAACATCCTCGATTTCCATTGGATCCGTGATAGCCCAGACACCACCGCCTTTAACGGAATCTGTCCCACGCATACCGACCTCTTTCCCTACTAGATTCCTGCCCACCTTTCCAGGTCCGATGCCTATCCACCTCCTAACCTTTTGTTCCTGATCCAAGTATTTTATGCTATCCCACCATCTAACAGTTTCGAGGCACTGTCGCGCTAAGAGATCCTTAACATCCGCAGCACTGCTGAACGGTCGGGCACTAACGTTGCTCACACATTCTAACCGGCCTGGAAACGTAATAACATCCTCGTTCTCGCGGCCTTTGACTCTGCTTTTCTTCGAGACCAACTCTCTCATCACAGCTACCGCCGGTCTCATAATAGGACTGTGGAATGGACTGTCGCTATTTAACCGTACAGCCCTCGGATCGTGACCAAGGAATTGTCGGACATGCGCCACAAGTTCCTTGATCCTTTGTACGCTCCCGCTCAACACGATCTGATTCTTGCTGTTCACATTCGCTATGAGCACCTGATCGATCGGTTTCATAGATTCAGCGCTTTCACTCCTCGCACCCGCACTGCGATACCCCACGAAGTCGTCTATAGCTTCGATAAGTTGGTTTAGATATTCGGTCTCCGTAACCACGGCTACCATGCCGTATTCACCTCCATATTTATCTTTGGCCTTTTGCGTAGCCTCCGCCATTACCTCCGCGCGTCGGCGCACCATGTACAAAGCGTCCTCGAATTCTAGCACGCCAGCTGCTACCAGAGCTGCGAATTCACCTAGGGAATGTCCGAGAGAAACGTCGACTCGCTCAGAGACTTTGAAGCCGAATTCGGTTTCGAGGATACGAAGGATCATGATCGAGGTCGCCATAATCGCTGGTTGCGCATTCGGTGTCGCGGTTAAAACTCGACTCGGCCCGTCTTGTATTATGTCGGACAATTTGTAGCCCATATAATGGTCAATTTCGTCAAGTATATGTTTCGCGGTTTGAGGAAACGCTTCTAGCCATGGCGCCAGCATTCCGACTTTCTGAACTCCTTGGCCTGTGATAGTAATAGCTGGTTAGTTCGGAACCCCGCAGTGGTTCGTTAGAGCTCCTAACCTGGAAAGAAGATAGCCGTCCGCGGCCTCGTTCCCTTCGTTGATGCATAACGCCGGAATTCAATATGGCGTATCGGAATTAATGCAGTTGTAGCTAACAAATCGGTAGCAGAGCCGAGCCGGCGACACACCCGGTCAATGAAGCGGGCGGGCCGGCGCAATGGGAATCCAAGGACGCTCATCACCGCAGACCAGCTACGTTTGCGCTACGGCGATCAATCCCCACTGTCATTGATTTCGATTCTTTCTAAATCATTGAGTGATAAAATACAATGGGAATTGATGAGGAGGGGTTCGGATTAAAGGACTAGAGGCTTAAAAAGGTGCAGAAGTTAAAAAGCTTTGAAGGACCTCTCTTCGGTAGAGGTAGGGGTAGGTACCTCGGCCCTTGTAAGCAGGTGCTAAAACGGCTTGGGGCGGGCAATTTCTTCCCCCACATCTTTCCCCGGACTAATACCTAGATGTGCTAGTGACATATACCCGAGAGTACCCGCTAAGGATAGAGTCATGAAGGGCTATTTCTCTTGGAATGTTTATATTTCTATAAGGAATCCCACATCTGGGCTATGTAATCATGGCATTGACAGGTCACATAGGTAATTATTTAATTTAATACTAGCTTGATCGTCTCGATGATCTACGCATGGTAGTATCTGTAAACTGGAGCTGTTATACCAAAACTCCAACCATGCAATGCATTCTCCAACTCCAAATGTAACGTGCTACCTTATGCGCGTTCAACATCTGATCTCAACACCTCCCTTACTGACGGTAAGGTACTTCACTCCTTTATAGGGCTTTACTCCTTCTCCGAGACCTCTACTTTTCCTCGGATCTATCAGAATGCTCTCGACCTTAATTCCGCTCGATAACCACCCCTTGACCGAGAAACTGACAGACGCGGAACTAGGCATCAGGATCTTATTCTGAGCTATCCTTTTCGCATCCTTCTCGCTTTCTGAGGCCCCTTCGTTTTTCTTGGTCTTCTTGTCCGTATTGCTTTGATACGGTTCATCGTAGGTATAATCTTTACCAAAGCCGAATCCATTAGGATCTGCATCTTCTTGTTCTTCAGTGAACGGACCCAGGACTGTGCACCGAAGGCCATAATATGAACCCCCGGCTGAAAGCTCCTTCGTCGGTATATGCCATTCTAACACCTTATCTGCCAGGTTGAAAGTGGCATCTCCTTTGCTCGGCCGAAGATCCAAAAGGTTCCTAACTTCTGAAGGTAATGGCACTGAAACAACAAGGTCTTGTAATAACGGCGCGGCAGCTGATCCCGCGTGAGGGCCTCCGAAACTTCTCCCGGCCGATCCCCCTCCCCGATTGGAACCAGATAAAGATGAACTAGAGGGTCCGAAATTCCTATTGAGATTGAGTCGCACTTCAAAGTCGGAGCCAGCGGAACCCAAACCGGTCTTGACTTCTATATTCACAGGGAGTCTTAAACTGTTTGAGCTCAAATTCCCAGCCTTGCCATTAGTAAAAGGTAATAAATCGACCTCGTAGCCTGCGAGAATGAAACGTCCGTCTGGCGGTATGAAGCTGAGCTCCCCTGGGCTGTCCCTCCACCTATTTAAGCGAACACATGGGTGGAATACCGGCAGCTCCATGACACTTCTCAGATTGTGTTTCCCTGATGGTCCTGTAAGATTTAAGAGTATATCTGGAACTCCAGATACTTTAGATGTGAAAGCGATCGTGCCATTTGCGTATGCGGCAATCGGCCTACCAGATGGCGCGAGAGTAACCGATAACGTCTCTACAATATCGGCATAAAGTTCATTCGATGTATGTCGCACATTCGCTCGTCTCCAAGGTAGTGCCGGCGCATTTTGAGCTATAAGTGACGGTGTACTGGAGTTACTCGGAGATTTTCCCGGTAAATTGATGCTTCCAAGTAGTTTGCCCAACAAACCTTCCACCTCAACTACATCCCTCAAGGCGTTCGGTTCTGTAGTACTGATAGTGCCAGCGTCGCACATCTCGGTAAGGAGTTGAGCGACGACATCGTAGTTAGCTTCGATCTTGTGTGCTAATACCGGCGCACCAAGAAATTCTTCGAGGGCATCGATTACACGATGGAGAAATTCGAGTACGAGAAGGGGTTCTATTTCGGAGGAAGATGTGGCTAGATAAAGTAGATTGGCATGCGTGAGACTGAATACAAGAGTCGGAGAATTCGTATTCGGTAGGTAGATTAGATTGGGTCTTGGAGCTGGGTGTTCGAGGTAGAGTGGAAGAAGATGAGTTGCGGAAAGTGGACGGGAGGTATAGGTATGAGAGAGAATCGCACGACTATATTAATATTGTTAGCCCAGATAAATACTCTATGGCAACGGCTGAGGCTGACTTATGCTCATCATAGATGTGCAGCGCCTCTATTACGCCGTTCATGGTGGCCAGGCTGCGACAAGCATCGTCGGGATGGCGTAGCTTGAAGTGAAGAGAGATGTATTAAAGACGGAAATAAATACAGTGATGCCGTCAGAGGGGCAGCACTAAGCGAAACTGTGGAGCAGATGCTATACTGCCTTTATCGATAACAAATTAGGTACAAACCTTCTGTATCTAGTGGGGTCCTTGATCCCCGAAAATTCCCTAAAAAGTTCTTTTTTTTTTTTCTCGCGATTCATTAGCCTGGAACAAATTCGACCACCCCCGACTTAATACCTCGCCAGAGTATACGAGCAATGGCAGGACCTGCTAGTACAACGTCCTCCATGACCTCGACATCTCATACTCTAACCCATGCTCCCTCAGTAGGCTTTTTATCTTCCTTCGCCGACTCCTCAAAGCCTTCCAGTGCCGTGGAGATGCTCCAACTCTTCGAGGCTATAAAATCGGGTAACCGACATACCTTCTTACAGCCCGCCTCTTCGATTCCGAATGCTTCATTACAACTTGCAAAAGCGACACTAGATGCGTATGCTGGACAAATATGCGACGAACAACAACAGCGACAAAAAGAAGAAAGTAAGAAGCGGAAACGGACAGAGGATAGTTCGAGTAAAGGCGAAATCCTCAAAATCAGAAAACTTCACGTGGATGGGTTTGAAAGTGGCCAAGTTTGGCAACAAGCAAAGAGGATCATTATAAGTGCGCTTCAAGACTCGAAAAGTGCACTCCAGGAATTGGAAGACCGGAATGAAATCCAGGTTAACGGCGTAAATGGAGATGCGCAGATCGAATCCGATGAGGATGCTTCTGAGGGCGATTGGGTTGACGATGAGTCGGCTTCAGACCTTGAAGGTTCAGAGGAGTTCGCAGAAGATCTCGACGAGGACGACGATTTAGATGGGGACGACCTCGAAGACGGCGACGAGCCGTCGATAGATGGGATGGAAGAAGATCTCGAAGACATTGACGAAGAGGAAGAAGACGATGACGATCAATCCGAAGAGCCCCCCAACGAATTAGTCGAGGACCCGAATGGCTTAAACGATGGTTTCTTCTCAATTGATGATTTCAACAAACAAACCCAATGGTTTGAGGATGCAGATGCCCGAGCAGATCCAGACGCTGATCGTGCAAGCGATGATGATGAAGTAGACTGGCATACAGACCCCTTCGGCGCAAAACCATCTACCAGTGGGGAAAGTTCTAAAAAATCTAAAGGTATGGATGAGGAGATGGCTTTTGATATGGAGGATGAAGATGAGGACGAAGATGGGGGCCCTACTTTCGGCGATATGGATTTAGATGCGCCGGAAGGCGAAAGCGAGGACGACGAAGATGAAGACGAAGCGATGGATGGAGGCGATGATTTCAATGCGAACGAGGTCTACTATAAGGATTTCTTTGCACCTCCCCAACGAAAAGGGGCAAAGGGAAACAAACCAAAGAAATTTAGGGAACCCCGACGCACGGAACCAGAGGACAACGATGTTGACCGAGCCATGACCGATGTCCGACGAGACTTGTTTGAGGATGAATCGGAAAGGGAAGACTCCGAAGACGCCCTATCCGATGCCTCCGCAGGCGACCCCAAATCGAGAAGGTCTGCACACGAGAGACGGCAAGCTAAATTAGCTGAGGAAATCCGGAAGCTCGAGGCTGCGAACGTAGCCAAGAGGGAATGGGTGATGTCCGGTGAAGCTAAGGCCAATGACCGGCCGATGAATTCTCTACTGGAACAAGATCTTGACTTTGAGCATGTGGGAAAACCTGTGCCGGTGATAACCGCCGAAGTGAGCGAAAGTATCGAAGACATGATCAAGCGACGTATCCTAGCTCAGGAATTTGACGAAGTCATTAAACGCCGTCCTGATGCATCTGAGTTCTCAAATAATACTAGGCGAGGATTAGTTGAATTAGACGACACTAAAGCTAAGCAATCCCTTGCGGAGATCTACGAAGAGGAACACGTCAAGAACACAAATCCGGATTCCTATGTCAGCAAGGCCGACGAGAAACTCCGAAAGGAAGAAAAAGAGATCGAGCAAATGTGGAAAGAAGTCAGCGCCAATCTCGATGCTCTTACGAGTTGGCACTATAAGCCCAAGCCTGTTGCACCTTCACTTACAGTCGTGTCGGATGTTGCGACGATCAGCATGGAAGACGCTCAACCCACAACAGCGCAAGGAGTTGGTGGTGGTGATAACGCTCTTGCTCCCCAAGAGGTCTACAAGGCAGACAAAGACACAGCTGAGAAGGGCGAGGTAGTCGCCAAGAGTGGATTGCCCATCGCTAAACAAGAAATGAGCCGTGAAGACAAGATTAGGAAGCGCAGGAGAGAAAAGGAGAGAACGCGGAAGGCTGGTGGCATCAACGGCAAGAAACCGCAGAGCACGAAGGCCCAGGTACAGAAACAAACACTCGGCGATCTTAAGCTTGGTGGCGTCAAGGTTATCAATAAGAAGGGTGAGATCGTGGACATGGAGGGCAATAAGGCGAAGGCTGCTAAGGCTGCGTCGAGTAGTAGTTTTAAGCTCTAATTGCATTATAGCAGGTTGTAATAAAAGTTAGCATTAATTTGTACCTATGGGCTTCTAATGTTCGGTGACTATTCAGGCTGTAAACTCCCTAGAATATAGCTCTCTTAGGTGTATATTTCGCTACATGATCGGCCCGGGTAGCTACGGAGACAACAGAGATTAGTTCCGCCTCAAGCAAAGGAACAATTTATCTTGAGAATGTTTAGATAATTGGCGAATTATTATCCTACGAATGAAACGAAGTGCCAACGAATATGCCGGAATTTTTATTGTCTTGAGTTCTACAACCCGATAGCTGGTGGTTTGTTGAATCCAACGAGCTGGTATGTCTTTGGGCGGGTTTACAGGATAGCTCCCCCGACGGGTCAACTATAAACATGGCCGGCCCCACTAACTCACTTTTAGTTAGCTGCTTGGGTACAATCCAAAAAAGATCATCAATTTTTGGATGAAGCTCTAGCAAGCAGATCCGTTTATGCCCTGCGCATCGCGCTCACCTTTACGCCATGGCTAAGGACATACCTTCAGTTGGCATCCTTGACAAGCCGGAGGATTTAAAGGACCTCCTTAAACAGGATCGAGGAGACGATTGCACCCCATGCAGAGTTGTAGGTCAGTTGGTGCATCCGCAAATTTGCACAAACCGAGAATCATAGCAAAATCGAGACTGATAGCAAACACCAACGAGTATAGGAGGCGGCGCATTCCTCGGTCTAGCGGCTTACAGTTACTATACCGGTGAAAGGGAACTCAATCGAAATCGCGCGAAAATCATAGCGAGCAAATCTATGTTCGGCATACGGAGTCGCAAATATGGGATTGCGGCTACTTCGATAGGGCTTGCCTGGCTGGGTATTTGGAGGCTGTTCCTATAAAGCAAAAATGATTCTTAATTAAGGATATGGTATCACGTAGGACTAGACACACTCCACTCTTAAGAGACCGATGGCGCCGTTTATTACTACACCTATGAAGCCTCGCCACGAGCTCGGCTGGGAAGACCACACTCCGAGGACGGCTTGCCTTTACCAATGAGCACTATGACGATACGAGGCTAGCAAGAGCGATAGGTTATCCATCATATGATGTGAACTTTGAAATAGTTGGGTGTGGGTTTATATCATTTCTATCACGTATGAGAAGACGGTTTGCGAATATTCTCGGGAGCAAGGGCATTCCGGTTCCGTACGGCTGGAAATCAAAGCTATGCCTGAACTGAGAGGGCATAATATTTATTTTGGCGTGGAGGACGCAAACTGTACGGACGCGATAGGTCATATAAATAGGGTAGTCCGAGGAAAATTACAGTGTCATGAGCATGGATCTCAATTCCTATGGGTGCTCATTCCACACTCCCAGATGGCATATCTATTCCCGGTATAGTGGTTACAGGTTGAGGGTTGGATAAGTGAAGTGGACGTCTCATTTGGAGCATTCTCGTGGCTAAGAAAAGATGGTGTTGCTCGGACCATCTCTATTAAATTGCATGGGTGCAATTTTCTCACGCGACTCCAACCACCATAGCTAAGAATCGGCTCGTGATAGGCTCAATCCCTGATAGTCATGAAAAGCACGCGGAAGTATTGTAAGCTAACGTTCTAGCTACCGAGGGGAAAACGTGTCCGTTGGGTTGGGTGTAAAAAGTAGGTCAATGGTACAAACATGATGTACCTGTTTTAATAAATTAAAAAAAAAAAATAGTCTAGCATGAGAAGTGCACTTGTATCGTCAACCTAGAGATCTCATAAAACTTACACACATGGCTGTTCTGCACAACATCGAACGCCATCAGATGCTTAAATAGTAAAGAGAAGCCATCAAAAAGGAACATCACCATTTCTATTGGATCAGATTGAGCGTATCGAGTGTATCAAGTTCGTAATGTTCCGGTTTCTTGTTATTTTGGAACTACTAAAAAAACGCTTTCCCTTTTTCTCGGCCAGTCAATCCAAACCGATTCCCTTTCGGGTATGCGGCAAATCCCATTTTCCTCGTCCCTAATCCAAATAAGAAAAGGGGAGGTCTACTAGTCTTGCTTTTCTTGCTTCTTATAGGTCAATAATGACGGCCCCACGAACACGTTCATGCAGGCCATCAAATTGCAGACCACCATCTTTTAATGGCTAGCTGCATCAACAATGGCGTCCACTACCATCTCAAGTCTCAGGTCGAAGAATTGGCCGGCGGAAGAGATAGGACAACATTATATGGCATGCTTTGCTTTATATCTTGCATGTTGTTTCGTGATTGTTGGTGACACAAGCCGTTTTTGTACATCTTGTGCTACAGAGGCGCTGGGAGATGCCCAATCTGCTGATGTACAGTAGGTACATGTATGATGACTTATTAGGCCTGCACCAATTAGTATATAGACAAATGAAACATCATGTACGATAGGAGATGACCGTGATATAGGGAAGGATACTTAGGTACCGCCGAAGAAGAAGAGAAAAGGTTTGTGCTTAAGGGTAGGTAATATTATTATTATAATAATATTAGTTGAGCATGCTGAATCGAGATTGGATGAAACTACCTTGCTTGTTTACTAGACAAGCCTGAAGGTAAAGCCGCAACACAGACAGCAGTACCAAATTCGACCCAACTCTGTTAAATGGAGACAAATAAAATAGGATTACCGTCCCTTTCATCAATCATGATTCACCCGGCAACCATCTCATTTTGCAGCTTACACATCCATCAACACGACCAGAAAATCCCAGCATAATCTAAGATACTTGTCGAATCAAGGAATATACCCGGCTTTCAAGAATTAGACGAAACTTGCTAAGAAAGCCAATGCTAATTTGTACTCCGTAGACAACAAATACACAATTATATCAGAAAACACAAATAGGAAAAAAACAACCTCAGACAACGGTTATCTGGATATTACGTTGCTCGCAGATCTCTCATCAAATGAGAGAATAAAATCCCCGAGCGTGTGCTACTCGAGCTTGTGATACTATTGTTTAATTGGCACTTATTCTTTACCTACCTCCCTAATTTTCCTGCCTTTTTTCTTTTGTAGTACACGTAAATCGATTCATGCATAATGCCTCTTATCAAAGAACTGGTTCTGTAACACTTGACATTGACCTAAATCAATTAAAGTCTATTAGTAACTACAGTAAACATTAGATAAACCAGTGAACTCTAAAAGATGCTATTTTTATTTCATCATTAGTAGATACATGCATTGTGCGTATCACATGGTAAAATGTAATACATTTGAATTGTACATGCAAAAACCAGAATAAAACAGATCGAGGTCGTGATTGATATTGATGATGTTTCCAAGTTTCAAATGAGGATAGCCTTTTTAAGGGTCGATAATACCTAGGTATCTAAGGGTACCTAAGGAAATGTACCTACCTAAGTACCTTACATGTAAAAGAGGCAGGTGTCCCGCCACGCTACTAGTCCCGTTACCCGCAACTTATCGGCTGCTCCTATCAATTGCCATGTGCTTAGGTACATGCAACACTAGTACATTACCCCTATAATTCTATTGTACACCTGTAAAATAGCGGGCGCTCACCTGCACCTTGGGCAGTTGGCCCCGACGAGTCAAATCCCCTGACAGCCCAACCTTATTAGGTGAAAGACGGGCGGACATGCGTCTTAAGTCTTGTACCTATGCCTAACGTGTCTGGTAGTGGGAGGCTTGACCAAACTCAACTGAGCCTATCTACCTGAGTTAGTGCACCTACACCCATATACACACCCATATACGGGCTGCATTTGCAAGGTACGCTACAGACGCTACATACAGCAAAACGGTGTGGATCGGCCCCATCCCATCCATTCAACTTATTTTCTTCTCCCTTAATGAAAACAATCCACCAACCCTTTTTCGTGATCCCTCCCCCATTTGACAGGTAGCTCTTGTCGGTCAACAACAACATCTTGTTCATTTTTTTTTCTCTTCGTTACGGCCGACTTTTATTGTTTATTTTTCAGGCTGCCCTGTTGTGTCTCGGAATGCGGTAGCAGCATCGCCTCCCTCAGCTCCTTAGCCGGACTGAGATTGATCGCGAGCCTCTAGATAGGTCTAGGTCTAGAGGTTTCTGTCCATCTTCGCCCTTCTAGCCTCAAGGACGTCCAAGGACAACAGTACCGGTCGCATTTCCCTCTCTGACCTCGTCGATACTCCTCCCTTTCCGATTGACAATTCAAACCACAACGACCCTTAGCCCGGCATCTCCTTATGATTAGGGATCATAAGGCTCCTGCTGGCCCCAGACCAGCTGCGCAGTCCCCGACTCGATCGTGCGTTATCCCGTTCATCTCGCCTCTTCCAGCCTACAACAATACAAAAGATACTATACAATTGAGATCACTTCGTCCGGAATAAACCGCTGACTCTACTTGCCTCATATCAGGACCAAGGAGAATATCCACCCCGTAAACCGAATTGACAACGAGCCAATGCTTCATGCGTCGTCCTCCAACAACCATTCACTCTTCTCCTTCGGTCGGAATGGAGCCCAGAGTGACATAGACGATACCACGACGACTTCCTTCGATTTCTTACCCTCCGTCAGTTTCGATGATCTCCAAAGCAGTCTCGAATCAGCGTCTACCGATTTCAAGTTGACCCAGTTCCCGTCGCCATCCGGTCAAGGGAGCATTCTTGACGAGAAACCCTCAGACAGAATGGCCGGCCAATCTTCAGGTGCCGCTGCCCAGAATGGCGCGACGGCGCGCGTGGGAGCCCAGCCAAACCCTACTCCCAACACGGCTACTAGGCCGTCCAGGTCTGGATCTATACTAAGGAGACCGAGCACGTCAAATCGACAAGTTAGCAACGGATCTGTCGTATCTGTGTCTTCGAGCATAATTGACGCGCCAACTGCACCCGCTGCGATGAGGAATCGACGCCAAAGTCACTACCCCCCGGTTTCCAATAGCAATATTGGTAAACCGCCAAGGAAGTCAATCGGTCCAGGGGGGGTTATTGATGCTGATTATGGTAGTAGAGGAGGGCAAAAAAGGCGACCGAGTGTGATATCAAATGCTTCTGATAGAGGTATTGGGGATTCGACCCGAACATCAATCGATATCGCTACTGGACAAACAGGTGATACGACGAGAATCGTTACAAATTCACGAACTACAAAGGCTCGTTCAGTACAGCCTCCGTCGTCTAGGGTATCAGCAAATTTGTCAGCTAGTACAGCCAGCACAAATACTCTCGCTCCAGAACAGAATCGTGTATCAACTGCGTTTCCACGATCGCCAAGAGGTGCCGGCAAAGGCTCCACGCCTAATTCAGCGAGAAGGATGTCTGTAATGCCTGGTTCCCATGCCACCGGTCTTGGTGCTAGAACCATCTCGCCAACCGACGCACAACGAATGAAGCGTATGTCGATCCATCCAGGTCAAGATATGCCACAGATTACGAATGCGCCGCCACCACCCATAGACGTTCGCCCTCACTCACGGTCGCCTTCGATGATCCCGCGAAAGACATCCACACCTTCGTCTTTGAGAACAACTCCAGAGGTTACTAATAGGAAATCGTACAGCTCGGGGTTGTCGGTTAATTCGACAAACAGTTTCAACACGCATCGAACCTCGACGGGTTCAATACAGCGAGCATTCCCTCAAGGCGGTCCAACATCTAGGCTTCCCGCCCCAAAGACCTTAATTGTACATAATCCGCCCCCTGGTGAAGAGGAAGAAGATGTACCGCCTGTACCTGCAATTCCCAAGGTTTACGAATCGCCCAAGGATTCACCAGCAGAACTATCATTCCTCGATAAGAAAAAGTCGACTTATGGGTTCGATACAAGTAGTATTCATAGCAATTCTACCGGAACTCCTTCAGGTACTCCATCGCTAGAGCCAACGAAAAAGTCGCAACGCAAACCCAATACTCGAAAACATGCTCCACGAAAAACTCTAGGTGGTCCTACCTCGGACATCGAGCAAAAGCTCAATGGCAGCCAGTCTAAGAAGAATCTGCAACCTTTACGACTTCCTCCACTCAATCTTGGCCCATTAAGCATACCTACCGAGGCAAAGATCGCAGCTCTGCGAGACTCAGGTGAAGATAGCGGGAAATTGAGCCCGCCGCTTTCACGAACCATTCCAAAAACACCCACAACACCAATGACTGCGTCTAAAAGCACATTCTTTTCCCGAAATCGTGGGGGTAGAGATCCGGAGAAGTCTGCACCGCGTAGTAATAGCTCTATTCATCATAGTCGGATAGAAAGCCCAAGTGGAGGAAATGGGACAAGCTCTTCCGAATCGCCCTTGGAAGCTACTTCGAAGAACCGGATTCGCAAAGTCCCTGCCTCGCCTCTTGCATCGGTCGCTTCGAAGAATAATGCATTCGGAAGTCAATTAACGAAGTCGAAGACGCTTGGGGATATAACGTATCCGACCACGGTCGATACTATTATTGAGGCCAGGCCTCCGCAGAAGCCATCTGGTCCACGCGCTCAAAAATTGACGAAGCCAGCCGCTAAACCAGCTCCAGAACCGAGTCCCGAAGAGCCCCCAACACCATCCTCAATGAGTAATTTGAGGAGGAAGTTAAGTTTGTCGTGGAAGAGGAGTAACTCTAAGAGTAGTCATCACGCATCTTCTGGGTCTGTTGATAAGGCCGCTGAGAAGCACACACGACAAGATAGTATGCCACCCCCACGAATCCCAGTCTCTGCGTCGATGAACGTCAATTCTACAAAAGCATCGAGTCCCAGTCATGCCGCGAAGCCTTTGGGAACGTATCTAGAAACCAGGCGCAGGAAGAGTTCTGCATCCAGCCTAAATACCATGTTCACCCAAAAGAGCCGTAGCGATGCATGGACAAGTTCGAAGGAAGATATCGGTAACCACTCTATGATTGAGACCTCGTCACAATCTCGCAATCCGTCGGTGCAGAAGATCGTCCGCCCGAGACCGTCGGCAGCGTCGATTAGACGCCAGGAATTGTACACCACCGAGCTGGACAAAGACGACTTGGTTGCTGAGGACGAAATGAAGAAGCTAGCATTGAGGAAGAAAGAGACGGAAATCGCGGCTCGAACATTAGATGCGCTGCGCAAGAGGGCGACACCGAAGGAACGCGTTGGACCTCACGAAGCAATCCGAATAGCCATGTTGAACATATACGAAAAGGGCGAGATTGTAGATTATAACGACGTCTACTTCTGTGGAACCCAAAACGCGAGCAAAGTCATTGGCGATTTGAATTCAAATCTACCAAATTTTGGTTACGACGACGAACGTGGTGATTACACGATCGTTCCAGGTGACCATCTCGCATATCGCTATGAGATTGTTGATGTTCTCGGGAAAGGCAGTTTCGGTCAGGTGGTGAGGTGTATCGACCACAAAACTGGTGTGCTTGTCGCGGTGAAGATCATCCGCAATAAGAAGAGGTTCCACCAACAAGCTCTTGTCGAAGTCAATATCCTTCAAAAGCTTCGCGAATGGGTAAGTAATATTTTTGGTTTATCGGTGATCTCGATCCTTTTTGCTAATTCAGACGTGCAGGATCCTCATAACAAGTACAGCATGGTCAACTTCACCCATAGCTTCTATTTCCGTGGCCATCTATGCATATCAACCGAACTACTCGACATGAACCTCTATGAATTTATCAAATCTAACGCTTTCCGTGGTTTCTCTCTCAAGCTTATAAGACGGTTTACAAAGCAGATGCTGAGCTCACTCAATCTCCTTAAACAACACAAGGTGATTCACTGTGATCTTAAACCGGAAAACATCCTACTTCGTCATCCTATGCATTCTGAGATAAAGGTCATCGATTTCGGCTCTAGTTGTTTTGAGAACGAAAAAGTTTACACCTACATCCAGTCCCGTTTCTACCGGTCTCCTGAGGTCATTCTGGGAATGACTTACGGATTGCCAATTGATATGTGGAGTTTGGGTTGCATTCTAGCTGAGTTGTATACCGGTGTTCCTATCTTCCCCGGTGAAAATGAGCAAGAACAGCTGGCTTGCATCATGGAAGTGTTTGGGCCCCCGGAGAAACACTTGATTGAAAAGAGTACGAGAAAGAAGCTATTCTTTGATTCAATGGGCAAACCGCGCTTGACGGTATCTTCCAAGGGCAGGAGGCGTCGCCCGTCCTCCAAAACACTTCAGCAAGCCATTAAATGTGATGACGAACCTTTTCTTGATTTCCTTGCTCGTTGCTTGCGATGGGATCCCGATCGCCGCCTTAAGCCGGAAGAGGCCATACGCCACGAATTTATTACAGGCCAAAAGACTTCGGTTCCTGTCCCTAGGACACGGGAATCTTCGCCGGTCAAGCGCCACAACACCATTTCAACACCACGACCCTTACCGGAGCCGCCAGCACCCGGCAAAAACGGTCCAACTCTACGCCCACGAGAGGCGAATAATATTAGTCCTTTGAAATCCACTGCTGGCGCCAGGCGAACCTCCAACTTCACCGGTCCATCAGCTGCAACTGGCGGTGCTAAACGAACTAGCGGAGGAACTTCTGCCACAACAGGAGGCAGTAACCTCCCTCGCGTGGCGGGTCGAAGTGCTAGTGGTAAACAAGACCTAGCCTCAGCAGGGGCAAATGTTGCTATGAGTCGACGAGCTTGAATGAACAAATGTTAGCATACTAGGTTTCTAACCTCGGATCCCAACATGCTTTATGAGATTAATTGGTTATTTCTTTTCGAGGGCATACCACAGCGCGGACAACCCCGCCTCTACGTTTATAGGTCTGTTTCGAACGGAGGCGAGATATGTTGTAAATGACTCGAAGTCGCTGCTAGCAAAGGGCGAGTGTCACGATCACGTCCAAATAGGACTGCTATCATCGTTACCGGCATTGTTGCTATATACATCGATTTTGCTACCAGAGTATTTCAACACCCGGCTAGTTGTGGCAGCCAAACAGAATCATACTTATCGCTTCCGAGTCGAATCATCCCGATCGTGGCAAGTGATCGAGATGAGCCTTGAATTAGGGGCATGAATATTTCTTTAAAACTTTGAGTGCATGTACTATACTACTTTATAATGATGAAGGTCTAAGCCGCAAAAGCAGATGAGAGGAAAACATGGCTTTGAGAAGTCCTCGGCGATACTCTTCATAGTGGATGTTCAGAAACAAAAGGGGATGTAGTTTTTGGAACAGATCACTCCCAGGCGCTGCCATCGGGAAGTAGGAGCAAAAAGGCACGGTAAAGGGGAGATAGAGGATGCGAAGTAGAGGCATCCAACTTTGCTGAATATCAAAACATATCAAACTCCAATCCGCTTGATGTTTTTTTTTCCTTCTCGGTGAAATTGGGAGGCCTGTTACTATCCTCCGCGTGATAACGGCAGTTTGATCCCGTTCGGTCATCCCCATTGATTCCGGCTGACGTGAACGGGTAAGTCAAGTCTAGGGATTACTTTTTGGCCAATCCAGGTTACATGGAATACGGGGAAGTCCCATGGATTGTTTTTTTGCCTTTACTTTGCTTTCCTTCCCGTGTTATCTCACTCTTCGTTCCCTCTTTTGTCGTATCTTGTCGTCTACCATTCTATATCCATAATTTCTTCATGTTTTTCCTCGGCGCGTGGGATTTGACGATGACGATGACGAGTGTCTGACTTGGCCGAACCGAGGATTGGTACTGTCGCACGACTTGATGGACGAATAAATGTCTTGCGCGTGCATAAGCGAACGCGCGACCGTCCGATCGACCGTTGAGGATGGGAGTGGAATGGACTTACCGCTGCTACGTACAATGCCTACGTACCTGACATTACATACATACCAGCTTCCAGCTGGCCTTACTTACATTTCAGTGCATATCTCCTAGGAGATAAGTAGATGCGTAGGATAGATAGATGGGTGGGAGGCGTGTGTGGTACTTTTCATGTAGGTGTCTAGATTCGGATGCGGGTCTGTGGGTGTTGTATGGTCGGTATGGTCAGACAAAAGTCCATTGTACATCGTATCTCGGTGTCGCTGAACGGCCCCTCCCTCCCCTCCTTCTTTCGTTCGTCTTCTTCCTCTTCTAGTTCCTGCTACGACATACATACATTCAGCATTCAGTTGCTCGCGAACACACCTGAGGGCCGAAGTACATGATCTACAGCATACTTAGATACACACACACATAGACGAATTGAATGTATGTCGCCCACTCCTTTTCGACACCCGCATTGCCTCGGCTGTCGCCCTCGCACAGCCCGGCCGGCGACGGCAGCGACTGCCACCCTTCGCCACCAGCTGGGTTCGGTGATCGGAATGAGTTTGAGCGTTGCTTGTTTGTGGGTGTATCATTCTAAGGATAGAGTAGAAAGTAGGGAGGGGAGGGTGTAGTAGATATGAATAAGCAGATCTTATCTCGATCGCCACCTTGGGACAGAGAGACGGTCTGGATCATTCTTTTGACGTCGTCACGTTTTGTTTCAGCCCTAGGCACAATTCTTTCTATTTTATTCTTATTTAATTATTTTTATTATTTTCGCAACAATTTCTAATTCGGTATTTTTAACCGTCTTTCCGCCTCGCCCGCCCGTTTCGGGTTTGTGGCGGATTGTGCTTCGGTGTAACGATTTGTTCCGACGACATCTCTATTTTTTTACTTGTCGTTTTTTTTTTTGTCTTGTTTTCGTGATGTCGCTTTCTCGCCGGTCATAATTGAGTATCAAGTTGATATTTTTACTCGTTTGTCTGTCACCGAGAAGGGAGGGAGGGATGTATGTATCTTCTCACATGTGCACTCTACGCCACTTCACGCGCAACATACATACATATCGCATACGAAGGGCCAGCGCCCCGGTACTCGAGGGCGCGGGATCATGAGGGATGGGGTTTTTACCGTTCTGGCCCCTCTACCCTTTTTTTTCTTGTTACTCCTTTCTGTCGCCGAACATGCCGCCTTCTTGCTCTTTTTAGGTATTAGAATGCGATAGATACCCTAAACGGCACCCGGGCGGACGGACACGCAGGTGGATTACTAAGTGAGGTAGTATATACACCACGCAGGAATAGTATATCGAGTGGCGTAGTCTCGGTATGTCTCCCTGTTGGATGCGTGTCACGTAAACGAAGTTGGAAAGTAGTGCTCGCCTATGTCGACATTATTGCGAACGCCCATCATCCATCCTTCTTACCTACATACACTACTACCCCCTTCCCGTCTTGTCATGAGAATCCCGTATTAGGGCATGCCCGTGACCGCGACGCCCGTAGGTTCCGAAGCAGAAAATAGGCAAACGAACAAACATAGTAACGTGTTTACGACAGTGGCTGCTACCTACAGGGCGCATTCCGGTTTTTTCGTAGTTGGCTATGTTCTTTTATGCATGTGGTATGCGATATATGGGTTAGGTCTAGGTAGAAACCTTTCGTCAGTTGGTCTTATTCCCTGTCTAGTTGCGTATTATCTGCTTTGCCGTACACGGGCATTAAAGGAGGAACGATCCCGGAATCGGTCATCCTTCGCTATCCCCACCAATATTCCCTTCCTTTCCTTACCGATGGCCGCTTAAATCCGCCCCGTTCAAGTAGGCGAAAGGAGGGGAGGCAGGCAGCCGCGCTGCAGATTTTCTGTGGTGTCGATCGATATATCTCGTTTTATGTCGTGTGAACGGCGACTTGCAGGACGAGGTGTAGTTACCTTCAGATGCAATGTGCCACCATGAACTGCAGGATTGCATATAGATAGGGCTGGCTTGGCTAGGCTTCGTTTTCGGTAGGCGCGCCGCATGGGTTCTCTGCAACTACCTAGCAGCGTACCTGCACGATGGGGGAGCACAAGGCACGTAATGCAAGCAATGCAGCACACCGAACCCCTACGGCCAGATTCGTTCAGCGCCCCGAAGACGGCGCGAGCTTATTCATCCTGGCTGAACCGCACCCTGTGGCTGAAAAGGGAACAAGACCGTTCCCTGATCGGCATTGGGGCTCGGGAAGAGGCTAACACTACGGGGTGAGGCTGACTTGGGATCGTCTGTTTGCTGATAGCGACGTCGTGTAACGATATCGCTTCACTTTAGAACGAATCTGATCTGATACGCCGTATATAGAAAGATAGTAAGGTGTTACAACTACATTGTACGACTCTCGCAATGCTGCCGTCTTAGGTTGTAATATTCTGTTTCCCATTATATTCTACCTATTCATGATCACACCCTTTGGGTAAGTTGGTTTAAGCAAATCTAGCCCCTTGCTGTATCCATTTTAAAGGGGCGAGGGGCTTAGATTATCGGAGACGCAATGTTCCTGATATTTGGGGAAAATATAGATGATATGACTCTGATTGTTGCCAAGTCACATACGGAAGAGGCCGATCTCTGCAGTTGGTTCAATTCTATAAAATTTTGAATGGGTGTAAGCTGTGGCTATATGCGATAATCTTGGGGCGGGAAGAATTTGGATAAGCAAACGGCGGGCTTGTCATCGTCGTTTATGTGGTCATCAGGATCGATACTATTCTAAATGAAATGACGTACTGTGGAAATACATAGCGAAATAGTTTCACAATAGAAAAAATCATAGAAGAGCATACAAATTTTAGTCAATGGTTAGTAATATGACGTGGGTGCTTACGGACTTATTAATCTAGCCAGGCAAGATCTGGTACGTCAATGGTGCCATTGGCGGCTCAGATTGGAGATGACTCCTACGGTTTCTACACTAGTCGTGATGGTGTACACTGGGTAACAACGGGTCAATATCAATTAGTTTCGCTTGGCATTCGGTATTCTCATGACAGTCCATCTGTGAATAAGCGGCTGATATACAAACCATACTACCATGGAATCATCTTCAACTGATCGAGACCGGTCGATTGCGAACCCTTGGAGTGAGACTTTGATGAAACTTTTCGTCGATTACTTACATAGATCCGGTGGGGTCTTGGAATCGACAATACCCTAGTTCAGCTGATGAATCCTTGACAGAGACGGTGAGCTTTTCGTAGAATTTTTTCCACGGCGCGGCAGCATGGGCAACAAAATAAGACGACGGTGAAGGGCGTATGAGAGCGCAGTACTCCGAGAAGGTACCCCGGATACCAATTTCACTAGCCTCAATAAAACTCTCATTTTAATCGGTAGAAGTTTAGAGCATCTGACAAGACGATGCTTGTAAACAGGCATCAGTTGAGGCTGATGCTATTTAGTGACCTCGTAGTGGCTAGACAGAGCCCCGCGATAGAGGTCGAAGGAACGATAGCCTAGCCTGATATGGGCATATTCCGCAGGAATGCGGGTTCGGGCGTTGCTTGGCTGGTTCTAAGAGGGTTCTGACGTTACGAGCCTCGCAGTCTAGGAAAGGTCTGGTGGTTCTTCCGACCGCGATAATTTGAAAAAGCTGTCTACGTCTATCTGTCAGCTCCCTTACTTTCCAGGGCGGGAAATGGGACGGAATTATCACGAACTACACGTGTATCTTGAACGGGTGTACGTAATCCAACTGGGAACAGGTAAGCGATGATGTAGGCGATTAGCGACACTAAAATTGCAAGTTGAGCCGATATGGGGATTGCTGCCTGAAGATTCAGAGCGTTCAATTCGTTCCGGGTGGTAAGGGGGGACTTCCGAGCCTGCCGTCTCAATAATCTGATATTTGTTAATGTCTCCGCCGGCGATGCCGTTACGCCGGTGGGGAGTGATGATGATTCAATTGCCGGGTTCATCTTGGCGCGAAAGCAGGCATTGCAGTTGTGTAGTTGTAATGGGGAATATTCCGTAAGGGCGTCCGCTTTCAATCCCAGTCAAGAACCCATCATTTGATTCCTTATGGCCTTGGGGAAGATCCGCTATGGTAATCGGCGGCCATTTTTGGCCTATCAAACAGCCACTGTACCATTATTTCGCTGAGGCGCAGCCATAGATGTTGGAGTCAGGCGATGCCACACTTGCAGAGACGAAAGAGAGAGAGAAGACTCACCATAATACAAAATAATTAATCTAAACCGAATGCCGTAAGGTCTGTGAATCTATATGGGCATGGGTAGAGTAAGGAAACCCGGGAAAAGGAAAAAGAAATAATAAGAGAAACCCACAAAGGGAAAATAAAACGGAACACGGAGACGAGGCGATTGGGTGAGTTGCGAAACGACTTTTTGTAAATCCCCCACAGTAAATGGAATATACCGCCCATCATATCCATACCCAGGTACCCATGCTTCCATGACTCCCACAATTGGTACGCTACTGCAAACTAGGATGAAGACGATGGAGACAAGGCTGACCGCCTCAGAGAGCTACTCAGGAACGGGCTGACAGCCACAATTGAGGGTTCGGACCTGGAGGATAGGCGATTGACGTTGTGAAGGGTGGTGGGTTGCTTGATGACGATCTGAGACAGATCGGTTCAAGGCGGTACCGATTTGAGATCTCATTAGGTTGCACATGAGCGGTGGATGTGTTGTGTTGTGCGTCGATGTTATTGCTAATCCTTTCATTGGGCAATGAGATCAGAATTACCTACATATAACAATTTTAAACCCCAATTGGTAGCAGTAAAGTAAGTGATAAGAGTCACGCCGTCATGTCGACCTCTCGTAACACAAATCCCTTGTGAACGCCTTGCGCCCCTCAGGAATTGCTTCAAGGGTTCCTCGTGCCAAGTCGATTATTAATAATATCTAAGTACCTTAAGGGTTATTTACCTAGACTAGTCTTCATCAAACTCGGTGAAGAAGATTGATCGGATAAAAGTGCCTATAATTTACACTAGTTAATACCTTACCGCAACTAGGTAGGCCTCTTAGTCCTAGTGGTCCTATTAGATATGTAGGTACTTAGGCAGGTGTGCAAATATCATCTAACCAGGTCTCACAATTAAAATGCCTCGGGATGATTCCCTGTTGACCCAGGACAATGGAATGGGTTGCAGCCACGTCGATCAAGGACCTCGGGGAGATATCAAAGATGATATTTGATCATGCCGTTGCACGTTTCAGCTTCAGGTGAAAGAGGGTATCCAGGTAATGTGGGCGAGTTACCTCTCGGGGGATCTGCAGCGTGCATAGAAACATGCAAGCGTCGGAAGGCTGCAGGGGAAAAAGGATAGAATTTAACGAAGCTGTATTGTGAATGGACGTTTAACTAGAAGACACTAGGTCTTATTGGGTGGTGGTACGAACTCCCATTAAACTGCTGGAAGTTATTAAGCAATTCATCTGCTGCGCCCCCTTTTATTTTTTTAATGACCGTATCTGCAAACATCATCTAAAAGCTCGCGGACGAGATATCTATGATAGGTATTGCCTTTTTTCTATTTGAATATCAAGGTTTTCAATATGTATTGTCCTTGAACTGTTGTGTTATTAACTTCTTTAACTCTCTAAGCAGATAATTATGACTGATTCTGATCGGGTTTAATTCTGTTCGTGCTGTTTTAAGATAAGATAAATTTATCTAATAGGGCTAATGATGAGCTTTAATACGACTGCATACTTATTAGAATGATAGCGTCGAGGTGTTGAGTGAGTTGCATGGGTACCTAGGTAGATAATTGTCAGTGCCAGTGCGCCATCTCCAGGGTCCTGGGTAGAGTAAATTCCGTCATCATCCCAGTGACCTCCCCTGGACAGATATGGCCTATGTTGCTGATTAGGAATATTCGGATCCGATTCGTGAACGTATGCATGAAGGAGGTATGTATCGGGAGTTCGTACCTCACAAGCCACACTATCTGAGGTACTTACTTAGGGCATGGGGGGTTTGCGCCTGAGACTCCAGCCCGTACCATAGCCAATCGTCATACGTACATGCTATAGGTCGCGTGCAGCTTTAAGCTATCCCATCCACTATAACGCTTACAAAATTTGTCAGAGCTTATAGGGAACAGGAAAAAAAAGCTTCTCCTATAAACCTACCTACAGGAAATGAGGAAATGCAAGGTGCTTTAGGTAGACATGGAAATACTGTGTTTGTAAATGATATTTGGCATAGTTCCTTCTACGGACGTCCCTCGGCATCATTTCATTTCTAGACAAATCGAATAAGGACATTCCTAGCACACTACTTTAGAATGCGACGTAGATGAACTGCGGTTAGCTGACCACCGGAATTGAAATAGCTAATTCGGCGATAGTAGAACCCCACGCCTTCAGAGCCGGTCCGATGCTCAATACATAGTACGCAACAAATCATTAAATCCGTTCGCTCATGTTGCTAGGGATATTAATTATATATGGGATACACGGCCGAGATATCCTAACGCCGTTCCAGACTACCCGACGGGTTGATGTTTGTTCGTCGTCGCCGTTGTTGGTTGTTGGTTGTTAATAACAAGGTCGCAGCCTAGGGGCTATTTCTTGCTTTTGTTTTCCCCCTTTGAAAATGACTAAAGCTATAGCTTACGAGATACCAATTCGAGAACCGGAATGCGCAATACTGTTGCGGTCGGACTTCCCGTGGTGGCGATCGGATGATGGCCGACATGCGACTGCTACGATGCCAAGTCGGGTTCGGACTCTTTCAATCAATCCAGTTCATTTGATACCCCCCGCACTAAGTTGACGTCAGTGTCCAAGGTAAAATACGTACATGTGTCTATATGCATGCGTTATGTATGTAGAGTTTAGACTCAGGGCACGGTCCGCCAAAGTTCAGCACTAGAGTGGGAGCTTAATTCAAATCTTAAAGTCTCTATAAAGTAAATACGTACGTCTAAATGTAAAAACAATATATAGGACACATGTTTGTTCTTTATTACCTAAGTATGTATAGAGATAATATTAGGAATCATTTGGAACCACCATGAATAAAATATGGAATAGTCGTAAGCGGGAAATTTTCCCTATGATTATCTATCATTACACATTGTATCCTACCTACCGCGCCGATGTAAGCACCGACTACTAACATATACTAGAGCATCCAGGAAGCCTCGGGATGGACCCCCAAATTTTTGAAACATTTCGAAAGGAACAACTCATCAGTATGAGCAATACAGCCATCTGAGAGTCCGTAGTTGCCGGCTGCTGTTGAAAGGCGCAGTGACGTGAATGCCGGGTTTGTTACCTACCTAGGTACCTAGGTACACGGTACGGGGGGGTTATAGCAGGCGTGTAACCTGTTAATGTACGTTCCTCTGCAACCTACGGCTC